AAATATGTACAACATTTACTTGAAAAGAATACGAGCTGAGTTTCTTGTCAGTTCTTCTCATCTCGATATCATTCCGAACTGACGGTAGATTTGACATATCATAAGAGTCTGTAATAGACCTACACGAATATTTTGAATTTGAATTGAATGATTAAAATTTCATATGCTGCAAGAAAAACGATTATAATCTTTACTATATTATATAGTACGGATATTTAATGAAAAAGGAGAATTCACCCGACTGTGTTATGTGTCAAGTCGAAGATGTCCAGTACCTCTTGATGGAATGTGATAGGACTAGAGTAGAGAGGGAACAATTTATTAAAGATTTTAAAATCAACAAACTTGATGTGGGTACTATTCAGAGCATACTACATGCCCCTACTACGGATATTGCTCTGCGGTTGTGTGCGATGATAAAAGCAACTTAATGAATAGATCCCTCGCAGTTGGCAATTATTTGATTGTTTATTATTTTTAAGAATTGTTCCGATTAGTTTGCAATAATGGGGTTGACATGACTAAAAACAAAAACTACCAAATAAATCTAGATTAAAAAAAAATCCTGACTAATATTTATAGCTATGCCTTTTTTTATTTCTCTAGACCATTCCTGCGCCATCCACCACTTTCTATCTTCTCTCCTCTACCCAAAGGTTGCCTGGAAGAGATTGCTTACGCGATAATACCTCCTTTTGGACCTTATTACTTCCGTTTATGTTCTTTATAATATACTTCTGGTGCAATAAATATATAAATAAATAATATTATAAATGTGAAAGTAACTCTGCCTGGCATATGGCAAAACTAGGCCTATGAACGACAAAAATCTGCAGCCAATCTTCTGCCAAACTGAAGAGGAAACGCCACTTCACATCCTATGTGGTTGTAGCCCACTCATGCATAAACGAAATATCTCCTTTGGAAAGTACACTCTATCCTGAGGAGATAAAAACCATCGCTCCTAAGAATATCTTTCAATTCTTGTCTCTGACGGGTCTAGGTAGCGAACTTTGAAAAAGGGCGAGCACAATAGATCTATGTAGGTCGCAGTGCTATAGGTGCTACAAACATCTGACTATAGCCCAATCAACCCAATAAAAAAAATTCTGCTTGCCAGACAGGCTTTCACGCCAAAACTACTGAGCCGATTTGAATTAAATTTGGTACACAGGTAGTCTACACCCTAAAAAAGGATGAGAAAAAAGGGTTGTAAGCTGGAAATTTATTTTCTAGGCTTATAATTAAGCTTTGCCTGCGGCTTCGCTCGCGTTAATTTATCCCCTTAGGGGTGGAAATTATCAAAATCCTTTCTTATGCCAAATTTCAGCCCGATCCGTCCAGTGGTTTGGGCTGTGCGTTGATAGATCACTACGTCAGTCACCTTTGAGATATATATATTTAGATATAAATAAAACAAAAGGGTTGTAAAACGTTGAAAGGGGAGGTAAAAGCTTATTTAAAAAGTTGTAAAAACGTTACCCCTATGGTTAAAATGAAATAGGGGATGAAAGATTTTACCCAAAGTAAAAACTTTCATCCCCTATTTCAATTTACCCATTATAACATCTGTTGGATTAGATTTTTAATATTATCTCAGGTCGAGGTCACTGTAACACGCGAACGAAGTCGCGGGCGCAGCTTGTGGTTTATAACATTAGTGGGATCTATCGATTCATTTCATTCACATCAAAGTGTGACATTGACACAGTACTCTGTAAATAGTTGATTGGCGTGTGACATGCCATTGGCGGTGACAATTGGACGAGTATCAAGTTGTGCAACACATTATAACACTAGCCGTTATCTGCGACATCGTCTGCTCTTTTAATAATAATAATAAAGATATTTATTCAGCATTACAGTATCCTTATTTACTACTAGCTGTACTCGCGACTTCGTACGCGTTGAGTATAACTTTATTTTACTAAAATCGAAGTAGCCTAAATTACTCCTTATTACATCAGCTACCTGCCAAAAAAAGTCCCGTCAAAATCGGTCCGGCCATTTCAGAGATTAGCCGGAACAAACAGACAGACAGACAAAAATTGTAAAGAATATTATTTCGGTGTATGTACCGTATTTATATTCATATGCATGTAGTAAAAAACGGTTATTTCAATATTACAAACAGACATTCCATAATATGTATAGATTATGTAAGATCTGCTCTGTGCAATTGACAGTATTTTGTAAATAAACATTTCATTTCATTTCACTTCATAGAACTAACCTTGACAACTGTCAGTGGCATCTTGAAATCCACGCCACCAATGAGTCGGAACCCCCACAGCTCATCACCAGATCTTGTTATGTTCACCTCCGAGTCCATCTGATGATAAAGAAATAGAAATAGAAATAATCTTTATTCAAATAAACTTAATATAAGCATTTTAAACGTCCAGTATTTCATGACATGTGGAGGCGTGGTGGGCCGGGTCATTGGGCTACCTAGAATATGGTCGAGAGCAGTGATGGCTCATTCGTCATACTCGTGAACGAGTACTGCTTGTAGGGACTGGTCTGCTCTAATCATTACGACTGATTTACTCTTATTAATTGTTTAACCAGTTGGTTATATATTCTGAATTAGTGCTAATTGGTGGTTTGTATTCACACACTTGAACTTAAAAATGTAAAGTAATATGTATAATGTAAAACACGCAAGTTTATTTTTCGTTCTTCTTGTGAAGAGACAGCTTTCCGAATGAGCGGTAGATTAAAAAAATGTGATGACTATTCAAAAGTGCTTCAATGTAAGTTTATTTGATGATATATATACCTATATATATATTCTGTATTAATCTATTTAATACTTCTAAAATTACACCGCGATACTATCTCTGATCACAGCGACTGTTGACTGGTAGAGAATGCCATCAGACTTTGATACTTGGTCCTAGCATCAGGCATTAATTCTGCCATGTGTACAATTCTGTGTGAAAAATAATAAATAAATAAATAAGAATATTGCCCTGGCGCCGCAAAATTAACCGTCAAACCAACCACAAGATCCAACGCCATATAAAATGGAATAGTGCAAAGAAAGACTCGTGGAAATTCGGGACAGGTAGGACTACTAGTAAAGAAATAAATACCTTGTTTTATAAACTGCAAACCACATTCACCATTACTAGTTAACTGACTACTTGTGGCGCAGTTAATCGATAACTGAATGGTTAAACTTGGCAGTGATAGCTGTCCGCATTTCTTTTTCAGTTACTATTCGAATAGAGTTCGTTGTTCCTCGGCGGTCTTGTGGTTTAGCATACCGCTTTACGTCCGATGGTCGCAGGTTCGAGTCCTCGCACGGCACAAAAATTTGTATTCATGAGTATGATTGTTTGTATCGGTCTGGGTGTTTTCTGTGTATATTATTAGCTATTCGCCCCGGCTTCGCACGGGTGTAAATGTTTTATATATACATAAACCTTCCTCTTCAATCACTCACTCTATCTATTAAAAGAAATCGCTTCAAAATCCGTTGCGCAGTTTTAAAGATTTAAGCATACATAGGGACGGACAGACAGCGACAGCGACTTTGTTTTACACTATTGTACATATGTAATGAAATATGTATTTAGAAAAAAAACTATACCTAAATGTATCAGTTGTCTAGTACCCATAACACAAGCTCTGCTTACCGTGGGACTAGATGGCGCTGTGTTAATTGTCCAGGGTTATTTATTTATTTATATCAGTTGTCTAGTACCCATAACACAAGCTCTGCTTACCGTGGGACTAGATGGCGCTGTGTTAATTGTCCAGGGTTATTTATTTATTTAAATCAGTTGTCTAGTACCCATAACACAAGCTCTGCTTACCATGGGACTAGATGGCGCTGTGTTAATTGTCCAGGGTTATTTAATTTATTATCCAGGGTAATTTCTGTACCTCTCACGTCGTTTCGACTAGGTTGCACTAATCATGGTCACTAGCTCACTGAAGTACCTTTGTTTACCATAAAATTATTCGTAATAGTACCTGGTTAACAATATAAATAGATTAGTTACATCATTTTTATGTTTTCCTTAAAAAATAAAGAAAATATAATACTAAAATACTTTAGAATAAGAGCTGAGTTTCTATCAGTTCTTCTCAGCTCAAAAGCACTCCGAACTGACGGTACATTTGACATTTAAGTCTGTAATAGACCTACATGAATAAATAGATTTTTAATTTCAAAAATGTTAGGTTCACCACGCAATCTCTAATTGACAATGCGTATGTAAACCTCTTTTAAGAAAATGTACTTGTGTTTTCTTCTAAAGAAAAGATATTAATTTGTTTTTGATATTCTAAAAGCGAGTAATAAATGAGCTACATAATAAGTCGGATGTTTAATTCATATATATCACTACCCCATCTAGGTTTGCAGCCATGATTATCTTAATCAATACATAGTATAAAATAAAGTCGCTGTCGCTGTCACTTTCAGTCCGTTCTTATCTATGCTTAAATCTTTATAACTACGCAACGGATTTTGAAGCGGTTTCTTTTAATAGATAGAGTGATTCAAGAGGAAGGTTTATATATCTACATGGGTGTACATATAATACATGTACACCCGGGCGAATCCGGGGCGAGTAGCTATTATAATATATATTATAAACGCGAATTTATGTGAGTATGGTTGGATGTTTATTACTCTTTCACGCAAAAACTACTTAATGGATTTCGATGAAACTTTACAGTAATATAGCTTACACATAAGAATAACATATAGGTTATAAATTTCACGCAGGTAAAACTTGGCACAGCCATTTTTCGTATATTTCTAATCACATTTTCATAATTGATCACGATATTTTAACAGCCCCAGAAACGTTCGCAAACATTATATCTATGCATTATATATTGATGGAAACAAAGGGGTAGAGACAACCCCTTTAGTAATATTTTATCAGGCGTCGGATGGGATTTATAGGTTATAATTTTCACGCGGGTAAAACCGCGAGTAAACATAAACTTATTACAACCCACCCAACCATAGCCTACATGTACTAATTGTTTAAAATCGAGTTGGCTCGAAACAACTATTTAAAATTTCTCTGTGCTGCTTAAAAACTTATGTTTAAAATAATGCGTTACATTATAATTGTACCGTTTTTGATACTGTTCAGCTGTGTATCGTGTAAGAATAATGTCAAATCGTTGACAGAATCTATGGGGCAGGAGGTGATAGAAATAAATGCTCCCGTCAAAGGTAAGTACATTAGAAATTGGATCTACAGTCGTCTGTATAGGGTCCTTATTCCCTATTTCAGCTGCTAAGCCCCCTTTCGATCGATACCGCCCAACCCCCTCTGATCAATCTCTCGCTCAATTCATCAATCCAAGGTAAATTGATTAGAAATTGCATCTAAAATCGTCGGCGTAGAGTCCTCAGTTTCTCTTATTTCAACCGCCAAGGCCCCCGATCCGATCGATCTCCCGACCAATTCAAACTTACAACGGCCTGAGCTGAGATTCGAACCTCAACTCAGGCCACGTGTGGCCACGGCTAGTGCTACCTAGTCAAAACGATGTTAGACTTTAATATGAGGACGCCATCAAGAGCGTCCTCATATTCGGTCTCCGCTAGTCCGCGCGTTTCTCTTGCTCTGTAAGCATAGTCTCACTCAGTCAGCTCAGTCGGTTGTTTAAATATTAAATATTCTTTATTGCACTTAAATACATTTGTAAGTATATTAATTCCACTAATATTAACAAAGGAGGACTTATCTCTAAAAGAGATCTCTTCCAGTCAACCCAATAGAGCGTGGCATAGGAAGTGTTGAGTGGGTCAAAATGTGAAAATAATATTTTTTATAAAAATATCATAAATAATTAAAACTAAACATAAAAATATAATGTCCAAAATACAGATACTAATGCAATATACATAAAGATAAAAAAATAATATATAATATATATATATATATATATATATATGTACATTTATAATAAAAATATGATTTATAATAAATACATACTAAATCAAATAATAAATACTACAAAGATATATATATACAATGATGACACTAATCACATAGCAGTAGAAAGGTAGTATGATTTTAGCTTTTTCTTAAAAAAATGTTAGTACAAATAAGACTTTTTTAGTATAGTATAGATTTAGGCGTCCACGGACCGGAAGACGCAGCGTGGGAACGCCTCTAGCAAGATGGACCGACGATCTGGTCAAGATCGCTGAAAGGCGCTGGATACGAGAAGCGCAGGACCGATCGTCGTGGAAATCTTTCGGGGAGGCCTTTGTCCAGCAGTGGACGTCTCCAAGCCTGTGATGATGATGATGATGAAATTTAGGCATTATTTTTTTAGATCTACCGGATGTGGAAGAAGAACCGTCAGCAGAGGTTGATGACGATGAGAAGACCACCGTTACCACACAAGCGACCACCAAGAAGAATATTATTAAGACCACAACAGTAAATATTCTTTTAATTAAAAAAAATCATCTTCTTCATCTGCTTCTTCCTTATTTTAATTAATTATAACACTTTATTGCACCATCATTTTATAAATGACATGAACAAAATTAAAAACAAAAAAAAAATGTACAAAAGGTCTTATCGCTAATGCAATCTCTTACAGACAACCTTTAAAGAGAGGTATTTACAAAAAAAAATTTAAGTATACACTTATGTAAACAAAATATAGTACATACACAAATTTACATATATATACATACATAAATACATAATAATATAATGTAATAATATAGTATACATCATTTATCCTTATCCCATTTATTTGTGGTAATGCAGTTTATATTCATTTAAGTTTTATACAAGATTAGACCTACAAACCTAGAATTATACCTAATATAGGTAAGAGGCCGTTCATTGATCACGTGATCTTTTTTAAGCATTTTAACCCCCCTCCCCCTTGGTGATACGTGGTGAAGTTTAAAACTAACACCCCCCCCCCCCCCCCCCCCCCCCCCGGACCATGATAAAAATGTCTAGACAGAAAGGTTGGAGATTGTTTTTGATTGGCATAAAATAAATACACGTGATGTATTACTGGACCCCCCTCCTCTCTTGTGATATTTCGTGATTTTTATCAAACCCCTACCCGATTTTTTCAAGCCTCACTTGATTAATGGATGGCAATGTTAGGTAAAATTATAAGTTTGTCTTCCTCAATCAACCGCTGCAATAATAATGATAAATAAATAACATATATATGTACATACAATGCAAACAATGATCTTGTCTTGTGACAAATTATATACGATATACACAGTTAGACTATATACGCATACGTCCACATATACCTCCCCAAAGATCTCCACAACAATCGGTATCGCTGCTCGCATCATGCCTTCCAGCGATCTTGACCAGATTTCCAGAGGCCTTCCCACGCTGCGTCTTCCGGTCCGTGGTCGCCATTGCGGTCGACTTTACTGCCCCAACAGCCATCTGACGAGCTCTCCCATTACCACTTTAGACTCTCAGCTTGTTTCTTATTTGTTGCACAAAAACTTTAATATTTTTATTTTGTTTAAGGCTTTAGAAACCCGAAGAAAAAGCAAAGACATTGATATAATCGATGGTTTGAAGCCTGAAGATGAAGAAGCAAGGATCGAGAAGGAACTAGCCGAGATCTATAAGGATAATAGCGGTGAAAGCATAATTATTACTAGCTGTACCCGAGACTTCGTCCACGTGGAATTTAACTTTATTTTTCTAAAATAAAAGTAGCCTAAGTTACTCCTTATTACATCAACTACCTGCCAATAAAAGCCCCGTCAATCTGGCCAGCCATTTCAGATATTAGCCGGAACCAGATAGACAGATAAAAATTGTAAAAAATGTTATTTTTGTACCGTATTTATATTCATATGCTATTTGTATCTAGTAAAAAACTGTTATTTCGATATTACAAGCAGACGCTCCAATTTTATTTATATTTATAGATTTAACTGAAGATCTAAAAAATGCGCAAAAATGTCGCAACAATCTGGGCAAAGTACATTTAGTTGCCATTGAAAAGAAACAAGACGATTTTACTAGAAATTAAACAATGAAATTACTGACTTGTTGGAAAGTAAATAAAATGAATAATTTCACTTTTTTTTGGACTACTCTAATGCTGTTGGCCGCAGCTGGCCTTTACTGCTTCATCGGACGATAGAGGGCGAGTACAGATGGCACTGCAAACAAAGGAAGGACTTATGGAGCGACTGAAGATCCTCCTGACGAGGAGGGAGATCTTCCATTGTTTGCAGTAACATCTGCACTCGACGATGATACGACGCCAGTCTGATGGTACCGCAAGGTTCGAACTTCGGCTCATGCCGTCGTAATTTCAATCCCCGTTTAAATTGGACGGCAGATCGATCGAAAGGGCGACCGGGAGCACCGGTGTGGAGCGCCCAGGCGCACGCAGGCGACCGATTGATTGCGCGGTATGGTATAGTTAGGTCGTCGTCTTCGCCGGCGAGGACGGTGTCGTGTATGTGTGTGTAACTCCCATAGACAAAATAACATATGTATTCTTTCATATGACTCGAACCTCGGCTCAGGCCGTCGTAATTTATAATGATTATACTGATTTTTATATTGTTTATAGATTACAAGGACAGTTCAGAATCAAACAAAGAGATCACAACGCTTTCCAAAGATTTAACATCATCAGCTTTGAGACTGCGGCCAAAGAACAAGTAAATAGCCATCTTGAATAGAGTATATATATTATTTATTTATTTATTTGGAATAATATTTATTTATTTTATTTCATCACTACATAGTATAAAACAAAGTCGCTGTCGCTGTCTGTCTCTATGTAGACATGAGTATCTTTAAAACTACGCAACGGATTTTGAAGCGGTTATTTTTAATAGATAGAGTGATTCAAGAGGAAAGTTTATATGTATATACTAGCTACCCACCGCATCTGCGCACGGGTGTATATGAATTATACATATACATAAACCTTCGGACAAGACAATCGGTCAAGCCGTTTCGGAGGAGTATGGGAGCGAAAACTGTGACACGAGAATTTTAATGCTTCGCAATTATATATATAAACTTTCTTTTCAATCACTCTATCTATTAAAAAAACAGTTTCAAAATCCGTTGCGTAGTTTTAAAGATTTAAGCATACATAGGAACGGACAGACAGCGACAGCGACTTTATTTTATACTATATAATGATAATAATACCTCAGGACAATTCACACAGCGCCATCTAGTCTCAAACTAAGCTTGTGTTATGGTTATTAGACAACTGATATAAATACTTAGATTTCTTTTTTTATAAATACATATGTGCCTACACTTGTAATATTTCTGTCAACATCCGGCACCCTCCAATTAGTTTACCTCTCAAGATAACTAGATTTAAGTTGAGTGTAAAGTAGATTGCGTTCAGGACACATTCCATCAAACAAATTTGGATTTCTGATGAAAAGAGTAGACTCCCCTAATTGTCAAACTTGTGGTGGTATTGATGATGTTCAACATTTGTTGATGGAATGCGTCAAGATAAACACTGAAAGGCAAATCTTACTGAAAAAAATAAATTTAAACAAAATTAATTTAGGAATCTTTCAGAGTACTTTATTAGAACTTGTATCAAAACAATCGGTACTAATTTATAAATTTGTAGATAAAAGTAGGTAAAATTTGTCTTTATAGTAATTTAAAGTTTTGATGTAATGTAATTGATTAAGACGTCAACATGGAGCTAACATGCTCACTATTGTGCTAAGCTCCTAAATATATAAAGAGAAAAAAAGTTGAGTGTAACGTCACACCGGAGCCCCCGGGCGCCCCTCCGATCGATCCCCCGTCCAATTCAAACGGGGATCGAAATTACGACGGCCTGAGCCGAGGTTCGAACCCCTAGTGGTGCCCTCAGACTAAAGTCGTATCCGTCGGGCAGGAGTTGGCCTTCAGCCGCTCCATAAGTCCTTCCGCGGGTTTGGAGTGCCATCTGCACTCGCCCCATAACGTCCGGTGAAGCTGTAAAGGCCAGCTACGGCCAACAGCATTAGAGTAGTCCGAAAAAAAAAATTTGTGTAAAGTCAGTCCACGTTACGACTCCGCGTGGAATGTACCCGTCACTAATAAGCCATGTAGCACACTATCAAATAAACTTACTAATGTACAATAAATAGTACAATTATTACAGCTGTATACTCACTACCTACATACTACAATAAACAATATATTATGTAGCGACACCTCATCACATCATATATAACGATACAGTGGTGAGGTGATAACCACCACGGTACGGATACAAGATATAAGCAGAGCTTGTGTTATGGGTACTAGATAACTGATACAAATACATAGATTTTTTTAGTAAATATATACATATTATACATAGAAAACACCCAGACTGATACAAACAATCATACTCATGAATACAAATGTTTGTGCCGTGTGAGGAATCGAACCTGCGACCATCGGATACTAAAGCGGTATGCTAAACCACTAGACCACCGAGACTATATGTCTATATATACAAGAACTACGATAAAAGTGTTTCTTTTTAATCTGGAATGGTAAATTCAAATTTAAAAAATCATTTATTCATGTAAGACATTTTAGCCGCTTATGACATGAAATTCTTTATAATATTTTATATCGATGTGATAATTAATAATAAGCTTTCTTACAGCTTTAAGTTCCAACCGGATGTCAACGATAAAGCTGCAGTTGAGAAGTTCCGGACGTCCATTGACGAGATCAGTTGCGGGAAGGTTAACAAACTGACAGCGGTGAGAAAATAATCTATACATATACATAAAATTGGAGTGTCTGTTTGTTTGTAATATAGAAATAACCGATTCTTACTAACTTCAATGGCAACTAAATGTACTTTGTCCAGAATGTTGCGACAAATTTTGCGCATTCTGTCGCATTTTTTAGATCTTCAGTTAAATCTATACATATAAATAAAATTGGAGTGTCTGTTTGTAATATTGAAATAACCGTTCCTTACTACATGCATATGAATATATATACCATACACCAGTACAACATTTTTCACAATTTTTGTCTGCCCGTCTGTTTGTTTGTTCCGCTTAATCTCTGAAATGGCTGGACCGATTTTGACGAGACTTTTTTTGGCAAGTAACTGACGTACTAAGGAGCAACTTAGGCCACTTTTATTTTAAAATAATACAGTTAAATCCACGCGGACGAAATCGCGGGTATAGCTAATCTATAATAATAATGAATTGAACTACCTGCCGAGGTTTTCTTGAGAGACCACAGTTTGGGGTTTTTCAAGAAGACTACATTAAAGTTTCTTGAGGGTCGACAACGCACGTAACACCCCTGGTGTTTCAGGCGACCATAGGCTACGGTAACCGTTTACCATCAGATGGGCCGTATGCTTGTTTGCCACTATAGTAGTATATAAAAACGAAGCATAAACTGTGTATGAAATTTCGCACACTTATAGTTTATATAGAGAAGAAGTGCAGAATGCTATATTTCTTTTAATTTAATCTTTTAAAAAATACATTAAATTAATAAATTTTCTTATTATACATCATCATTTCCTTCTTCCTTATCCCATTTATTTGTGGTCGTCGTAATATGTTTTTCTCTTCCATTCATCCCTGTTCGCAGTCATCTCGTTATTTACTCCCTTTCTTACCATATCATCTTTCACACAGTCCATCCATCTCTTTTTCGGCCTTCCTCTGCCCTTATAACCATCCACATTTATATGTAACACCTTCCTTAAAGTATTGTCCTCATTCCTACGCATTACATGTCCATACCATGATAGACGATTAATCTTCAACCTCTCTGACACCGGCGCCACTTTCATATTATACAAAAATCATTATATTACACGACTGATAACAAAACGTCAATGTCAAATAATGTTAATATTGTTAAATGTCAAATCAACGAATCGAGGTTTGTTTCTGTTAGAACAGGGATGTTATGGATATGGTTATATCGGATACGGATAGGTTACGGATATGAAATTATTTCGGATCATCCGTTAGTTTCGGTTACAGATATTATTTTCTTAAGAAATTGCAAAAGTAAATTACAAATCTAAATATGTATAACTCAAAGATGACTGACTGACATAGTGATCTATCAACGCACAGCCCAAACCACTGGACGGATCGGGCTGAGATTTTGCATGCATAAAGCTACTATGACGTAGGTATCCTCTAAGAAAGGATTTTGATAAATTCTACCCCTAAGGGGATAAAATAGGAGATGGAAGTTTGTATGAAACTTTGTCAATTTTAAACCGATCGGGTTGAGACTTTGCATGCATAAAGCTACTATGACGTAGGCATCCCCTAAGAAAGGATTTTGATAAATTCCACCCCTAAGGGGATAAAATAAGAGATGAAATTATGTATAAATCTTTTTAGATTTTGTAGGCCCTAATTTTTTACACACGCTAAACAAAAGTAAAGCCGCAAAAACTACACCTAATTAATAATAATACTACTACGCGAGCGAAGCCGCGGGCAAAAGCTAGTAGCTAATAAAATGGTTACATAACGTGTCTCAATTAGGCTCCGCCCCTATCCGATATTATCCGACACTTTTATTTCGGATTCGATTACGGTTACGAACTTTTTTTTATCGGATATCCGATAGTTAAAGTTACGGTTACGAAGCTCCCTTACATCCCTGCTATATTCTAATATTATAAACGCGGAAGTTTGTGACTATTTATGGACGAAAGGGTTTATTACTCTTTCATGCAAAAAAGGACAGACCGTTTCGGTTTTTTTTTGTGAATGATAGTGGAATGGTGCACCCGCCTGCGCTAACGGTTTACGCTGGCGGGGCACCAGTGGAGGATGATAAGATGAGCATGAGGTCAGGTCAGTTAGCACATCGTGGTAAATTCGCTATGAATTTATCACGTTGGTTTCCAGGGGGAACCGCGTGGAGGTCAACCTGACGTGGTACATTGCTAGCAATGTGGATATTAATTCACATTACTAACAATTCCCATCCCCCCTTCCTTTCGGTTTTTTTTTGTGTATGATAAATGAATGGTGCACCCGCCTGCGCTAACGGTATACGCTGGCGGGGCACCAGTGGAGGATGATAAGATGAGCATGAGGTCGCCATGAATTTATCACGATGGTTTCCAGGGGGAACCGCGTGGAGGTCAACCTGACACAGTACATTGCTAGTAATGGGGTCATAAGTCCACATTACTGACCATCCCCTTCTTCTCCTTTCGGATACGGTTTGGGAGCTCCTTAACATCCCTAGTGCTGAAGCTCTGCTTAGTTTGTGAGTAGATGGCGCTGTGTAAATTGTTCAGGGTTATTATTATTATACATATACTGATTAAATTCACACAGTTTATGATAATAATATGATTAAAACTAATTATAAAGTAGCTATACACAGATAGCATACATAGATATATACGTCAATTTTATTGTGGGCAGGTACAGATTAGATTAATTTTGTTTTATTTTAGGATATGATAATACGAATTCGTGTGCATTTAGTAATTTTTACATAGTATGTATATTATGTATGTATTTAAAAAAAGGTTTCTCTGTATTACAATAGAATAGAATAGAAAATCATTTATTCAAATAAACTTAATTTAAGCACTTTTGAATTATATTTTTTTTTTCTATGAAAAGCTGTCTCATCAAAAAATTAAGCAAGAAACTTGCGTGTTGCATAAAAATATAAGTTTACATTTACAAGTTGAAACGTGTGAATACAAACTACCAACGATCATAATGTTTTTATAGAAAAACTTTAGATCCATAGCGCTGACAATATTATCTGATTACACTAATAATGAGTGCGTAGCGGTTTCTATGTTGATTGTCGCATGCCTCTTACTTGTTATACTGTAATTATTTATATAAAAACGTCTAATGATTGTTTTTTGTAATTGTTTATATAGAAAATTGATATTGAGGAATTATGTATATTTGCAATTATTGTAATAATTATTTTCTTTAATAGTAACAAATTTAAATAATCTTTCATAAATCTTGCCTGCAAGATATGAAATTGTGTTTTAAATAAATTATACATTCTCTTAACAAACAAAAAAAAACGTCTATTAAAAAGAGCAACACACAAGTTTCTTGCTCATTCTTCTTGTGATGAATCTGCATTCCGAATAAGTGGTAGAATCAAAATATGACTATTCAAAAGTTCTTGTAATGAGTTTATTTGAATAAATATTATTTATATTTCTATTTCCAACCAGCACTAATTTTTTAGGTGAAATAAAATATTTATATCTAGAACGCATAACACAAGCTTTAGCTAGCTTAACTTGGGTCTAGATGGCGCTGTGTGATTTGTCTGCTGTTTGGTCGTTTACATCTTTTAACCTACGTAACGGATTTTAATGCAGTTTTAGCAATAGATAGAGTGATTCAAGAGGAAGGTTTATATGTATAATACATGTACACGTGCGAACCCGGGCGGAATTAAACAAAATAATACAAATACGTTAAGTAATGAAATGAACTTTTGCAAAATTACATCTAATTCGATAAAACACATTGTATTTCGGATACAAACAAGCAGCACACCTGGAAAATAGTTAATAAGCTTATATCACAAATAACATAATATTTTTTTGTTTTTATACTACTATGGTGGCAAACAAGCATACGGCCCGGCCCATCTAATGGTAAATGGTTACCGTAGCCTATGGACGCCTGAAACACCAGGGGTGTCACGTGCGCGTTGCCGACCCTTAAGAAACCTTAATATACCCTTCTTGAAAAACCCCATGCTGTAGTCTCGTGAGAAAACCTCGGCAGGTAGTTCATTCCACAATCTAAGTGTACGCGGGAAGCTCCTCTGAAACCGCACTGTCCGAGACCACTTAGGTTCCAGCGTGTGGGAATGAATTCCCTGTCGATGGCGAGCGGTGCGATGGTGAAAGGTAGCCGTAGGCATCATGTCGAACAATTCCTCAGAACACAGTCCGTTGTATAATCGGTAGAACACACAAAGCGAAGCGAAGTCTCGCCTCAAACTAACTAACAAAATATTACATAGTTTATATTAAGTTATATTATCAGTCAGTAATAAGCCTAAAAATTGATATCCGGGACGATTTGTAATATTAAAAAAAACCCGCTTACCTGACGGTAAGTGGCAACCGTCGCTTATATACATGAACAGCACTACGGACATCACGTTATCATGTAACTTATATAAGAACTACGAGGTGATATATAAACTCATGTTCTCCTGGTACTTTTAATGTAGTTACGCTACATTTTTTTGTCATTTTAATGCCAAACAAGCTGACGTGCCACTACGAGGTCCGATCTCCATACCGCCTATAAACTCATGTTCTCCTGGTACTTTTAATGTATTTACGCTACATTTTTTTGTCATTTTAATGCCAAACAAGCTGACGTGCCACCCGATGGTAAGTGGTAACTGTCGCCTACATACATGAACAGCACTACGGACATCACGTTATCATGTCACCTTAATACGGTGGTGATCTGAAGAACTGCGAGGTCCGATCTCCATACACTGTCATTTCACAGGTCATCTCTGAACAAACTGCCTATAAACTCATGTTCTCCTGGTACTTTTAATGTAGTTTCGGTACATTTTTTTGTCATTGTAATGCCAAACAAGCTGACGTGCCACCCGATGGTAAGTGGTAACTGTCTACGGTCATCACATTATCATGTAACACCCGTGAGATTCCTGCGTTGTCATTCCAAAGTACTAAAATGTCACGCCTCTTATCCTGTAATTTCACTTCCTAATCTGCACTACAACCGAAACATCTTACAAAGCAAGCTGCTTGGCTGAAGTAGGTGAAACTGAGGTACACGCAGACGAGTTTTTAGACGATTGAAAATATTAATACAGTACTTAAATTTCAGACACCCTCACCAAATTCTGGAAATCCTCAAGAAACTTCACTTACAACAGCTATCGCAGTGTTAGGCATAGCTAATTTAATATGTTTTTAAATATTGTATCTTACTTTACTATTAAATTATTTTTCACAATCTATAAAAGAATTTTATTAATCACTTGTAAACTGACAAACGTTGTATTGCCATATAAATTAAAATCGCTATTAAAAAATAGGGGTTGATGCTAGAAGGGTTAAAATTTGAGGTTGTATGTAATTTTTAATGAGACATGATAAAAAAATATAAATAAAAAATTTTGCCAAAAAAATAAAAAAATAATGTTAGGGGTGGACAACCCTTATCACTTAGGGGTATGAAAAATAGATAGTAGCCGATTCTCAGACCTACTGAATATGCATATAAAATTTCATAAAAATCTGTCAAGCCGTTTCAGAGTAGTATGGTAACTAACATTGGGACACGAAAATTTTATATATTATATCTCAGGACAATTAACACAGCGCCATCTAGTCCCAAGCTAAGCAGAGCTTGTGTTATGGGTACTAGACAACTGATATAAATACATGGATACCTTTTTTTTGTTGTAAATAAATACATATTATACATAGAAAATACCCAGACCGATACAAACAATCATACTCTTGAATACAAATGTTTGTACCGTGCGAGGAATCGAACCCGCGACCATCGGATAGTAAAGCGGCGTGCTAAACCACTAGACCACCGAGGCTGTCAATATTAACTAGGTGCTCCCGCGCCTTCATCCGCGCGGAATTTATTTTTATACTTTTATTTCAAAAATAAAAAAATAAAAAAAAGTAGCCTAGGTTACTCCTTATTACAGCAGCTACCTGTCAAAAAAAGTCCCGTCAAAATCGGTCCAGCCATTTCAAAGATTAGCCGGAACAAACAGACCGACAGACAGACAGACAGATAAAAATGTTATTTTGGTGTATCTACCGTATATATATTCATATGCATGTAATAAAAAACAGTTATTTCAATATTACAAACAGACACTCGAATTTTATTTATATGTTTAGATTAGATTATATTATATGTACGTATATATTATATATTTTATCTTGATGATATGACATTTGCACAATTCATGTTTAATATATTTAAAAGTAAGCGACTACCGTAGGTCATATATATACTAAAGTATTGGCAATTTATTAAATTTATACAGAGATATTACATTTATAATTATAAATTATATATACATATCTTAATTCTTAAGACCGACATAGCCCGAAGAATTGCGACTTTGAAGTGGCAATGAGCAGGGCACATAGCTCGTAGGACAGATGGCCGTTGGGGCAGTAAAGTCCTCGAGTGGCGACCACGGACCGGAAGACGCAGCGTGGGAAGGCCTCCAGCAAGGTGGACCGACGATCTGGTCAAGATCGCGGGAAGGCATTGGATGCGAGCAGCGCAGGACCGATCGTCGTGGAGATCTTTGGGGGAGGCCTATGTCCAGCAGTGGACGTCTTCCGGGCTGCGATGATGATGATGATGATGATCTTAATTCTACAACAAAGAACCTAAAATTAAAAACCTTAAAAAATATAATATAATATTTTATTGATTATGTCTTTATTCTGTATCCACTGTTTTTGTACCCACATGAAATTCATAGCCTCCATAATTTTATACGTTCATAAGTTTTTACTAACAAAATATGGATGTAATCCGAATTAAAATAATAATAATATATTGATATTACATTTTGACGACCTCGGTGGTCCAGCGGTCTAGTACACCGCTTTACGACCGATGGTCGCGGGTTCGATTCCTCGCACGGCACAAACATTTGTATTCATGAGTATGATTGTTTTTATCGGTCTGGGTGTTTTCTATGTATAATATGTATGTATTTACGAAAAAAAAAATCTATGTATTTGTATCAGTTGTCTATGACCCATAACACAAGCTTTAGCTAGCTTAACTTGGGTCTAGATGGCGCTGTGTGAATTGTCCTGAGAATATTATTATATGAGTTTGATTCCATGGAAGATGGGCGGGTGCTGGTATGGGATGCAACCTGTGCAGACACGCTGCCCCATCCCATCTACATGGATGCTGGTGCAACATGTGAAGCGGTGAAAAAGCCAAAACATGTAAATACAGGGCTCCGAATATGAATTTGTCCCATTCGGTGTGGAGACCCTTGGTCCGTGGGGTCCTAGCGCTATAAGACTTCAAAGAAATAACGAAAAGGTTAGTCGACATCACAGACAGACATGACAGAAGAGCTGGCAGCTACCTTGGACAAAGAATTAGTCTAGCTATTCAAAATTAAAACTTAGCCTAAAGGGACCCCTTTTAATAATATATTTTAGTCATCATATATTTTTTTAAGCTTTTTAATTTTAAGTTCTTAGTTGTACAATTAGGTTATGTAAATACTAGTAATAAAATTTTAGTCATTTATTTAAATAAACTTAATTACTGGCCGTTAATAAAACGAACATTTAAATAAAAACTAAAAAAGAAAATGAACGTCCGCCATCTTTTGTTTTTTGTTGACAAAAATATCATAAGAATTAGTCATTGTGCTCCATTTATTCTACATTAAATAATTATTAATATCTACACGCGTTATAGAACAGTCTAGAAGAATATTCCTAGACGAAGATACCGCTTGTGTTTACTGTTAATAGAAACTATTTCGCGAGCGTCGTTCGTTATATTCCACGAGAGACTGTCTTCGTTTTCCTGCCATCCGGACGTGTTCTCTGGACCCGGTGTGATTGTCCTGTAACAGTGCTCTGAATTCGATTACAGGTCAGTGAGCTTTTTTTATACCACTATGGTGGCAAACAAGCATACGGCCTCATCATCATCATCATCGCAGCCCGGAAGACGTCCACTGCTGGACATAGGCCTCCCCCAAAGATCTCCACGACGATCGGTCCTGCGCTGCTCGCATCCAATGCCTTCCCGCGATCTTGACCAGATCGTCGGCCCACCTCGGCATACGGCCTATCTGATGGTAAATGTTGATGACCTACATAGATCTATTGTGCTCGCCCTTTTTTCAAAGTTCGCTACCTAGACCCGTCAGAGATAAGAATTGATAGATAAGATATTCTTGGGAGCGATGGTTCTCTCTCTGTTCTCTCTTTGTTCATTAGACGATTGATATAATGAACAAAGAGAGGTACTTTCCATGTATAATAAATCCTTCCTAATGCGTAACTCGTGTGTCTATCTGTCTCGCTTTCACGCTAAAACTACAGAACTCATTTAAATGAAATGTAGTACACGGTCTAGATCCTGAAAAAGGACATAGGCTACTAAAATACTTTTTAATGCGAAAAAAGGGTTGTAAGGGGTTTTTTTTAAGGATGATAATGGAATGGTGAACCCGCCCGCGCCCACGGCCCACGCTGGCGGGGCACCAGTGGAGGATGACAAGACGAGGATGAGGTCAGGTCAGTTAGCCCATTGTGACAAATTCACAAGGAATTTATCACGATGGTTTCCAAGAGGAACCGCGTGGAGGTCAACCTGACTTGGTAAATTGCTAGTGATGGGGTCACGAATCCACATTACTAACAATCCCCTTCCGGATTCCGGGGGGGGGGGGTTTATAAGGGGTTGAAAATGAGATGAAATATTGTATAGAATTTCATCAGTTTGGAAACTAGAACGATAAACTTTTTTTATGGATTTTATTGGGTTAGATCACTAAATATTTTTCCATTATTTGGTCATGGGGACTATATTCATGGGGACAAAGTAGCGGGTACAGCTTGAAATTCATTAAGAGCAATACACTAGTTTTTTGCTCATTCTTCTTGTGATGAGTCTGCAGTCCGAATGAGTGGTAGAATGAAGAAAATATGACTATTATTAAGTGCTTATATTAAGTTTATTTGAATAAAGATTATTTCTATTCCATTCTATTCTAATGTTATCTTAATAATAACGCGAAAGTTTGTGAGTTGTTATTCTTTCACGCAAAAACTACTGAACGGATTTAGATGAAACTTTACTATATAGTAATGCAGCTTATACATCAGAATAACATCTCATATATAAAATTCTCGTGTCACAGTTTTCGTTCCCATACTCCTCCGAAACGGCTTGCCGATTCTCATGAAATTTTGTAAGCGTATTGAGTAGGTCTGAGAATTGGCCAACATCTATTTCTCACCCCCCTAAATGTTAGGGGTAGTCCAGCCCTAATTTTTATTTTATTTTAAGGCAAAACAACGTTTGCCGGGACAGCTAGTAGTATAGGCTATAAAGATCAGGCGAGTGAAACCGCGGGCACAGCCAGTATACGATAAAAGTAAATAACATAAGTTTAGATGATTGATTTTGACATTATCATTTATTTTGCATATTTTATGTATTGTTTCTTTGTTTGTTTAATAATGATACACAACTTTGAGATAAATTCGTTTTTTTAATAATAATGTCGACTTATGTTTTGGTAGGTGTTTAATAATAAAATGTATGTTATGATTTAATTTTTTTTATTATCATATTATTTAGTAACTTCTAATCATAAATCTCATCAATAATCTCATATATATGAGATTACTGACGACCTCAAGCGATCTAGCTGTTTAGTACCGTCTTACTTTCAATGGTCGCGGGTTCGATTCCGCTACAAACATTATTCACGTATTATTATATAGATAACAGTTTCGGAGTATGATGACATGCACAATATATACATACAAACATTTATAGTCAGAGATACGATGTACATTTCATGACTAATAGATATCAAGAATGAATTATTTCTGTATACATTAAAATGATTCAGAAATATCGATTTTGTAACAAATCAACATACAGGCTGATTACTTTATCCTGTATTTTTTATAGCTACTGTATATACTTTCACACACAAAACTTACTGAACGGATTTTAATGATACTTTACAGTAATATAGCTTATACATCAGATTAACACAGAGGCTATAATTTAAAAAGATATGATGTAACTTGGGCGATATCATTACGTAGTATAAAACAAAATCGCTGTCTGCCCGTCCCTATGTATGCTTAAATCTTAAAACTACGCAACGGATTTAGAAGCGGTTTTTTTAAATAGATAGTGATTCAAGAGAATAGAATAGAAAATCATTTATTAAAATAAACTTAATTTAAGCACTTTTGAACAGTCATAACAATTTGTTTTTTATTTACCACTCGTTCGAAAAGCTGTCTCATGACAAGAAGAACGAGCAAGAAACTTGTGTGTTGCTCTTTTAAGAGGAAGGTTTATATGTATAATACATGTACACCCGTGCGAAGCCGGGGAGGTTAGCTAGTATAACGATAAATGTCAAGTAAGTGTGATGCATACGAAGTTGACATACAACTAGTAAATTATAAATATACTAGATGAAAACCCGGCTTCGCTCGGGTGAAATGTGGGTAGATATTTCTATAGTCATCGGTTCTCATACGAATATTAAACGTAAGCAAGGCATAGATTTGTAAAGTTTCATTCATTGTGTTTAATAAATATAGTAAATAAAGTGTTATTCTATTCTATTCTAAATGTTATTCTAAGTTGGGCTAAAAAGGACTTGTATCCAGAGCCGTAAAACAATTTAATAAAAAAAATTGCCAAAAATGTCTCGCAATCGGCCAATTTCAGGTTTAAAGAAAAAACACATACTCTTTTATCATAAAAAAGTGTTAAAAACAATATTTTCGCGAAACGTCAACGACCGAAGAAAATGCTAGTGAAATGAAAAGATGGCGACTGCGGTTTGTTTGTCAGTGTCATTAGAATTTAAGGAAATACTCCATAATCCGAATTTTGCGGGATATATGTTGTCGACTCGAAATCAATATTTTTTTATGTTTTGTAATTCACATAAGGTTTCGTTCGAGTCCACCGTACCCTTTGACGAAATTATTAATATAGATACTTACAAACATCCTGTATACGATTAGATATTATCAGATAATTACTGACAGGACGATAACACGCTGTATTGATACTTATTTTAGTCGACGACAGTCGCGTGGTTGTGATACTTGTGTATTTTATATTTTGAAGAAGAATGTCTCATCCAGCTTTTGAGGATGCGGGAGCCAACCCCGGCATCGAAATATGGACCATTGACGTAAGTACGGACCTACAATAAATCAAATTAAAAATCTTTTATTCATGTAGGACATTTATAGCTGCTTATTAACGTCAAGTTTTTTGTATTAAAAAATATCTCTATTACCAATATACAATACAAGTCAAATTCTGATTTATTACTAGTATTTACACAACCTAATTGTACAACTAAGAACCTAAAATTAAAAAAATGTAATATGATGACTAAAATAATTATTAAAAGGGGTCCCTTTAGGCAACGTTCCGAAGATACTGGCAGCGTTCCCTCTTTGAATAGCTAGACTAATTCTTTGTCCAAGGTAGCTGCCAGCTCTTTGTTAGTTTTTTGTTAGTTTTCAAAAATCATTTATTCATGTAGGACATTTATATGTAGCTGCTTAGTAAGGTCAAGTTTTTTGTTAGTTTTCAAAAATCATTTATTCATGTAGGACATTTATAGCTGCTTATGAACGTCAAGTTTTTTGTTAGTTTTCAAAAATCATTTATTCATGTAGGACATTTATATGTAGCTACTTAATAACATCAAGTCTTTTGTATTAGTCTTCCTAAATAATTTATTCATGTAGGATATTTATAGCTACATATAAACGTCAAGTTTTTTGGGTTAGTTTTCAAAAATCATTTATTCATGTAGGACATTTATATGTAGCTACTTAATAACATCAAGTTTTTTGTATTAGTCTTCCTAAATAATTTATTCATGTAGGATATTTATAGCTACTTATAAACGTCAAGTTTTTTGTATTAGTCTTCCTAAATAATTTATTCATGTAGGATATTTATAGCTACATATAAACGTCAAGTTTTTTTGTGTTAGTTTTCAAAAACCATTTATTCATGTAGGACATTTATATGTAGCTACTTAATAACATCAAGTTTTTTGTATTAGTCTTCCTAAATAATTTATTCATGTAGGATATTTATAGCTACATATAAACGTCAAGTTTTTTTGTGTTAGTTTTCAAAAAATCATTTATTCATATAGGACATTTATAGCTTATGAACGTCAAGTTTTTTGTGTTAATATTTTATTGTATTACCGCCAAGTCAGTACATAGATTAAATTGAGAACTGGGAAGAAACTCAAGTGATATTCTTTTTTTTTATCATGTATTGTTGGATCGTCATAAAAATAATTAAAATAAGTTGTAAAACTATTGCGCTGCGTGCGGTATTCAACGACCAACTGCCGCCGGCCTCCCGTTGCCCAACCGCTACCGGGGTATCTGTTGCCTAGCAACGAGCCAACAGCGCGAGGCTACCGGCGGGTGCGCCGCTATATATATATATCTACTTACGTAGTGTATTACATACTCCCCCTTTTGACCTAATCAGTGTCCTCACAATAGGTCAAACAAAATCAAGAAAAATCAACACTACAACAGTTTAGTTTAAGGATACCCAAGATATTAAAAAAATAAAGCATTGGTCTTACGCGGACGGCCACGCCCTCTTTTTGGTACCACTGGCTCCACAGGATCACCCTCGGATCGCGAATGATAACGCCGAAAATCAGAGACGTGATACTTTCCTACAAAATCAAAAGGTTCCTTACAATGTTCAAGTAAGTAGGTAGTGGGACTTACTTTCTTTGAGATTTGATAAGGTCCATCACGCCTTGGGTTAAACTTGGAGCTGATACCCTTGCTAGCGTTACTCAACGTGTGAGTCTTGAGAAGTACGAGATCACCAGGCTCAAATACCTCAGCCTCTCGTCGTGTTTTATCTTTTGATATCTTACCAACATCTTGTTCTTTTTCGCAGGTCTCTTTAGCTGTCCTTAAAACATCATTCAGCTTCAAAAGGTACGGTGTTATCTGCGGCACATAATTTTCAGCTTCGACGATGGCTCGAAGATCACTCCGAGCGGAAAAAGGTGAGCGTAACTCTCTGCCAAACGTTAAAAATGACGGCGTGTATCCGGTACTTTTAGACGACGCAGTATTTAATGCAAAACGTATTGCAGGTAGCGCGGATGGCCACTGTCCATGTTCTTTCTCGACTAGAATGGCGAGTTGTATTTTTAACTCGCGATTCTTCCTCTCGACGGGATTCGCCTCTGGATGATAAAACGGGATGAGATTCTGCTTCACTCCTAGAACAAACATGGTCTGTTGCATAACGTCTGCAACGAACTGGACACCATTATCTGAAACAACCCGACGAGGCACACCATAACGTAAGAAGATTTCCTCAACAAATATTTTGGCACAAGCTTCGGATGTCGCTTCTACGAGTGGGAATATTTCCACCCACTTACTGGCTGTATCTTCAATGATAAGGATCCACCTCTCACCATTAGGTCCTTTTGTTAGTGGTCCGAAAAGATCGACGGCTATGATTTCAAATCTTTGTGCAGGTACGGGCGTTTGAATAAGTCCGGCTGGTTTACAGTTGGAGGGCTTATACCTTTGGCATTTAATGCAAGTTTTTAAATAATCTTCCACAAACCGTCTCATTCCAGGGAAATAAAATCTTTGCGAAATGCGTTGCAGTGTCTTCTCTACTCCACCGTGACCTGCAGTAGCAGCATCGTGATACTCTTTCATAACCTGTTCTCTTAACTTTTCAGGTATAACAAGCTGTGGTTCTTCTGTCTCCGGATCAGCATAACGGTAAAGTATTCCTTTTGACATATGATACCCTCTTTCTGTCCATCTTTTAATCGATACTTCTTCTTTTCCTTCCAGGTCCAAGACTATCTTCGCCACTTCCGGATCAGCAAGTTGATCGTCACGGAGCGTAGCAGCATCCCAGCGCGGAATTTCCACTACAACGGTACACACTTCACAGATGTCACGAGCAACTTCGTCACATGGCGGTCGGCTGAGGGTATCTGCAATAAGGTTAGCCTTACCCGGAGTGTAATCTACTTTGAGGTCAAAGGCTTGTAGCTTCATAGCCCAGCGGACCAGTCTACCCGTGGGCGACTTGAGAGTGAGCAGCCATTTGAGTGGCTGATGATCGCTAGCGACGTGCACCGGATGTCCATCAATATAACCGCGGAACTTCTCAACGGCCCAAACAACAGCGAGTGCCTCTCGCTCGGTTGTCGAGTAGTTTCGTTCGGCGTGAGTTAGAAGACGACTGGCGTACTCAATAGGACGCTCTTCGTGAGACTCCCCCTGGAGTAGAACAGCCCCCAAGGCATAATTGCTAGCGTCGGTCCTGAGAACAAAAGGAAGACTGTAGTCTGGCTGCGTAAGTATCGGAGCGGACGTAAGTAATTTCTTAAGTTCCGTGAACGCAGCGGCTTGGTTTTCCTCCCATATCCATGACTGGGTCTTCTTTGTCAGCAATGTCAACGGCTGCGCGACTTTAGAAAAGTTCGGAACAAATTTCCTAAACCAAGAAGCAGTTTGTAGGAAACTTTTCAGGTGCTTCAAGTTACGTGGCTCCTTCATCTCCAAGATGGCAGCGACCTTGTCTGGATCTGGTGATACTCCCTCGGGTGTAATAACGTGCCCAAGGTACTTGACACTGTCACGCGCAAACATGCACTTATCGCGATTACCGTGCAGGCAGAAAGTACGGAGACGTTCAAATACGGCACGAAGATCCCGAAGATGTTGTTCGTAGCTGGCTGAGATTATAATGAGGTCATCTATGTATCCTAGAATGGTAACGTCCTTGAGAGTTGCTCCCGACCGGAATCTATCGATGAGCCGCTGGAAGGTGGCTGGTGCGTTGCGTAAACCAAAAGGCATGCGCCTAAATCTATGCATTCCGAAGGGAGTCACGAACGCAGTTTTATCCTGATCCTCCATACGAACGGAAACCTGCCAGTAACCGGACCGCAGGTCCACAGTACTCATGTAACAACTCTTACCTGTGTACTGCAGCAAATCGTCGATAACAGGCAACGGATAAGCGTCACTCTTTGTAATAGCATTCAGTTTCCTATAATCTACGCAAAATCTATATGACCCATCCTTCTTAGGTACTAAAAGAGCTGGCGCCGCCTATGCAGACTCGCATTCCTCAATAATACCTTGTTGGATCATATGCTCCAATTGTTCTTGCATAACAGCTTTCTTGGCGGGCGTAAGTCGGTACGGAGGTACAGCAATAGGCGCATGCTCCCCAGTCTCTATACAATGCTCCGCAAAAGGCGTAGGCCCTCCCCCTTCTCCAAAGATGTCTTCATATTCTTGGAGTAGCTCACTGAGTCTAATCTTCTCTGATGGAGATAGCATGGAACCCTCATCTGGCCGCAAAACATTTGTGGCTGCACATCCAACTACGTCACCACATGACTCAAAACACAAGGGGTGAATGACCTCGGGGCGATCAGCTGTGAACCAGTAATTCTCGGGTAAGTTAAGGACTATACGGGCTTTACGCAAAAAATCAATGCCTAACAATGTTTCATTATTACTCGCGTCGGGGAAAATAACAAAAGTGGTAGGTATTAGCATACCTGCAAGTTGAACATTTACATCCACGAGCTTTACATTTACATCGCGAATTAAACCATCAGCTAGTTTAACTGTCAATAAATCCTCTCGAAAGGGATGCTGTTGCTGTTGAAGTAAAAAATAAAGAGTGCTACCAGCAACACAACATTTAGCACCGGTATCTATTAAACCCGTACCACGAAACCCATATACCTCAATATTTAATAGAGGTCGGCGCGTTGAGTCGTCATTCCGCATAAAACACAACGGTGAAACGCAAAAATCCGCTCGCGATATATTTAAACATTGGTTACATAAATTATCAGTTTTAACATTGCTACTTACATTAACATTGTCTCTCGGAGACACATTTGTATTCTCTGACATATAGTAACAATAACACAACTTATTACTACAACATTGGGTACTATTATGAAAAGTGTCTCTCAGAGACAGTTTTATATTCTTTGACCTCTGAGTGTGACATCTATCTAAACACAAATTTTCATTCTTTGACGCCTGACGACAGTCACACGATTTAAAGTTACCTAAATTACAATTACTACTTAGACTATTATATTCAGAAAGAGAGTAAAATGTTTTAGACTTACAGTTGTCACAATTGGATCTAATGGTACCTTTGGTACCGCAACCGTAACACTTTAAATCACTTTTTTTCTTATCACAAGCACTTCTATCATGTCCTGATTTACGACAGTAGACACAAAATTTACCTCGTTTGGTAGAACTTACTACCGGAGCACTGGACGTAGAAGGCGCGAAGTCGGCACTATCCGGCTGCGGGGCCGGCGCCGTAGGGGCGGAACGCTGCGCTTCGGCGGGTGGACGCGCACCGGGCGGCGCGCGCTGCGTGCGGCGGTGCGCGCTGCTCGCGCACAGGCGTTATGGCGCGCGCTGTTGGCGCGCAATGCGCACGACTTATGGAATCGCGCGCTGACTGCGTAACAGTTGACGACGACTTCGACGACAGTTTATTTGCTTCACTTAACGCTTCTTCGACATTACGGGCTTTATATATAAGTTCTTCTATCGTAGTTACACTCTCTCTCGTAACTCTTTTCCTTATAGATCTGTTTAGTAACCCATATATAATGTCTAGCTGTACTCGTTCATCTAATACATAAGGTAACGTAGTGAGAAGGGCGCGCAGGCGGGCCACGAACACTTCTGTGCGATCAGCATCTTGCTCGGACTTAAATATGTCACGGAACACTTTGTGTGGTGGCCGCGGCGTACCATACATAGCACGCAAGCGACTCATGGCTTCTTCCCACGAAGTTACTGAGGTTCGAATACCTCTAAACCACACGGCAGCATCTCCCTCTAGGAGCATCGGCAAGCCCTTTAGTGCTATAGTGTCAGGTATACTCATACACTCTTTATAAATTTCGATATTATCGATGAATGCCTCCAAGACCGCAGGGTCGGCGTCAGTGTCGCCGCGGAACCGGGCCGTGCATTTGGCGAAGTTACCCAATGTCGCAGGTGATGTGTGTGGTGAAGGTGGTGGCGAAACGAAACCAGCAGCGCTGCCAGACTGTGCTGCTAGGATAGCTGCTACGAGTTGACTATTGGACTCCGCTTGAACCTTTGCGAAAGCGGTCAATAGTGACGCGAACTGGTTCTCACTGGAGAAGGAAACGTCTGCCACTTCTTCACTGTCACTAATCTGACTTTTACGACGGGCATTATTACGCGGCATTGTCAACAATATGATTTATAAACAGTTTCACTATAAAACAATACGCACTACGCACTTGGTAACAGTTCACTTTTCAAAACTGATGTAAGACAAAGACCTTATAGACACGAACATGTACGATAAGTATTTTGTCGACGTGAGTTCGTTACGAATAATCACTGTTATTGCCCGAGTTGGGAAGCCAATTGTTGGATCGTCATAAAAATAATTAAAATAAGTTGTAAAACTATTGCGCTGCGTGCGGTATTCAACGACCAACTGCCGCCGGCCTCCCGTTGCCCAACCGCTACCGGGGTATCTGTTGCCTAGCAACGAGCCAACAGCGCGAGGCTACCGGCGGGTGCGCCGCTATATATATATATCTACTTACGTAGTGTATTACAGTATTTTATTTTATACTATGATTACTAGTATTTTATATATTAAATTCTCGTGTCACAATGTTAGTTACCATACTCCTCCGAAATGGCTTGACTGATTTTTATAAAATTTATATGCATATTTCTGAGAATCGACTACTATCTATTTTTCATACCGCTAAGTGATAAGGGTTGTCCACCTCTAAATTTATTTTTTATTATTTTAATACCATAAAAATACGTACAACCCTAAATTTTCAACCTTCTATCACCAACCCCTATTTTTAATTGCGATATTATGTAATTTATATGCCAAAACAACGTTTGCCTGGACAGCTATAGTTATGCATAAAAACTGACTCAGGAGATGAGACAAAAAGCAACAAAGCAAGTTATCAGTCACTTTATTGACGATCTCAGTGGTCTAGCGGTTTAACACACCGCTTTACGTCCCATGGTCGCGGGTTCGATTCCACGCACGGCACAAACATTTGTATTCATGAGTGGGATCGTTTGTGTCGGTCTGGGTTATTTCTATGTATACATTTACCCAAAAAATATATCTATATATTTGTATCAGTTATCTAGTACCCGTAATACAAGCTGTAGCTTAACTTGGGTCTAGATGGCGCTGTGTGAATTGTCCTGAGATTATTATTATTTTTTCAGAAATTTGAACCTGTCGCAATCGACACTAAGAAATACGGGAAATTCTATAATGGAGACTCTTACATCGTTTTAAAGGTAAACGTCAAATATTATAATTCTAAATCTGTGAGTGGAACAAAAAGTTTCATTCATTCATTCAATCGTTTTTCATTCACTCGTTCATTATAATACCAGCCACCAGTTGTATACTTACTACCCATTCTTTTTTCGAAATATTCTAATACTGTTGGCCGCAGCTGGCCTTTACAGCTTCACCGGACGATAGGGGGCGAGTGCAGATAACACTCCAAACAAAGGAAGGACTTATGGAGCGGCTGAAAGAGAACTCCCGCCTGATGGATACGACGCCAGTCTGGGGACACTAGGGGTTTCAATCTCGGCTCAGGCTGTTGTAGTTTCGTTCCACATTTGAATGTATTCTGAACCAAAGAAATGACTGAAGTGGCTGAAGCACAACTCCCGCCTGACGGATGTGACGCTAGTCTGAAGCCGTCGTTTCTTTCCACGTTTGAATGCATTCTGAAAAAAAAAGGAAGGGCTTTTGGAGCGGCTAAAGACCAACTCCTGCCTGACGGATGCTACTATAGTCTGATGGCACTAGGGGTTCGAATCTCGGCTCAGGCCATTGTAGTTTCGTTTCACGTTTGAATGCATTCTGAACTAAAGGAAGGACTTATAGAGCGGCTTAAGACCAACTCCTGCCTGACGGATCCTACTTTAGTCTGATGGCACTAGGGGTTCCAAACTCGGCTCAAGCCGTCGTAGTTTCGTTCTACGTTTGAATGCATTTTCAACCAAAGGAAGGACTTATGGAGCGGCTTAAGACCAACTCCTGCTTGACGGATGCTACTTTAGTCTGAGGGCACTAGGGGTTCCAAACTCGGCTCAAGCCATCGTAGTTTCGTTCCACGTTTGAATGCATTTTCAACCAAAGGAAGGACTTATGGAGCGGCTTAAGACCAACTCCTGCCTGACGGATGCTACTTTAGTCTGAGGGCACTAGGGGTTCCAAACTCGGCTTAGGACGTCGTAGTTTCGTTCCACGTTTGAATGGATTCTGAACCAAATAGGGCTTATAGAGCGGTTAAAGACCAACTCGTATCTGACGGATACTACTTTTGTCTGAGGGCACTAGGGGTTCCAAACTCGGCTCAAGCCGTCCTAATTTCGAGAATTTTTATAAGGTTGGCATCATTGTCGGTCAGCTTGTTTACCATTTCCAGTATACAAAATACCGTAAAAGGATTTTAATCAATAAATCCTTGATAGATAATAAAGTATTTTTGAGATACTGTGGCTTTATATGCATTTGTTAACTGATAATAAAAACTCATTATAAAAGTATTTAGCTCTCTCTCTCTCTCTCTCTCTCTCTCTCGCTCTCCTGCCATAAATAATATTTACATAGTATAAAATGAAATCGTTTCTTCGTACGCACCTTTTTTAATGCAGTTATTAACAGTAGATAGTTGAATCTCTTCTGCTATGAATAATCTTTATATAGTATAAAATGAAATCGTTTCCGCTGTCTGTTCGCTTAGATCTTGTAAACTACACGACTGATTTTAATGCAGTTTTTCGCTGTACATAGTGATCTAAGAGGATGGTTTATATATATAATATATGCACATCCGAGTAAAGCCGGGGCGGGGGTAGCTAGATCTTTTAAATTACGCGACTGATGTTAATGCAGTTTTTAGCAGTGTATCAAGAGGAAGGTTTATATGTGTAGCAGCGGACGAGTACCTTCTACACATGCCACTTTTAGTCCTTGTAACTGTCCGTCCTAGAATTCTCATCGATTCATCTTTTTTCATAGAAGGTCGCCATCTTGAATCTTGATTTTGTTAGAATATATTATGTTATCTGTAGTTAGAACTGACATTGCTAATCGCGGTTGCTAAGTTCACTTTCTATAATATTATGTCATTGTAAAAATTGCGACACTGAAGTGCAATGGGCAGAGCACGTAGCTCGTAGGACAGATGGCCGTCGGGGCAATAAAGTCCTCGAGTGGCGACCACGGACCGGAAGACAGTGTGGGAAGGCCTCCAGCAAGGTTGACCGACGATCTGGTCAAGATCGCTGGAAGGCGTTGGATGCGAGCAGCGCAGGACCGATCGTCGTGGAGATCTTTGGGGGAGGCCAATGGCCAGCAGTGGACGTCTTCGTGGCTGAGATGATGGTGATGATGATTGTAAAACTATAATTTGATTAGTAAACACATTTTATTAAGATTCCACTGCGTTTCACTTTAATAGATTTTTTAGCTAGTGTGTAATAAACTTGGAAGTTTAAAAAGACCTAAGAATATTTCTATTCTATTCAATTGCAGACATCTGGAAGTAATAACTCGACTCTCGCCTACGATGCTCACTTCTGGCTCGGCAGCAAAACAACACAAGATAAAAAGGGTTCAGCGGCCATTCTGACGGTCACTCTAGATGACATGCTAGGCGGGAAGGCGGTGCACCACAGGGAGGTACAGGGGCACGAGTCTAGCAAGTTCTTGGGGTACTTTCAACCAGGTCAGTCCTTGAAATCATACTTAGAAATCAGTAATAAATAATAAACATTGTGGTGTCTCAGGCGTACATAGGCTACAGTAACCGTTTACCATCAGGTAGATTGTATACTTTTTTTTTATATATTTAATAAAGATTACAGTTGTTTTTAAATATTGACAAACTGTAGAACAGTTTGTTGGCAAGATATCGCTGTTTTTTTAAATACTTATCTACCCATAAACATCTATCCACATAAATACACGTTTTTACAGATTATAAAGTTTATCTAAAAGTGCATTTTCTACCGCATATATCACGGGGAGTGTTCTGAGGAATTGTTCGGATTAATACCAGCTGCTGAGTTTCACCACCGTACCACCCGCCCCGTTGTTCTTTCCCCGTAATAATTGATAGCTCTCGGTTGAACAAATTTGCTCAGCGTGTTATTTCTCGTATTATAGATATTATTTAATACTATTTTGTGTTCATTATTACTATACTGCTCCAGAGCTCTCAAATATTTAACCGTACTATGCACTTATTTGCCACTATCGGCGTTTGTCAATGCAAACGCCGATAGTGGCCTCGATGGTCTAGTGGTTTAGCACACCGCCTTACTTCCGAGGGTCGCGGGTTTGATAACTCGCACGGTGCAAACATTTGTATTCGTGAGTATGGTTGTTTCTATCGATGTGGGTGTTTTCTATGTATAATATGTATTTACGAAATATATCTATGTATTTGTATCAGTTATCTAGTAACCATTACACAAGCTTCAGCTAGCTTAACTTGGGTCTAGATGGCGCTGTGTCAATTGTCCTGAGATTATTATTATTATATAAAAAAAATTGGCAAGCAAGTATAATAACCGTTTACAACATTGGACTGTGGTTGGACCATATACTTGACTTCTAAAATCGTGATATACAAAAATGTGTTAAAGCAGACGACAATTCACACAGCGCCATCTAGTCCCAAGCTAAGCAGAGCTGGTGTTATGGGTACTAAGGAAGGTGCGCAGCATGTTGATGGGTACCCGGGCCACGAACGCTTTGAAACTCGCGTTGTGACTCGATTCCAGCTGCGTCACCCTCAATGTCAGGTTACTTCTGGTCCGCATACATTCGACACTGCCTTGGATAATGCAACATTATAAAAAAATCGAAGAAATATAAAATAAACTAGTAAAAAATAAAGGTTAGGTGGACAAACCTTATCACTTAGGGGTATGAAAAATAGATAGTAGCCGATTCTCAGACCTACTGAATATGCATATAAAATTTCATAAAAATCGGCCAAGCCGTTTATAGAATAGAATAGAATAGAAAATCATTTATTCAAATAAACTTACATTGAAGCACTTTGAGTAGTCATTACATTTTTTAATCTACCGCTCGTTCGGAAAGCTGTCTCATCACAAGAAGAACGAGCAAGAAACTTGCGTGTTGCTCTTTTAAATAATTTTATTATTACTTTACATTTTTAAGTTTAAGTGTGTGAATACAAACCACCAATTAGCACTAATTCTATTAAATACTCAAATAGAAAAAATATTGAATATATAACCAACTGGTTAAACAATTAATAAGAGGAAATCAGTCGATAGTGATTAGAGCAGACCAGTCCCTACAAGCAGCACCCGTTCACGAGTCTGACGGATGAGCCAGCCATCACTGCGCTCGACCATATTTTAGGGAGCCCAATGACCCGGCCCACCACGCCGCCACAAGTCTGGACATTTTAGTGAGCATGACTACTCAAAACACTAGACCACGTCAAAGCTACTTACAATTGCCATCTGATAGTTATAGTATTCACATTTTACATAGGAATGCATGCGGCAATCAATACAAAACCCGCTACGCTTTCATATTTCTAAAATCAATCAATTAAATCAAGAAAGCAATGAGAAAATTATATTATAACGTTGTTATAACGTGTTTCGTAGGAGTATGGTAACTAACATTGTGGTATGAGAATTTTATATCTATACTAATATAGGCAGAAGAGTTTGTTTGTTTGAATGCACTAATCTCAGAAACTACTGATTCGAATAGAAAAATTATTTTTGTGTTGGATAGTCCATTTGTTGAGGAAGGCTTTAAGCTATATAACATTACGCTACGACCAATAGCAGTGGAACTACAATGAAAAATATTGAAAAAAAGTGGGGAAATGAAACGCAGACGAAGTAGGGTCATCTTGGTATAAGATAAATGGAGTGATATTTGCAGCCATCAGATATCTGGAAGGAGGCAACGAGTCAGGCTTCACCGAGGTGGAAACAAATGCTGGTGCTGAGAAGCGACTCCTGAAATTGACGGGATGTGACAACATGAGGATCGAAGAGGTATTTATATATTTATTAAAACTTAATGCACAGATACACTAATAAAGCTGCACATGAAGAACTTAACATCTAGAGGCATTTTCTCCCAGTCAACCATACGGCAAACAGAGATTCATGTGGGCGGTGCATTATGATTAATATATAATACATAATAGTTACATAACTTAAAGGCGATGGATGAAAGACGACTGCATGCAACTGAAATGAGAATGTTGAGGTGGATGTGTGGTGTGACAAGAATGGATAAGATAAAGAATGAATACATTAGAGGAAGTATGAAAGTGGCGCCGGTGTCGGAGAGGTTGAAGAGTAATCGTCTGTCGTGGTATGGACATGTAATGCGTAGGAATGAAGAACATCTTAAGGAAGGTGTTACATATGAATGTGGATGGTTGTAAGGGCAGAGGAAGGCCGAAAAAGAGATGGATGGACTGTGTGAAAGATGATATGGTTAGAAAGGAAGTGAATGACAGAGATGAATGGAAGAGAAACACATATTACGCCGACCCCAAATAAATGGGATAAGGAAGAAGCAGATTTAGATTTAACACGATGGATTCCAGGAGGAACCGCGTGGAGGTCAACCTGACATGGTTCATTGCTAGCAAGATCATCAGTCCACATTACTAACAATCCCCTTCCCCCCCCCCTCCCCCCGAACACTATTAGGTATATATATTAGGTATTAATTTAATTGCTGAATGTGGTTATTTACCGCCAGATACCAGCAGAGGCGTCGTCTCTGACAAAGGACCATTGCTTCATCCTGGAGGTGGAACACGACATCTTCGTCCTCATGCCCGAAGGTGCTAAAGCCACACAGAGAAGGAAGATCATCAGCGTCGCCAACACCCTCCGTGATGACTACCACAACGGAAGGGCCACCATTGAAATAATCGGTAAATTCCTTTTATCCAAAACTTCGTCTCCGGAAACTTTCATCCGTATTGCAGCTTCTTTTTTATCGTATGGAAAAATCTTCGAAAGACTATCTCCCGATGAGGTTACGAGGGGGTGTATTGGACCCTACGTACCTAGAAGTAAATAAGAGTCGGAGTACCGAGGTCGCGTTAGTATTCTACCGCAATTCCGGCGACGCTGACCGCCCTTTCTCTGAAACATTTTTTGAGATAACCAAATCTTAATGTCCATTTTTATTAGATCTAGCTGTTCCCGCGACTTCGGCCGCGTGGAATTTAACTTTATTTTCCTAGATTAACAGAATTGTTCTAAAAAAAGTAGCATAGGTTACTCCTTATTACATCAGGTACCTGCCAAAAATGTCCGTCAAAATGGGTCCAGCTATTTCAGAGATTAGCCGGAACAAACAGACAGACAGACAAAAATTGTAAAAAGTGTTATTTTGGTGTATGTACCGTATTTATATTCATATGCATGTAGTAAAAAACGGTTATTTCAATATTACAAACAGACACGAATTTTATTTATATGTTTAGATATAGACAAATTATATACACAGACCATGACATAATTAAAAAATAAATATAAAAGAAATGTGAAGAGGCTACCAACTCAGCATAAAGCTACTAAATATTCTGTTGGCACGTTTGTTACATTTTTTTTATATTATTTTATAGTAGTTACCATAGTTTAAAACTACTGTAAAGTTTACTTTGGGTCACGGTGAACTACGACTTCGAACCTGTGACCCTGGCTCTAATAGGAGGACACCAAGGGCTTTTATATATATTATAATAATGATTTATTACCACACAACAGTCAATTTCGTTAGTAACAACTTAATAACATAATTTAAACAGCAGATGTCCAACAGTATGCGACCGTCTCCTCCCCCTGGGCAGGCGGATCTACCTACAAATTTCCCGTTGTAAAAAATCGTATAATTTAGTTGAGTATTGCATGAAATAAGAGTTTTATTTTCATTTTAAGCGAGAATCAGTAACTTATATTAGTCAAAGCAAAATTTACACTAAAACTTGTTTTAATACATGGGTTTCTGATACATAATTTTTAATTTTTTTTATTTCTAGACGAGTTCTCGTCAGATGATGATTTCGGTGTGTTCTTCGAGGCACTAGGGTCAGGGTCCAAGGATGACTTGCTTGATGATGACTCCACCGACGTAAGTATATTTAGATTATCTAAAAAAACATGTGGAAAAGCAAAAAAAAAATACAACTAGGCAAGTGTATTTTGGATATGTGGATCGTAACTGGCTTAAAGAATTTTAGAATCTCTAGCAAATCAGCGCAGAAATGCTGTGTTATGGCCCAGTACGATAAGGTAATTTTCCTTGATATGTCTATTTTTTTTTATATGTAGATAGTATTTTTATTGACTTGAAATGGCGAACAAGCTGAGGGTCTACCTGATGGTAACTGGTAACCGTCGCCTATACATGAACAGCACTACGGACTGAACAATTCAAACCATATAAGTTTGAATTGTTCAGTCCGTAATAGTCGGCAATAGTTGTTCATGCACGGGATTTTCATTTAATGTTAAACATAGACACCTATATAAATATACATTGTAAACAAACTGGCTTTTAAAAACAAAATGTAATTCAATTGAGTTTCTTGCCAGTTCTTCTCAATTGGATCTATATACTGAACTGAGCGGTAGGGAAAAAATTAAAAATATATTGTGAAAAATTTGACGTTTGAATAAATGATTTTTGAATTTGACATCACGTTATCATGTCCCCGTGATATCACTCAGGCATGATAAACAAAACTGAAACAGTTTACAATGTGAATGTCCAATATGTGAATTGTCCAAGGGTATTATTATTATACTAGCTGACCCCGCAGAACGTTGTTCTGCCATATAGAAAGGAAGAAAGAAAATTGTTTATTTGGTACACTGAAAATAATTTTTAAATTTTAAATTTTTATTTACATTTTATCGGTTTATATTAATAATTACAGTACCAAATAGGTGTCCGCTCAGCATATGTCGTGACGGGGTGCCACGACGCTGGTTTTCAGCGGATACCTACATATATAATAAATATATTAAAATAATAATAATAATACACATACATAGATCTAGGCGGATAACACAGAGTAAACATTTACGACATACTACCATATATAAATAAACATCAAACATAACTATACACTGAAACATAAAATAAACATAAGTTCTGGTGACACTAGTAGACTCACATCTTGCATTACCCTGCATTTAGAGTGCAGACACATCACGGCACTGTTTTCTGAATGAGGAGTATTTTTATTAATTTATTTTTAAAAATCTGCACATTTTGACGACCTCGGTGGTCTAGCGGTCAAGCACACCGCTTTGCGACCGATGGTCGCGGGTTCGATTCCTCGCACGGCACAAACATTTGTATTCATGAGTATGATTGTTTGTATCGGTCTGGGTGTTTTCTATGTATAATATGTATCTATTTACAAAGAAAAAAAATATCTATGTATTTGTATCAGTTATCTAGTACCCATAACACAAGCTCTAGCTAGCTTAACTTGGGACTAGATGGCTCTGTGTGAATTGTCCTGAGATTATTATTACTTTTATTATTATATATAGCGTAGCCATCTAGCGTAATTAAAATCGCTAATAAAAAATTAGGGTTGGTTGTAAGAGGGGGTGGATAATCCTTATCACTTAGGCATATAAAAAATAGATAATAGCCGATTCTTAGACCTACTGAACATGTATATAAAATTTAATAAAAATCGGTCAAGTCGTTTCGGAGGGGTATGGTAACTAACATTGTGATACGAGAATTTTATTTGCTACTTCCGCTTCCAGGGTTATACTCGTGATTCGGTCTCTGCTGTCTACCTGTACAAAGTTCAGCTTGGTGATGAATTGGATCTGGAAGCATTGAGCAAACCGTACAAGCAGAAACAATTGGAATCCAGCGTAAGTACTATCATATAGGCACTTGGGACCTTATGTAAAATACGGTCACACGGGAGGTTATAGTAATTTTTTGTGTGACATTGTATAACAAGAGTTTTATTGAGGAAACTTAGAAGAACTCCTTGGGATCTAGCGTGAGTAATATTATAGGCACTTTGAGATTTTATACAAATTGAATTTGACCCCCAAAAACTGTGACCGACACGTTTTTGGGGGACAAATTTAGACAAAATAAAAAGTCTGGGGTGGATCGTGAATTTGTCGGACCCTGGGCTAAAACTACTTAGGGGCCTACCTAATTATATTACTCAACTAGAATTGAGATTTTGTACAAATTGAATTTGACCCCCAAAAACTGTGACCGACACGTTTTTGGGGGACAAATTTAGACAAAATACAAAGTCTGGGGTGGATCTTGAATTTGTGGGACCCTGGGCTAAAACTACTTAGGGGCCTACCTAATTATATTACTCAACTAGAATTGAGATTTTATACAAATTGAATTTGACCCCCAAAAACTGTGACCGACACGTTTTTGGGGGACAAATTTAGACAAAATAAAAAGTCTGGGGTGGATCGTGAATTTGTCGGACCCTGGGCTAAAACTACTTAGGGTCTACCTAATTATATTACTCAACTAGAATTGAGATTTTATACAAATTGAATTTGACCCCCAAAAACGTGTTACCGACACGTTTTTGGGGGACAAATTTAGACAAAATAAAAAGTCTGGGGTGGATCGTGAATTTGTCGGACCCTGGGCTAAAACTACTTAGGGTCTACCTAATTATATTACTCAACTAGAATTGAGATTTTATACAAATTGAATTTGACCCCCAAAAACGTGTTACCGACACGTTTTTGGGGGACAAATTTAGACAAAATAAAAAGTCTGGGGTGGATCGTGAATTTGTCGGACCCTGGGCTAAAACTACTTAGGGTCTACCTAATTATATTACTCAACTAGAATTGAGATTTTATACAAATTGAATTTGACCCCCAAAAACTGTGACCGACACGTTTTTGGGGAACAAATTTAGACAAAATAAAAAGTCTGGGGTGGATCGTGAATTTGTGGGACCCTGGGCTAAAACTACTTAGGGGCCTACCTAATTATATTACTCAACTAGACAAATACACCGACCAAAAACAAGCGACCAGAAATTTCCCGTTCCTTTCTACATATGGGTTAACTGATCTCAGGGTTGTCAATCTTATGATCGGTTTTTTAATATTTTAGTTATTTTTAATTTATTTTGAGTAGGGGCTGTGGGCCCTTTGTATCCACGGGGGCCTAGGCTGGAGCCCATAAAGCCCGTAGGTAGATCCGCCCCTGGTTGGAATGGTGTTTGATATAAATCTATCAATTTCTGAACATACTCACAATCTATTATTACCTCATACTTCTAATGTTATCCATAAAACAGATTAGAATAGAAAATCATTTATTCATGTAAGCACTTTTGAATAGTCAACATTTTTTTTTAAATCTACCGCTTATTCGGAAAGCTGTCTAATCACAAGAAGAATAAGCAAGAAACTTGTGTGTTGCTCTTTTAAACAATCCTTGTAAGTTCACATTTTACAAGTCGAAACGTGTGAATACAAACTACCAACCAGCACTAATTCATTTAGGCTCAAATATAAAAACACAATAAGATTAAATCTAAATTTAGCAGGAATAAGGAGTTATTCGTTCGTTAAACATCGCGTGGTACACTCGCTGGTCAAGTATGAATACAAAAGTTTAATAATAATAATAATAATTGTCGTACAGTCCGAAAATTTCTCGAAATCGATAAAAATTATATAACCCAGTCACACCAGGCACACAATAAGTACACACACACTCACACATACATACACGCGCACACACACATACACACACTCTGCACTTACTTGGTTTCGGCCCGTAAGTGTGGAGAAAACCAGCAATAGCTGAGAAAAAATAAACAATAGCAATAATAATAATAATAATAATCTTTATTTGTCTCAAACAGAAACTTTTTACACAATACAACTATTGCCCATAGAATAATATAATTTAATAACTAATGAATGAGACAAAACGGTCTATAACTCAGTGAGGGCGGTGAGTCCACCCTCTCTGCTATTCTGTTACAGCCTTTATCAGTACAATACAATGTTAGATCGATTTGTTATTATATATACATGTAAGAGTATTGATACCAGACAACTCATCGTTACGATAATTAAATAATAAACACTTTTATCAAATTCCAGAGATGTATTCGGTGCAACGGTTACACACAGAAAGAGAGTTATTCAATTACCGACCTCCGTATTTATAGACCGAAGTCAGTGTAGTAGGAAGAGAAGCAGGCGTAACGATTATCTTATGACAAACAACTTAGTTCGGTCTATAAGTACTAGATGGCGTTATTTACAATATTTATAATAATCCTTAACTTTAATACTTCATTATGTTAAATATTAAATAACAGTGATTTGATCAATATAGGCCGAATATAATTAAATTAATCAATTAACAATGAAAATAGTCATTGTATTGAGTTTGCGCTATCATACATACTTTTTATTATACATCAGAATAACATATAGTCTATAAATTTGACGCGGGTGAAACCGCGGACGTAGCTAGTAAACTATAAATGAAATTTACCATTTGATACAAAGTCTCAATATAATGATTTCTTATTTGCAGGAAATCTATGTCCTGGATACTCCATGCTCTGGTATCTACATCTGGCTGGGTAATGATGTGGACGCAGACACGAAGAAGAACTACTATGACATCGTGCAGAAGTATCTAGACGCCAAGGGCTATCCTTCTTGGGTGAGTAGTTATATATATCTACATATATTTGTTTCTCAAATAGGATAACAAATGGCGCTTGGTTACTTTTTGGGTGAATAGTCTCTTCGACCTGAGTGTAATAATGTTTCTCAAATACGATAACAGATGGCGCTTGGTTACTTTTTGGGTGAATAGTTTCTTCGACCTGAGTATAATAATGTTTCTCAAATAGGATAACAGATGGCGCTAGGACGCTTTTTGGGTGAATAGTTTCTTCGACCTGAGTATAATAATGTTTCTCAAATACGATAACAGATGGCGCTAGGTTACTTTTTGGGTGAATAGTTTCTTCGACCTGAGTATAATAATGTTTCTCAAATACGATAACAGATGGCGCTTGGTTACTTTTTGGATGAATAGTTTCTTCGACCTGAATAATAATGTTTCTAGGATAACAGATGGCGCTAGGACGTATTTGGGTGAATAGTTTCTTCGACCTGTTAATGTTTCTCAAATACGATAACAGATGGCGCTAGGTTACTTTTTGGGTGAATAGTTTCTTCGACCTGAGTATAATAATGTTTCTCAAATACGATAACAGATGGCGCTAGGTTACTTTTGGGGTGAATAGTTTCTTCGACCTGAGTATAATAATGTTTCTCAAATAGGATAACAGATGGCGCTAGGACGCTTTTTGGGTGAATAGTTTCTTCGACCTGAGTATAATAATGTTTCTCAAATACGATAACAGATGGCGCTAGGTTACTTTTTGGGTGAATAGTTTCTTCGACCTGAGTATAATAATGTTTCTCAAATACGATAACAGATGGCGCTAGGTTACTTTTGGGGTGAATAGTTTCTTCGACCTGAGTATAATAATGTTTCTCAAATAGGATAACAGATGGCGCTAGGACGCTTTTTGGGTGAATAGTTTCTTCGACCTGAGTATAATAATGTTTCTCAAATACGATAACAGATGGCGCTAGGTTACTTTTTGGGTGAATAGTTTCTTCGACCTGAGTATAATAATGTTTCTCAAATAGGATAACAGATGGCGCTAGGACGCTTTTTGGGTGAATAGTTTCTTCGACCTGAGTATAATAATGTTTCTCAAATAGGATAACAGATGGCGCTAGGACGCTTTTTGGGTGAATAGTTTCTTCGACCTGAGTATAATAATGTTTCTCAAATACGATAACAGATGGCGCTAGGTTACTTTTGGGGTGAATAGTTTCTTCGACCTGAGTATAATAATGTTTCTCAAATACGATAACAGATGGCGCTAGGACGCTTTTTGGGTGAATAGTTTCTTCGACCTGAGTATAATAATGTTTCTCAAATACGATAACAGATGGCGCTAGGTTACTTTTTGGGTGAATAGTTTCTTCGACCTGAGTATAATAATGTTTCTCAAATAGGATAACAGATGGCGCTAGGACGCTTTTTGGGTGAATAGTTTCTTCGACCTGAGTATAATAATGTTTCTCAAATACGATAACAGATGGCGCTAGGTTACTTTTTGGGTGAATAGTTTCTTCGACCTGAGTATAATAATGTTTCTCAAATAGGATAACAGATGGCGCTAGGACTGCTTTTTGGGTGAATAGTTTCTTCGACCTGAGTATAATAATGTTTCTCAAATACGATAACAGATGGCGCTAGGTTACTTTTTGGGTGAATAGTTTCTTCGACCTGAGTATAATAATGTTTCTCAAATACGATAACAGATGGCGCTAGGACGCTTTTTGGGTGAATAGTTTCTTCGACCTGAGTATAATAATGTTTCTCAAATAGGATAACAGATGGCGCTAGGACGCTTTTTGGGTGAATAGTTTCTTCGACCTGAGTATAATAATGTTTCTCAAATAGGATAACAGATGGCGCTTGGTTACTTTTTGGGTGAATAGTTTCTTCGACCTGAGTATAATAATGTTTCTCAAATAGGATAACAGATGGCGCTAGGACGCTTTTTGGGTGAATAGTTTCTTCGACCTGAGTATAATAATGTTTCTCAAATACGATAACAGATGGCGCTAGGTTACTTTTGGGGTGAATAGTTTCTTCGACCTGAGTATAATAATGTTTCTCAAATAGGATAACAGATGGCGCTAGGACGCTTTTTGGGTGAATAGTTTCTTCGACCTGAGTATAATAATGTTTCTCAAATACGATAACAGATGGCGCTAGGTTACTTTTGGGGTGAATAGTTTCTTCGACCTGAGTATAATAATGTTTCTCAAATAGGATAACAGATGGCGCTAGGACGCTTTTTGGGTGAATAGTTTCTTCGACCTGAGTATAATAATGTTTCTCAAATACGATAACAGATGGCGCTAGGTTACTTTTGGGGTGAATAGTTTCTTCGACCTGAGTATAATAATGTTTCTCAAATACGATAACAGATGGCGCTAGGACGCTTTTTGGGTGAATAGTTTCTTCGACCTGAGTATAATAATGTTTCTCAAATAGGATAACAGATGGCGCTAGGTTTTTTTGGGTGAATAGTTTCTTCGACCTGAGTATAATAATGTTTCTCAAATACGATAACAGATGGCGCTAGGTTACTTTTGGGGTGAATAGTTTCTTCGACCTGAGTATAATAATGTTTCTCAAATAGGATAACAGATGGCGCTAGGACGCTTTTTGGGTGAATAGTTTCTTCGACCTGAGTATAATAATGTTTCTCAAATACGATAACAGATGGCGCTAGGTTACTTTTGGGGTGAATAGTTTCTTCGACCTGAGTATAATAATGTTTCTCAAATACGATAACAGATGGCGCTAGGTTACTTTTGGGGTGAATAGTTTCTTCGACCTGAGTATAATAATGTTTCTCAAATACGATAACAGATGGCGCTAGGACGCTTTTTGGGTGAATAGTTTCTTCGACCTGAGTATAATAATGTTTCTCAAATACGATAACAGATGGCGCTAGGTTACTTTTGGGGTGAATAGTTTCTTCGACCTGAGTATAATAATGTTTCTCAAATACGATAACAGATGGCGCTAGGTTACTTTTGGGGTGAATAGTTTCTTCGACCTGAGTATAATAATGTTTCTCAAATACGATAACAGATGGCGCTAGGACGCTTTTTGGGTGAATAGTTTCTTCGACCTGAGTATAATAATGTTTCTCAAATACGATAACAGATGGCGCTAGGTTACTTTTGGGGTGAATAGTTTCTTCGACCTGAGTATAATAATGTTTCTCAAATACGATAACAGATGGCGCTAGGTTACTTTTGGGGTGAATAGTTTCTTCGACCTGAGTATAATAATGTTTCTCAAATAGGATAACAGATGGCGCTAGGACGCTTTTTGGGTGAATAGTTTCTTCGACCTGAGTATAATAATGTTTCTCAAATACGATAACAGATGGCGCTAGGTTACTTTTTGGGTGAATAGTTTCTTCGACCTGAGTATAATAATGTTTCTCAAATAGGATAACAGATGGCGCTAGGTTACTTTTGGGGTGAATAGTTTCTTCGACCTGAGTATAATAATGTTTCTCAAATACGATAACAGATGGCGCTAGGACGCTTTTTGGGTGAATAGTTTCTTCGACCTGAGTATAATAATGTTTCTCAAATACGATAACAGATGGCGCTAGGTTACTTTTGGGGTGAATAGTTTCTTCGACCTGAGTATAATAATGTTTCTCAAATACGATAACAGATGGCGCTAGGTTACTTTTGGGGTGAATAGTTTCTTCGACCTGAGTATAATAATGTTTCTCAAATAGGATAACAGATGGCGCTAGGACGCTTTTTGGGTGAATAGTTTCTTCGACCTGAGTATAATAATGTTTCTCAAATACGATAACAGATGGCGCTAGGTTACTTTTGGGGTGAATAGTTTCTTCGACCTGAGTATAATAATGTTTCTCAAATAGGATAACAGATGGCGCTAGGACGCTTTTTGGGTGAATAGTTTCTTCGACCTGAGTATAATAATGTTTCTCAAATACGATAACAGATGGCGCTAGGTTACTTTTGGGGTGAATAGTTTCTTCGACCTGAGTATAATAATGTTTCTCAAATAGGATAACAGATGGCGCTAGGACGCTTTTTGGGTGAATAGTTTCTTCGACCTGAGTATAATAATGTTTCACTTTTTGGGTGAATAGTTTCTTCGACCCGAGTATAATAATGTTTCTCAAATACGATAACAGATGGCGCTAGGATACCTTTTGGATGAATAGTTTCTTCGACCTGAGCATAATAATGTTTCTCAAATACGATATCAGATGGCGCTAGGTTAAATGTACATCGCGCTAAAAGTTTTTTTTCTCTTAACACGTTGGAGACAACATTCTCACATAGGCACCGGAATTTTTTGTTGTTAATTACATATATTCTTTTTTAAATATGTTTTTGGTGTACATAACATTATTTTAGATTTATTTCAATTGAAGTGCCCACGGGTGAATATCCCGGTCGCATCGTGTTAAAACCACAAGGTCCTAAGGGTACTATAAACCAAAACACTACACTCGTATATATAAGGTTTATTGGTCGGTTTCAAATACAGGTACAGGTACAAATTTATTACAAATAACATATGAGAAATCAATAAAACGAAACATTAGCGCGTTTCAATTTTGTTACAGCGCCATCTATTGGCGTTGAATGCAAACACTATTGTTTCACACTTATTATCTATTTACCTTAACACATCGTGTAAATTTACTTTTGTTGTTAACCCACCGGTGGGCATGCGGTCTTTAACGTGTTAAGCATGAATTTTTTTTTATTATCTACCCACTCCGCTCGAAGACAAAAGGAAGCTTATAGCCTGTACAGTAAGTATGCAACGAGAAGATATAACAACAGCGACAACGCGGTCCAATTAACGTTCTTATTGACCTCACGACTCTACAACACCAACGGCAGCAAACTCTCCCTACGGGTCTTGGACAGGATTAAAATTCCGTGTCACATTGCAGGTTCATGCCACAAGAGTGACTCAAGGGCTCGAGAACTCCAACTTCCAACAATACTTCCACAACTGGGACACCGTGGGAGGCAAGTCCACCAAAGAATATGCTACTGATATAGGTGATTGTTTTTATGGATGGTTATAAGGGCAGAGGAAGGCCGAAAAAGAGATGGATGGACTGTGTGAAAGATGATATGGTAAGAAAGGAAGTAAATAACGAGATGACTGTGGACAGGGATGAATGGAAGCGAAAAACATATTACGACGACCACAAATAAATGGGATAAGGAAGAAGCAGATGATGATAGGTGATTGTTTTTAAACTTTCGTATCTAATTGTAATATCTCTGGACAATTCACACAACGCCATCTAGTTCCAAGTTAACCAAAGCTTGTGTTATTGGTACTAAATAGAAACGAACTTCTTAACATTTCATAGTTAAAAGGGCAACTGTAACCACTAACCATGGAGTTAAACTTAAACTCGATGGATATACCTAAGAAAGGAGGAATAAGTAATTGTTCGGATTCGGATTATACCAGCTGCTGAGTTTCACCATCATACCGCCCGCCAGAAACTAAAATACTATCCTTATCACCTGGATGAATGGCGATCCTCCACAGTGCGGTTTTCTAGAAACTTTTTGCCACGCACAACCACATTGTGGAATCATCTTCCAGCAATGGTATTTCCGAACCGTTACGATATTGAAACCTTCAAGAAAAGAGCTTATTCCTTTTTAAAAGGCCGACAACGTACTTGCAATTCCCCTGGTGTTGCGGGTGCTCATGGGCGGCGGTAATCACTTACCATCAGGTAAGCCGCATGCTCATTTGTTTCTGTGTTATGAGAAAAAAGAAAATGCCGTGATCTTCCACCCTTTTGACTGCTAATAAAAATATTAATTGGCCGTTTTGTTTTAGATGGCGGATATTATTCAGGAGATGCCGATGAGTCAGCAGCTGCAGCTAAACAGATCGGCAAGAGTGCATCTGCCAGGGGCTACATGCCAGACAATGGAGAGGGTTCTCTTACTGTCACCAGGTAATCTTCTAATTCTGAGCATAAGTTTCTTGGTCATTCTTCTTGTGCTGAGTCCACATTCTAAATGAGCAGGAGCGGCTCTACGTAAGGGCTTTTTGGGCTCCAGCCCAGTGCCCCGAGGATACAAAGGGCCCCAGTCGCCACTGAAATGATAAAAATATCTAGAATGTTAAAAAACATTTTTTTTTTTTAACATGGAGAAAATCCCTCATGGAGACCCGCCGGCCCCGGGGGAAGCCCCCGGTACTGTGAGACTCCTACTCACTAAAAACTCCAAGATGTCCCTCACCCAACGCCTAAGCCGGAGTCGCGGGATCGATGACAGTCAACCGCAACTCCGGCGGCGGTGGCCCACTCTAGCAGCGGGCCCCATCTCTGCGGGTTCCCTAGCGGAACCCACTACTTCCCCTCCTCTTCCCTGGGAAAGGCGCGCGGGGAAATGCGCGCGACTTCTTCGGGTCTAGTGCGGTGGGGTGGGTCCGCCCCCGCGGTCGTCACCCCGAGAATGTTAAAAAACCTATCATAAGGTTGGCAACCCGTGCAAGTGCGCGTCTATCGAAAGGAACGGGGAATTTCTGGTCGCTTGTTTCTGGTCGGTGTGTTTTTTTAGTTAAATAATATAATTAGGTAGGTCCCTAAGTAGATTTAGCCCAGGTCCCCACAAATTCATGGTCCGCCCTTGCAAATGAGTAGTAGAATAGACAAACATTAGGGAGAAAGGGTTAGTAATATGGACTGATGACCTCGTTGCTAGAAATTCACCTTACTTGGTGAACCTCGACGCGGTTCCCCCTGAATAGCATCCTGATAATTTCTTGGTGAATTCGGATGTGCTAACTGACCTTACCTCATGTTCATCTGTATCATCCTCCACTGGTGCCCTGTCAGCGTATACTGTTTGCGCAGGCGGGTGCAACATTATATTATCATCCGTAAAAGAAGCTATATATATATATATATATATATATATATAATAGTTTTAAGATATAAACGTGTTGGCAATTAGGTGTAAGTTTTGCGGTTTTTTCAAGAAGGGTATATTAAGGTTTCTTAAGGGTTGGCAATGCGCAGGTAACACCCCTCGTGTTTCAGGCGTCCAAAGACTACGGTAACCGTTTACCATCAGGTGGGCCGTATGCTTGTATGCCACCATAGTAGTATAAAAAAGGGAATCATAATGATTTTTGATCACCAGGATCGCAGGAGACCAAGAAGATGTAACGGAGCGCTTCGAGTCGGGACTGTCGGTGTTCTACCAGAGCGAAGTTTATGTAGTGAAATATCAGTATACGAACGCAGACGGGGACGACGCCTATGTTATATACACTTGGATCGTAAGTGGCCAACAAATATTAACTGTGCCCGCGGTTATGTTATATGTTATTCTAATGTATAGGCTATATTACTGAAAAGTTTCATCGAAATTCGTTCAGCAGTTTTTGCGTGAAAAAGTAGCAAATATCCATCCATACTCCATACAAACTTTCGCATTTATGATATTAGTAAGATGTATGGTATTCTTACACACATATATTATACTTATTTATGTGGGAATGAGGATTCGCAAATAACAGGTGATTATTTTTACAGAACTCCTTTTATTTAAATTACAAAGAAACATTTACTATACAAGTCTATGAGGAAGAGAACGATGCCCATTCTCTTTTCTCATTCATTCATTTCTCCATCCATTCACTCTTTCGTTTCTATCCATTCGCTCCTCCGTTTCCATTCATTCATACTCATTCGTTCCCATTCGTTCATACCGCCAAGTTTCAAATCCTACAGCGTTTTCTTTGTAATGTTTTGTTACGTATAAAGGTTGTACCAATTTACCTTCTTCGGAGATTTTGGTTGAAAGTTACAGAAAAAAAAAAAAAATTTGTGTCAACAGTTTTTTATACTACTACTGGCTACTCGACCCGGCTTCGCCCGGGTGTACATGTAATATATAATAATAATAATATGATTTATTTATTTCTCCTCACAAACATGATGGCAACAATACATGTAGTATTTTTTATAGTAAAATACTTAAATTTATTATTTTAATCGATTTGCTGTGAGGAGCTGGTGTCTGAGATAGGCATAACCTGTAATACAGATCACCAAACCTTATATATAAACCTTCCTCTAGAATCACTATCTATTTTAAAAAACGCTTCAAAATCCGTTGCGTAGTTTTAAAGATTTAAGCATACATACGGACGGACAGACAGCAACAGCGACTTTGTTTTATACTATGTAATAATGGTTGCAAAGAAGCATACGGCCGATCTGATGGTAACCGTTGCCGTAGCCTATGGATGCCTGAAACACCAGGGCTGTTACGTGCGCGTTGCCGACCCTTAAGAAATCTTAATATACCCTTCTTGAAAAATACATAGGGCTCCGACGCATCATCGGATGATAAAGCAGCCGCGACCACTTTGGCATCCGAGCTGGAGGATGAAGTGGACGGCGATGTCAACGTGGTGAAAGTCCCCCAAGGGAAGGAAGCGAAGCATTTCCTGAACATCTTCAAAGGTATATTGAAATTTGTTGAGTAACAAGGCGTTTTTTTAATGGTGAAGTTGTCTTCGCTAATGGTATACGCTGGCGGGGCATCAGCGGAGTATGAGTATGAGGTCAGGTCAGTTAGCACATCGTGGCAAGTGTTAGAATTCACATTTTGGGGTAATTGATAGAAATACTCCCAATAAACTCGTAATTATTTAATTGAAATGAGCCTACAATCGACACGGGTGTAACCTAATACAGAATAATCGCGACTGGCTATGACCGAGCGGCAGCGGACGCTGCACGGTGCAGCAAAGCGATGCGTTACAAAACTGTTAGACGACGCTCAGGTAAGTACATCACCGAAAGTCCGGCCAACCGCATACTACGGGTTTCGCTCGAGTATGCTCATGAATTAAATTAATGTTGTACAATAATGATTGTATGTGTATATAAGTATAGTATATGTATATAATAAGAGTATAAATGTATATATATTTATATTATTATAGTTATATACGTGAATATATTTTGATAAAATATAAAATGTGTAAATCTGTAAATATGAACTTTAAGTCACCTACACACATCATTATTGTAGAAAAAATCCGATATTTTAAAAATATTTTAAAAGAAGGTAGTTTGTTTTTAGTACTAATGAAGTACCCAATGTAAGGATTACTAATGAAGTACCCAATGTAAGGATTATTACGAATATTGTAAATAGCGCCATCTAGTATTTATAGACCAAACTACTACACTGACTTTGGTCTATAAATACGGAGGTCGGTAGTTGAATAATCCTCTTTCGTTGGGTGAGCCGCGGCATTCAGTCGACGAGCGCAGGCCGTGCCGGTTGTGTTTTGGATACTAAAGTGAATTATTATTATTAGAAATGGGTTTATCCTGGATTTAGTTGGGTCTGGGGGGAAGCTGCAAGTAGTGAGGGTGAGTGTTAATGCATTCTAAAAGGCCCTTTTAAACCTACACCCGTGTCACAAGTCACGGGCGCTACTTGGGGTTTCCCTTTCGGTAGCTGGCTTCAAAGCCTAAGTCATCATCATAGATAGTGGATCTTACAAAACGAAAATAGATATATAGGCAAACTCCTTCTTCTCTATCTATTATATTATGTACTTTATGAGGTTTAGTAATAAAATCAGGACATTTCACACAGCGCCATCCAGTCCCAAGTAAGACAAAGCAACGGACAGAAACACTTAAATATATGCATAATATACATAGAAAACACCCAGACTGATACAATCATACTCATGAACACAAATGTTTGTGCCGTGCGAGGATTCGAACCCGCGACCATCGGTAGTAAAGCGGTGTGCTAAACCGCTAGATGACCGGGGCTATCAATGATAATGTTAAGGAAATGTTAGATGTGATACGATGTTAATGTTGTTTTTTTTTTACAGGCAATCTAGCAATAATATTCGGCAACAAGGACGATGAGTATAAACCGACCAACGCAAAAAGTACATATGACGATGACAAAATTAGGCTATTCAGAGTGAGTTTGTTTTTTCCGTATTACATCCTGAATGTCGTTTTTTAATAGCACAAACGAGTCTGCGGCTCACCTGATGGTAAGTGATTACCGCCGCCCATGAGCACCTAACACCAGGAGAATTGCAAGTACGTTGTCAGTTTTTTAAAAAGGAATAAGCTCTTTTCTTGAAGGTTTCAATATCGTTTCGGTTCGGAAATACCATTGCTGGAAGGTGATTCCACAATGTGGTTGTGCGAGGCAAAAAGTTTCTAGAAAACCGCACTGTGGAGGACCGCCATTCATCCAGGTGATGAGGATAGTATTTTAGTTTCTGGCGGGCGGTATGATGGTGAAACTCAGCAGCTGGTATAATCCGAATCCGAACAATTACTTATTCCTCCTTTCTTAGGTATATCCATCGAGTTTAAGTTTAACTCCATGGTTAGTGGTTACAGTTGCCCTTTTAACTATGAAATGTTAAGAAGTTCGTTTCTATCTAGTACCAATAACACAAGCTCTGGTTAACTTGGAACTAGATGGCGTTGTGTGAATTGTCCAGGGATATTACAATTAGATACGAAAGTTTAAAAACAATCACCTATCATCATCTGCTTCTTCCTTATCCCATTTATTTGTGGTCGTCGTAATATGTTTTTCGCTTCCATTCATCCAGATGATCAGGATGGTAGTTTTGTTTCTGGCGGGTGGTACGGTGGTGAAACTCAGCAGCTGGTATTAATTCGAACAATTCCTCAGACCACTCTACGTGATATATGCGGTAGAAAATGCACAGAGATGCAATTTCTCGCTGCAGAGCCAATTGGTTGAGTCTGTCACATTTCTTATACCATGTAAATCTATGTTTTATCGGACTATTCTTTGAGTTTTTTTTTCTGGTGCAAAAGTTAATCAATCGTGTAACGAGAACTATGTACGCGTATATGATGTCAAAGATATCTTATCTTGCAGTTGCAAAAAAACTTAAAAATGTAAAGTTACAACGATTATTTACAAGAGCAACACGTAAATTTCTTGTTCGTTCTTCTTGTGATAAGACAGATTTCCGAATGAGAGGTAGATTCAGAAATGCTTCAATGTAATTTTATTTGAATAAATGAATTTCTATTCTATTCTCATTCCTTCATGTTATAGGTGGAAGGCACCAAGTTGGGTGTGGACATGAGGGCGGTGCAGGTGGAGGAGTCTGCTGATATCCTGGAAGATGACGACGTTTTCGTGCTGGAGACTCCTGATGTGGTTTACATTCGTATTGGAAAGGTAATATTGATCTTTTCATCATCTAACATATGGACAGCTTCGATGGTTTGGTGGTTTAGCACACTGCCTTACTGACGATGATCGCGGGTTCGATTCCTTACATGCGGTACAAACATTTGTATCCACGAGAATGCATTTTTATACTACGATGTTGGCAAACAAGCATACTGCTCATTTGATGGTAAACGGTTACCGTAGCTATGGACGCCTGGAACACGAGAGACGTCACGTGCGCGTTGCCGAGTCTTAAGAAACCTTCATATATACTTCTTGAAAAATCCCATGCTGAAGTTTCTAGAGAAAACATCGGCAGGTAGTTCATTCCACAATGTAAGTGTACGCGGGAGGAGCGAGCTCCTCGGAAATCGCACTGTCCGAGACTCGCACTTAGGTTCCAGCGTGCGATGAATTCCCTGTCGATGACGAGCGGTGCGATGGTAAAAGGAAGCCGTGGGCATAACGTCGTGCGATTCTTCAGAGCACTTCTTTTTTTCAGGAATCCAGCCCTGAAGAAACAAAGGCGGCTGTCAATTTCGTCACAGTGGTAGTCGGCGATGAGAGGGAGGTGACCGAAGTGGAACAGGGCGATGAGCCTGATGAATTCTGGGATGCTTTAGGTATGATTCCAGCTTTCTCCTTTGTTCAAAATCTACCCTGTACCATCGTAAGCACAGATTATTATATTAGAGTCCGTTAGTTTCTGTTCCCGCGCTTTTCCTTCCCCCCCCTTACCTATGACAGAACTGACCGTACGGCGGCTATGACGCGCGCGCATTATTTGTATATTAAAATTAATTAAAACTGAGTTAAACCTACTGTGAAACTGGAAAGCTAGCGAAAATATCTTCGAGACCCTGAAGACCAAGAAATCCGCAGAACCATACAGGTACGAGACAGACGCTTCCACATAAAGTATTTTCCCTAACACTCTGTAATATATTCTTCTTTATCCTCTGTAATGTGTTCTTCTTTATCCTCTGTGACGTATTCTTCTTTATCCTCTGTGTTTAAAATCTACCTTGTACCATCGTAAGCACAGATTATTATATTAGAGTCCGTTAGTTTCTGTTCCCGCGCTTTCCTTCCCCCCCCTTACCTATGACAGAACAGATAGTAGGGCGGCCATGACGCGCGCGCATTATTTGTATATTAAAATAAATTAAAACTGAGTTAAACCTACTGTGAAACTAGAAAGCTAGCAAATATATCTTCGAGACCCTGAAGCCCAAGAAATCCGCAGAACCATACAGGTACGAGACAGACGCTTCCACATAAAGTATTTTCCTTATAATTTTGTTTTGTTTTCTTAAAATTGTGTCCTTATCTCACATTCCTTTTTAATTCAAGTATAATGCCAAATATCACAAAGACTGTTCGCGCCATTTATAAACATATCGAGTGGTATGGTATTATTCCTCACTAGCTGTTCCCGCGACTTCGTCCGCGTGGAATTTAACTTTTTTTTTCTAAAATAAAAGTAGTCTAAAGAACTAAAAACTATTTTGTTCGTCTTAATTTATTCGTTCTGTTAGGTACTGATAGGTTCAAACTAATACATTTACATCCTGCATCATCCCTTATTTTATCCCCATGGAGATTGAATTTATCAAAATCTTATTCAAGCGAACGTCCTCATCATAGTAGCTTCAATCTTTAATTTCAATTCAATCAGTCGAAAATCTATGAAGATTTATACAAACTTTCATCCCCTATTTAATCCCCTTTATTTATTTATTTATCAAAATCCTTTCTTAGGGGATGCCTACGTCATAGTAGCTTTATGCATGCAAAGTCTCAGTCCGACCGGTTTAAAGTTTCATACCCTATTTTATCCCCTTGGGGAAATTCTTTCTTAGCGGATCTACGTCATAACATCTACCTGCATGTCAAATTTCAACCCGATCCGTCCAGTGGTTTGGGCTGTGCGTTGATAGATCACTACGTCAGTCACCTTTGAGTTATATATATTTAGATATACCTAAATAAAACAAAAGGGTTGTAAGACGTTGAAAGTGGAGGTAAAAGGTTATTTAAAAAGTTGTAAAAACGTTACCCCTAAGGGTAAAATGAAATAGGGGATGAAAGTTTTTGCTTTTGGTCTGTTGGATTAGATTTTTTAATATTATCTCTTTATTTGGTCATATATATATCTAACATATTTATTTATTTATATCAGTTGTCTAGTACCCATAACACCAGCTCTGCTTACCGTGGGACTAGATGGCGCTGTGTTAATTGTACAGGGTTATTTATTTATTTATATCAGTTGTCTAGTACCCATAACACAAGCTCTGCTTACCGTGGGACTAGATGGCGCTGTGTTAATTGTCCAGGGTTATTTATTTATTTATATCAGTTGTCTAGTACCCATAACACAAGCTCTGCTTACCGTGGGACTAGATGGCGCTGTGTTAATTGTCCAGGGTTATTTATTTATTTATATCAGTTGTCTAGTACCCATAACACAAGCTCTGCTTACCGTGGGACTAGATGGCGCTGTGTTAATTGTCCAGGGTTATTTATTTATTTATATCAGTTGTCTAGTACCCATAACACAAGCTCTGCTTACCGTGGGACTAGATGGCGCTGTGTTAATTGTCCAGGGTTATTTATTTATTTATATCAGTTGTCTAGTACCCATAACACAAGCTCTGCTTACCGTGGGACTAGATGGCTCTGTGTTAATTGTCCAGGGTTATTTATTTATTTATATCAGTTGTCTAGTACCCATAACACAAGCTCTGCTTACCGTGGGACTAGATGGCTCTGTGTTAATTGTCCAGGGTTATTTATTTATTTATATCAGTTGTCTAGTACCCATAACACAAGCTCTGCTTACCGTGGGACTAGATGGCTCTGTGTTAATTGTCCAGGGTTATTTATTTATTTATATCAGTTGTCTAGTACCCATAACACAAGCTCTGCTTACCGTGGGACTAGATGGCGCTGTGTTAATTGTCCAGGGTTATTTATTTATTTATATCAGTTGTCTAGTACCCATAACACAAGCTCTGCTTACCGTGGGACTAGATGGCGCTGTGTTAATTGTCCAGGGTTATTTATTTATTTATATCAGTTGTCTAGTACCCATAACACAAGCTCTGCTTACCGTGGGACTAGATGGCGCTGTGTTAATTGTCCAGGGTTATTTATTTATTTATATCAGTTGTCTAGTACCCATAACACAAGCTCTGCTTACCGTGGGACTAGATGGCGCTGTGTTAATTGTCCAGGGTTATTTATTTATTTATATCAGTTGTCTAGTACCCATAACACAAGCTCTGCTTACCGTGGGACTAGATGGCGCTGTGTTAATTGTCCAGGGTTATTTATTTATTTATATCAGTTGTCTAGTACCCATAACACAAGCTCTGCTTACCGTGGGACTAGATGGCTCTGTGTTAATTGTCCAGGGTTATTTATTTATTTATATCAGTTGTCTAGTACCCATAACACAAGCTCTGCTTACCGTGGGACTAGATGGCTCTGTGTTAATTGTCCAGGGTTATTTATTTATTTATATCAGTTGTCTAGTACCCATAACACAAGCTCTGCTTACCGTGGGACTAGATGGCGCTGTGTTAATTGTCCAGGGTTATTTATTTATTTATATCAGTTGTCTAGTACCCATAACACAAGCTCTGCTTACCGTGGGACTAGATGGCTCTGTGTTAATTGTCCAGGGTTATTTATTTATTTATATCAGTTGTCTAGTACCCATAACACAAGCTCTGCTTACCGTGGGACTAGATGGCTCTGTGTTAATTGTCCAGGGTTATTTATTTATTTATATCAGTTGTCTAGTACCCATAACACAAGCTCTGCTTACCGTGGGACTAGATGGCGCTGTGTTAATTGTCCAGGGTTATTTATTTATTTATATCAGTTGTCTAGTACCCATAACACAAGCTCTGCTTACCGTGGGACTAGATGGCTCTGTGTTAATTGTCCAGGGTTATTTATTTATTTATATCAGTTGTCTAGTACCCATAACACAAGCTCTGCTTACCGTGGGACTAGATGGCGCTGTGTTAATTGTCCAGGGTTATTTATTTATTTATTTATATCAGTTGTCTAGTACCCATAACACAAGCTCTGCTTACCGTGGGACTAGATGGCTCTGTGTTAATTGTCCAGGGTTATTTATTTATTTATATCAGTTGTCTAGTACCCATAACACAAGCTCTGCTTACCGTGGGACTAGATGGCGCTGTGTTAATTGTCCAGGGTTATTTATTTATTTATATCAGTTGTCTAGTACCCATAACACAAGCTCTGCTTACCGTGGGACTAGATGGCGCTGTGTTAATAGTCCAGGGTTATTATTATTTTCCCAGACGTAATAATAATTCGTCTACAAATTCGACAGGTGGAGCACCTGATGAGAAGGATGAGGAAGACGCGTCAGGGTGGCGGAAGACGGTGAGCAGGAGAGTGACCACGCCCATCAGTCTCACCGCCGTCACCGTTACCATAATTGGCAAGATCAAGTTTGAGGAGCTCTCTCCTGACTTCACACAGCAGGTGAATAATTCAAATTCAAATTCAAAATATCTTTATTCATGTAGGTCTATTACAGACTCTTATGATATGTCAAATCTACCGTCAGTTCGGAATGATTTCGAGAATAGAATAGAATAGAAAATCATTTATTCAAATAAACTTACATTGAAGCACTTTTGAATAGTCATTACATTTTTTTTAATCTACCGCTCGTTCGGAAAGCTGTCTCATCACAAGAAGACGAGAAAGAAACTTGCGTGTTGCTCTTTTAAATAATTTTATTATTACTTTACATTTTTAAGTTTAAGTGTGTGAATACAAACCACCAATTAGCACTAATTCAATTAAATACTCAAATAGAAAAAATATTGAATATATAACCAACTGATTAAACAATTAATAAGAGGAATATTATTTATGCTTATAAACTTAAATATATAAATAGTAAATATTAAATCTAATTATAATTATGACATGAAACGTATGTTCTAGAAGTTTGATATAATCATGTTTATTATTGAGTACAAGATATAAGTTCTAATCTGATCATAACAGTCCCACCTACCTACTGACTTTTCACTGTATTGTGTGCACAGACCAGCTCGGTTCAGATGCTCGAAGTGAAAAATACATATAAGTTAAAGAAGAAATGAATAGTCTTTCGTTGCTGCTGCCGCCCCGTAACAAATATTTGTCAACACTTGGCACCCTTCCATTACTTTACGTAACATAGGTTTAAGTTCAGTGTAATATTTCTGTCAATACTCTGCACCCTTCCATTAGTACCTCTCCAGATAACATGGATTTAAGTTGAGTGTAAAGTCAGTCCACGTTACGACTCCGCGTGGAATGTACGCGTCACTAATAAGTCATGTAGCACACTATTAAACAAACTTACTAATGTACAATAAATAGTACAATTATTACAGCTGTATACTCACTACCTACATACTACAATGAACAATATATTATGTGGCGACACCTCATCACATCATATATAACGATACAGTGGTGAGGTGATGATCACAGCGATACAGTAATAATAATAATTACAAACACACACAAAAACCCTATACTTAATTGTTTTCAGTGCATGGTGCCGACCTCGGTGATTTAGTGGTTTATCACGCCGCTTTATTTTCGATGGTCCCGGGTTCGATTTCTCAAAAAAATTTGTATTCATGAGTATGATTGTTTGTATCGGTCTGGGTGTTTTCTATGTATATTATGTATGTATTTAGATTTTTTTTTCTAAATACATAATCTCAGTACAATACACAGAGCGTCATCTAGATCCAAGTTAGGCTATCAAGAGCTTATGTTATGGGTACTAGATAACTGATACAAATACATAGATTTTTTCGTAAATACATACATATTATATATAAAAAAACACCCAGACCGATACAAACAATAATACTCCTGAATACAACACGAAAATGGTGTGAGGAATCGAACCTGTGACTTGTGGAGTATAGCATTTGATATAATATAGCATTGAGTATAGCGTATGATAAAATGTTTTCAGCTGTTTTTAAATAACTTATTTTTCAGGATCTGTCTGATGACGGTGTGTATGTACTTGACAATGGTGAAGAGATGTATCTGTGGCAGGGCGCCAACATCCCCGAGAGGGTGAAGTCGGCCAGGAGTGAAATTATTAAGGTAACTTCGAAATAATTGCTAAACAATTTTAGATTTAGTTAATAATTTTGTAATTTAATATCGACACAATATTGTTATTTATTTATATACTATCTGATCCGTCTTCGTCTGTATTACACTTACTAGACATTAATAATTATATTTCGACCAATTTACATATAGGTACTTTTAAATTATAGCCTACTAGCTGTGCCCGCGACCTCGTCCGCGTAAAATGACATTATTCCATATAACCTTTTATATCATATTTCAACCCCTTGCAACCCTTTTTTCGCATTAAAATGTAGCCTATGTCCTTTGTCAGGGTCTAGACTATCTGTGTACCAAATTTCATTTAAATCGGTTCAGTGGTTTCGGCGTGAAAGCGAGACATACAGACAGACAGTCAGAGTTACTTTCGCATTTGTAATATTAGTAAGGATATGTTATTCTGATGTATAAGCTATATTACTGTAAGGTTTCATCAAAATCCGTCGAGTGATTTTGAAAGAGTAACAAACTTCCATTCATACTCACGCGTTTATAATACTAGCTGTGCCCGCGGTTTCATCCGCGTTAACTTTCAATAAAAATACAGGTTTATATGTTATTCTAATGCATAAGCTATATTACTGTAAAGTTTAATTAAAATCCGTTCAGTAGTTTTTGTGTGAAAGAGACTTACAAACTACTTACAAACTTTCGCGTTTGTAACATTAGTAAGATGTTAATTTTTTACATAAGTCACTACAGCTGGTCCCGGTCCTTCATACTGTTCAATAGTGAACTTTTATAGCATATTTATTTACTACTAGCTGAACTTCGACTGCGTGGAATTTAATTTATTTTTCTAAAATAAAAGTAGCTAAAGTTAATCCTTATTACATCAGCTACCTGCTAAAAAAAAGTCCCGTCACAATCGGTCCAGCTATTTCAGAGATTAGCCGGAACAAACAGACCGACAGACAGACAGACAAAAATTGTAAAAAATGTTATTTTGGGGTATGTACCGTATTTATATTCATATGCATGTAGTAAAAAAACGTTTATTTCAATATTACAAACAGACGCTGCAATTTTATTTATATGTATAGATGTATAGATCTGTACAGACCGACAGACAGACAGACAAAAATTGTAAAAAATGTTATTTTGGGGTATGTACCGTATTTATATTCATATGCATGTAGTAAAAAACGTTTATTTCAATATCACAAACAGACACTCCAATGTATAGATGTATAGATCTGTACACAGTTTATGTGCGGCCCGCCATGTGGACTAATAGGTCACGTCTGCTTTATACAGTTATCTTATCTTTGCTAATCTTATATATAAAATTCTCGTGTCACAGTTTTCGTTCCCATACTCCTCCGAAACGGCTCGATCGATTCTCATGAAATTTTGTGAGCGTATTGAGTAGGTCTGAGAATCGGCCAACATCTATTTTTCATCCCCCTAAATGTTAGGGGTAGTCCACACCTAAATTATTTGTTTTATTTTAAGGCAAAACAACGTTTGTTGGGACAGCTAGTATCTTATAATTTAATGTGTCCCCCATAATAGATACAAACATAATAGAACATAATAGAAATAGAAATAATCTTTATTCAAATAAACTCATTACAAGCACTTTAGAATAGTCATATTTTGATTCTACCACTCATTCGGAACGCAGATTCATCACAAGAAGAACGAGCAAGAAACTTGTGTGTTGCTCTTTTTAATAGATGTTTTTTTATATAAATAATTACAGTATAACAAGTAAGAGGCATGCGATAATCAACATAGAAACCGCTACGCACTCATTATTAGTGTAATCAGATAATATTGTCAGTGCTATGGATTTTAAGTTTTTCTATAAAAACATTATTATCGTTAACGAATTCTTCAATTGTATAGTAAGCTTTTTTTCAAAGGAACTGTTTTATTTGACATTTAAATCTTTTTTCTGGCAGGTTTATAACTGACTAGTATTTTATTGTAAAACCTTACGCAATTGCCATAAAACGAATTACTAACTTTAGCCAAACGACATTTGTTATTGTTACGTAAGCTTTTATTAGTGCAATCACTAACTCTTTTGAAACTGTCTATATTCCTTCTGGCATAGATGATATTTTCATAAATGTATTGAGAAGCAACGGTGAGGATATTTGATTCCTTAAAACACTCTCGCAATGACTCCCTGGAACCCATACCATAAATGTAGCGAATGGCCCTCTTTTGTAAAGTAAATATTGTATTTATATCAGCTGCTTTGCCCCATAACAAAATACCATACGACATAATGCTATGGAAATAGCTAAAATATATTATATGTACTATATTCCTTCTGGCATAGTTGTTTAATGTGACAGGAATATATAGAAGATGATGGTTTGGAGCGGACTGTGGACAACGCCCTCGTGGTGACAGTCAAGCAGGGCAAGGAGCCAGCAGTCTTCAAGAAGCTGTTCCCCAGCTGGGACGCTGATATGTGGGAAGTGAGTAGAAATTTTATAAAAAAATTATTAGGAAGTAACGTAGTAAAGTAGATTGACAGCCTCGGTCTAGAGGTCTAGTACACGGTTTCACTTCCGATGGTCGCGGGTTCGATTCCTCGTACGGTACAATAATTTGTATTCATGAGTATGATTATTAAAATAGCTGGCACGCTGATATGTGGGAAGTGAGTCAAAAGTTTATAAAAAAAATATTAGGAAGTAACGTAGTAAAGTAGATTGACAGCCTCGGTCTAGAGGTCTAGTACACGGTTTCACTTCCGATGGTCGCGGGTTCGATTCCTCGTACGGTACAACAATTTGTATTCATGAGTATGATTGTTTAAATCGGACTGGGTGTGTTCTATGTATATTATGTAGTAGCCTATGGACACCTGAAACTCGAAGAAACCTTTTTTCAGTCCCAAATTCCTGATCATCTAGATGAATGGAAGTTTGAGGATTCACCTTCCAGCAATATATTTCAAAACCGATACTATATTGAAACTTTCAAGGTTTCTTAAGTGTGGGCAACGCGTATGTGTCACCCCTGGTGTTTCAGGCGTCCATAGGCTACGGTAACCGTTTACCATCAGATGGGCCGTATGCTTGTTTGCCACCTAAGTGGTATAAAATAAACCGTCAAGATAAAAGCTTATTATTAAAAGGCAGACAACGTACTTGCAATTCCCCTGGTGTTAGGTGCTCACGGGCGGCGGTAATCACTTACCATCAGGTGAGCCGCAAGCTTGTTTGTTCGCTGATATAATAAAATCTTAACACGTTGAAAACCACATCGAAAATTCTTATTCCTCACATAGGGACCTGCATTTTTTATTGTTAATTACGTAGATTATTTTTTAAATATTGTTTTAGCGTACAAGAATTTGAGGTAGACATTATTTAACCCCCTAGATTTATTTCAATTAAAGTCCCACGGGTGGTCACTGGGTTCCGATGTGTAAATTTACTTTCGTTGCGGAGTGACCCACCGGCGCTGGCAGGCAGGCATGCGGTCTTTTACAGACCTTTAACAGGTCATTAACAAGCTGAATGTAAACATAGCGTAATGCTACGTTTACATTCAGCTGCTTCCCCTACCACTCGCGCTGCCCGAAATATTGCCGGGCGACAACTGAGCGAGAGGGCTGAATGTAAAAACACGCTGCCACCACGCTGTCCTTTGACTCGCGCACGAAAAACCGACAATCGAGGGAGCGCCGGGCGAGTGGCAGCGCCAGTGGAATGGGAAGTCTCGTGTTTACACTCGCGCTGCTCACTTCCCTGCCCAATCGGGCTGAGTGTAAATTGGGGTTAACGTGTTAATATACCCTTCTTGAAACACACCATGCTGTAGACTCTAAAGAGAAAACAGCTCATTCCACAATTTAGGTATAAATAATTAATTTCATAATGATTTCAGAATCAAACCTCATACGACGATATCAAGAATGAGACTAAAGCAGCCAACAGTAAATAAAAACTGCCTTCTAGAAGGAACAAACTATATGTTCTACGTGTGGCTTTGCGTGCGTTATTTTGCCATGATTGATAGGAATAAGCAGAAACCAAAGTGATGATAAGGGATTGTTATTTTTTTATTTTGTGATAAAAACAATGTGTGAACTTAAAAAATATTTTTATTCTTTTTTGCACAATTTACAATAACTTATGTATTTATATAATAGAATATTGTTAAATACATATGCCTAATATTTACAGAAATTAAGATCTTTTTATTGATTCGAATCCTTTAATAAATAAGATGTATATATTTTTAATTTAAGAAATGATAATGTAATGCACCCTCTTGCGCTAACGGTATACGCTGGCGGGGCACCAGTGGAGGATGATAAGAACATGAGGTCAGGTCAGTTAGCATATCATGGCAAAATCACCAGGAATTTAACATGATTTCCAAACGGAACCGCATGGAGGTCAACCAGATATGGATGTACCATCTAGCAATGAGGTTACTAATTCAAAGGTTAATAAACATCTTTTCCCTTCATGCATATATATTTAGAGAATAGTGAATGTGCCACGATGTGCTAACTGACCTGACTTTATGCTCTACTACTACGACGTAGGCATCCCCTAAGAAAGGATTTTGATAAGTTCCACCCCTAAGGGGATAAATTAACACGAGTGAAGCCGCGGACAAAAGCTAGTTTATTTATATAACTCAAGATACAAGTTCAACTTGTATCTTGAGTTGTTATTTTAGTTATAAATAATCTTGCCTTAATTCTCCAAAACGGTTCGTAAATAAAACATATATATATATGATACATATATATATATATATATAGGTAATCAACTAAATATTCACATTAACTAAATACATACATTACATACATTTACATGAGATATTTTTACCACTTCAACTTAAATCAGCGTTATACATTAACCACATAATTTTTCTTTTATCTTGATCTTCATACCCTTTAATTAATATATAAAGAGTGGTAATTATTGCTAGTGGTAATTATTATAAGTGGTAACTAAATATAAATTTTAATATTGCCAGCAAGGCATGTCAAGTAGACCAACCAACTAGAACATAATCCTGGTTTTTTTTGGATGATAATGGGAATGTTGCACCCGCCTGCGCTAACGGTTTACGCTGGCGGGGCACCAGTGGAGGATGATAAGAACGTAAGGTCAGGTCAGCTAGCCCATCGTGACAATTTTTTTTTTTTATTTCATGGCAAAACGTTTGCCAGGAGAGCTAGTAAAAATATAAAATTCTCGTGTCACAGTTTTCGTTCCCATACTCCTCCGAAACGGCTTGCGCGATTCTCATGAAATTTTGTGAGCGTATTGAGTAGGTCTGAGAATCGGCCAACATCTATTTTTCATCCTAAATGTTAGGGGTAGTCCACCCCTAATTTTTTTTTTTATTTTAAGGCACAATAACATTTGCCGGGACAGCTAGTATAGTCATAAAAATAAGTTGACATGATAATATGTAATTACCACTCTCCATACAAAAATTTTACCACAAAAACTAAATCATTGAACACTTGCCACACACTGATTTATTATCTGCACCAGATTGTTATTCTCCAATGCTGCAGCCACTCTCTCCTTATCAGCTAATTGTTTGTTCACTGCATGTTCAGACACATGGGTACCTTCTGAAACCTCAACCGTCACTTTGAACCTACTGGGCAGTGCACGAAGTAACAAAACACGGATTGATAGACCTGAAAAACAAATTATTATAACCGAGACCAATAAATAATATAATTGTATGCTTCTTTTTCTTTTAATTTAAAAGGCTTCCATGAGGTCAGTGATTTTGCCAACGTTGTGGTTTGGAAGACAGTGGTGTGGTTTACGGTTTTGTTAACTGTATTTGTGGAAAAGACTGTTGCAGTTGGCTGAGAATGCTAGAATAAGGACAACACAACATATGTTTGTTAGCTTACAATTAAAATAGTAGTTAAGTAAAATACATGTATAATAAAATTTGTATAACAGGTTGACATAGACAAGAAATTTGTATGCGTAATTGCAGAAGACAGTGAATCTAAAGTTTCTTGTGATGAGACAATGCTATGAATAAGTGGTAGATTTAAAAAAAAAATTATTATTTAAAGTTCTTGAATTTAAATTTGAATAAAGAATCTTCTATTCTATTCTTTATCTGTCAGATGAAAAGCAACAATTTGCAGTTTTTGTCAAGCAGAAGATGAAACGCCACTACACATCCTATGTGGTTGTAGCCCACTCATGCATAAACGAAATATCTCCTTTGGAAAGTATACACTCTGTCCTAGAGATAAAAACCATTGCTTCTAAAAGTTTACTTCAATTCTTGTCCCTGACAAGCCTACGTAGCAAACTCTGAAAAATGGCGGCAAGAATAGATCTATATAGATCAAATTCAAATTCAACAATCATTTATTACTGCAGGATATTTTAGCTGTTTATTAATGTCAAGTTTTTTACATTAAAAACCTGTCTATTTATAATGTATATTTATATAGGTGTTATGTCTAACATTGAATGAAAATCTAGCATGAACAACTACTGCCATGCACGGTCGCAGTACTACAGGTCTTAACACCCAAAACACTCAATGAAAATAAAAAGACAAAATCCATAAAAATACTAACCTATCAAAGTGGCCATACTACAATGTGGAATTGTGGGTGTGAAGTTAACAACAACAGTATTATCCTTATTATTAACAATTATATTCTTCTCTTCAATGACCCTCAGCTCCTCAAGAGTCAGTGGATGTTCAGGGTCGTTGATATTACGAATTAAATCGAATATTTCACGCTCGTCAAACTCGTCTTCAACCTCCTCGTTATGATCCTCTGTGCTTACTTCCCGCTCTGAACCCTTCTCGTACACGTGAGGGTTCACGTTATCCGCTATTTTAGTCATTATATTTAATTTTTAATGATGTAGTTTTACAGCACAAATAAAATAAGCAATAATAATATTGTAAATAACTGTCAGTTAATCTATGAATCATTAACAGAGCATGTAACGCTAAGTTCTTATCCATTTACTTGGTAGTTACTATATTACTCTGTGCTATATATGATGAAAATTATCGGCTTACTTGATACCTATATTGACAAAAATTTCCGTAAATTTTCATATCTTCATAAAAATATGTTAGTCAAAAATATATGTCAGATTCAACCTTAAACAAGAATTATTAATTAAAATGTCACAGAATAACCTTTGCTTCCAGGTCCAAAAAACAAAAAAAATTAAATTCAGTTGTCATTGTCAAAGCGTTGTCATTCTTATCAGACATATATAGATATTTTGAGATCAAACAAAATCAATAAATTTCATTGCCTAGTGCTTTCTTTTTTGAAAAAAAAAGAACAAGAAAGAGTGTTTATTTATAGCATATTCGACACAGCAATACGCTTCTATGTAAGTTATTTACATATATTTTTAATTTAATTATATTGATTTTGCAGAGAAATTATCACTGCATTAAGCAGTATGTTAATTATATTGTTTTTAAAAAGGTCTGTCTGTCGGTAATATAAAGATAGATGTTGCATGTATGGAAATAGAATCCAAACTCATTTGGCAACTGGGAGTTATGTATAATCCAATTTAGAATACCACTAACGCCCACCGTTCTATGTCCAGGTAATATATTTAATACTAGCTCAGCCTGCGGTTTCATGCGTGTTACAGTGACATTGACCAAATAAAGAAAGAATATTTAATTATCTCGCCCAAAAAAAAGAAAAAAGTTTCATTGTAGCTTCAAATATGACAATTCTCCTTACAAAATTCCATCCCCTATTTTATTTTAACCCCTTAAGAGTTTACTCTTACATTACAAAAATTTTTACAACCTTTGAATGTCTTATTTATTATATTTGTTAGGGAATTTACTCTCTGCTACCAAAATGTTAGGGAAAATACTCTGTATATATATATAAGGAAAAATGTGTGGAAGCGTCTGTCACGTACCTGTATGGTTCTGCGGATTTCTTGGGCTTCAGGGTCTCGAAGATATCTTCGCTAGCATTCCAGTTTCACAGTAAGTTTCACAGTAGGTTTAACTCAGTTCTAATTTATTTTAATTCACAACACAATGTGCGCGCGCGTCTATATGGGGATCTGCCGGTGACTCCAAGATAATGACAATACGGCGAGTTCAAAACTATATATTAATACAACTTTCGGAGGCACCATGGTTTATAAGAACAACTGAAATCCACAAAATACTTGATATTTCCATAGTTAAGGATGCAATGAATGACTACAGCAACAAATATAAATTACGACTACACAGGCACCCAAATAAATTAGCTTAGCAACTTACTATACCCAAAAATGTCTGTTAATTATGGAAAAGGTGTGATATATTTGACCAACATAGTCAGACAGAACTGACTTTTTAAGAACGAGGACCTGCTCTATTGAGAGTGACACTCTACCTGCTACATAGGGAACACCACATCTGCTTATAGTCCACATGACTGATTGCAAATTCAAATTCAAATTCAAATTCAAATTCAAAAATCATTTATTCATGTAGGACATTTTAGCCGCTTATGAACGTCAAATTTTTACATTATAATTTTATTTTTTTCCCTACCGTCCAGTTCGGTATATAGATCCAATTGAGAAGAACTGGCAAGAAACTCAATTGAATTACTTTTTTTTTTTAAAGCCAGTTTATTTACAATGTATATTTATATAGGTGTCTATGTCTAACATTAAATGAAAATTCAGTGCATGAACAACTATTGCCATGCACACTCGTCATTCAAGTAATCGTTTAGTGAGTAATAGGCTTTGCTCAGTAAATATGATTTAACAGATGTTTTGAATTTATTTAAGGGTAATTCCAACATATCCTTTGGTATCTTATTGTAAATTTTTATACCTATTCCCATAAAAGACCTATTAACTTTTTCTAAACGATACTTGGGGACAGCAAGTTTGTCTTTAAATCTTGTATTAATATTATGAATATTGCTGTTTTTTGGAAATAAGTCAAGATTTTTATGAACATATAGGATATTTGAATATATAAATTGAGAAGCAACGGTGAGAATATTTGCCTCTTTGAATTTCTCTCTTAATGAGTCACGACTCTTCATACAGTAGATCGCTCGAACGGCACGTTTTTGTAATATGAATATATTTTTAATATCTGCCGCTTTTCCCCATAGTAATATTCCATAAGAGAGTAAACTATGTAAATAACTAAAATAGACTAATCTAGCAGTATCAGTACCAGTGTACTGTCTAACCTTACGCACGGCAAAAGCTGCCGAACTTAGTTTCGCTGCAAGGCTTTGAATTTGTGCACCCCATTGTGTTTTATTATCTAGTGTGATTCCTAGAAAGACAGTAGATTCTATAAATTCGAGAGATTCGTCATTTAATTTAATATTGCAATTAGTATTAAAACTTTTAGACATAGAGAAATTAACACATTTTGTTTTTTTAGCGTTTAACATAAGATTGTTAGTTGTAAACCAGTGCAGGAGACGCCGCAAAGCACTATTTACATCGTCATAATTATTAGTCATTCTATTAACTTTAAAAATCAATGAAGTATCGTCTGCAAATAATACTATGCCGCATCTATCCTGCATGGCATATGGGAGATCATTAATGTAAACTAGGAATAAAAATGGACCGAGAATAGATCCTTGAGGTACACCCATTTGCACAAGTGACCCGTCAGACGTAGCGTTGCTAACCTTCACTTTCTGTATTCTATCAGATAGATAAGATTTTATTAAATTTAAAGCATTGTCTTTGACGCCATAAAAAGCAAGTTTTTTTAGCAATGTATTATGATCAACGCAATCAAAAGCCTTAGAAAGGTCACAAAAAACACCTATCGCATCCATTTTAGTTTCCCATGCAGCAAATACGTGTCTAAGCAACTCTGCACCTGCGTCTGTAGGTGAACGACCTTTGAAAAAACCGAATTGACTATTGTGGATTAAATTATTTAAATTGAAATAACTGACAAGCTGCATAAGGATTATTTTTTCAAAAATTTTACTGAGTGCTGGGAGTATAGATATAGGTCTATAATTTATTGGGTCACTCCTATCTCCAGATTTAAAAAGCGGTATGATTTTACTAATTTTCATTATGTTAGGAAATTTACCTTCATCTATACATTTATTGAAAATAAAAGCAAGAGAGGGCGCAATAATTTCCATTATACTATCTAGTATTTTAACAGATATACCCCATAGATCCTCTGTTTTTTTATTATTAAGCTGTTTGAATATTTTCATTATTTCTACTGATGATGTATGTCTAAAGTTAAATACAGCTGATGACTTGCTAACATTGTCTGTTAGTAAAGTTTCAGCAGCAGACGGGGAAGATTTTAGAGCCTGTGTCGTAATTAATGGAATATTAGTGAAATAAGATTCGAATGTATCCGCGACCTCTGTGTCGGAATTTACCAATTTGTTATTAATATTTAAAGCTATTTTACTATTTTGAAAATTAACTTTTCCAGTTTCGCTATTTATTACTTTCCAAGTGGCTTTTATTTTATCTTTAGATTTAGTTATTATTTTACCTAAATAGAGAGACTTAGCTGTATGACAAACCTTTTTAAATATTTTCGAATAAGATTTTACATGTTCATGAAATAAGGGATCGGATATATAGCTTCGTTTTTCGTAAAGTTCGTAAAGATTAGCCCTAGACTTATAAATACCAAACGTGGCCCAGTCACAAAACTTTGATTTTACACTAGTTGAAAAGGTTTTTGTTTTAAATTCACTGCTAGCTTCATGTTCAATTAAATTAAAAATATGTTCACATACAATGTCCGGGTCATATTGAGGTACTATGACACTAGATATTTTATGTTCAATTTTATTTTTAAAACGTGCCAAATTCTTTTGTGTTATTTGTCTGCATGTAATTGTTTGAGTCCCTTTGGATCCCTTAGTTTCAATTATAACTTTTTGTCCATAATGATCAGATCCAAGACAGTCGAAATTCATTTTCACCTTTACTTCACAATTACAAAAAACATTATCTATACAAGTGGCAGAATTTCCTGCGACCCTAGTGGGTTCTAAAAAAAGATTGTGCAAATTAAATGATTTAAATAAGTTAATCAATCTTAAGCTTATTGAGCATTCCGATAATAAATCAACATTAAAATCGCCACATACAAATAATGTTTTATTCCTCCGTGCGACTCGTCTCAATGCTTCCTCCATAGCCAGTTCAAAAGAATCAAAACAAGCCGATGGCGGACGATAAACGCAAATTATTATACAAGTAACTAATTCTACGCAAGATAGTTCAATTGTTTGCTCAATAGAAATATTTACAATGTCTTGACGGTTTTTATATTCTACATCATTTTTTAAAATAATAATTGACCCGCCATGAATGGCATTGTTCCTAGCAAAAAAACTAGCTATATTATAATGTTCAAAAGGACAAATTATTTCATATTATTTAAGCCAATGTTCTGTCAGACATAACACCCGTACATTGTTAGATTCTAAGAATAGACTTAATTCTAATTCTTTGCTGGAGAAGCCACGAATATTTTGATGAATAATGACCATATCCTGTGGCTTAACCAATGTCGTAGATGTTAGTTTAAATTAACACATGTCACATTATTAGTATTATTACTAATATTACTAATTAAATCCGTTATACTACTTATAATGGGATCATAAATGTTATACGCTAGTAAACTAGCAATAGTCTTTTTTTGTTTTTTAGGAAGATAAAAATTACCTCCCGTCATATAATAATTTGTAACAAATTTGTTACTTTCAAAATAAAATATATCATTACAATGATATGTCATCGAATAAATTAAATTATTTATACTATAAATGAACTTATTCTGTTCATTAGTCAGGGATTGAGAGTAGGGAAATGCGCATAATAATATTTTACCTATACCAAGCTCCACTATATTATATAATGATTTTATTAAATTAACTATATCAGATTTACGCATATGCAAACAATTCCCTAACGCTATTACTAGGGTCGTGTGAATATCATATTTTTCATTTACTATATTTCTTATAATCTTATATATACCTGATCCCGGAAAACAATTATTCATTACTTGTTGCGAGAGACAGTTCGATAATAAACTACCTAAATCCTTGCCAAATTCATCTGAATAAATAATTGTTCTCCTGATGGTTTCATGTACAGTGCTGCATTTATTTACTTTTGTACTGTTTCGTGTGGGTAAACATGAAACGTCTGGTTCCGTGACGGATGAGATATCAATGTTCAACTGATTATGGTGGGACGGTTGGATATAGTTATCAGACTCTGGTGAATTACAGTGACATCTATCCGTAAGAGAAACAAACCGCTCCATGTTGTAGTTACCTAATTTTATTAAATTATCCAACTGATCAGAATATTCATGTATTTCATTCTTAGCTGATTCGTATTTCAAAGATAAATTGGACAACGAATTCTCTAATAGTTTAATTTTTTGTGATAATTCATCTATTTCTAAATCTTTGTTATATATTTTTTCTTTACAATTATTTAATTCTATTGATAAGTCAATTTTTTGCTTCCTAGTAATAATTGATTTTAAACACTTTTTATGACTTTTCACTAAATTTTCTGATTTTCGAATAAATTTATTTAATTTTACATATTTTTTTAACTTATTACTACTATTAATAGGTACTTTATTAGGACTATAGGAGCTTGGTGTATTTGTCAAATCTATGGTCACAAGGGGCAGAGCAGATGTTTGATCACTAGTAGTATTTAACATTTCTGTATACAGATCCATGGTCTCGTTATAACTACTCAACCGCCTGTGATCCAACAAAGATTTATTTTGTGATTGAACTTCCTCAAGGTGCCGCTCTAGATGAGTGATTTTCTGCAATGCTGACTCATATGTGTCTCTGCACAGATCATATTTATTTACAATTTCTTGAAGTTTTTCATTTTCGATATGTAGAACTTCAAAGTCTGTACTGATCTTCACTAGGTCATTCTTCAGAGCCACATATTTATCAGACATCAACTTAATTTCAATCTCACTTTCATCTCGTTCCTGTAATAAGGCCTTATTTAATTCATTGGATTTTTTTAACTCTAAGAGTGTCACCTTGAGCTTAGCATCAAGATCACATGCTCTGCGGGACATCATTTTTAATTATTATGTTAAATATCTACGAAACAAGACAACAATGAATATTATTCAATAGAAGAAATACAGTGTTGAAAGTGCGCTATTTCCCTTCAATAAAATAATACAATAAATAATTTAATAATAAATAAATAAATAAATATTGTTAGTAAAAACTTTAAATACCAATACTGCAACATTTCTAATAAGAAAAATATTTTATCAACAGCTTAAAAAATAAGTTTCATATAATTAAAGTGATTCCTCTTCCAGCATCATGGCGGATCCATGGATCGTTCAGCCACACGAGCATGCGAAATTTGCTGAGCACTTCAACAACTTGGGCCCCGTTAATGGCGCCCTCACCGGAGAACAGGCCAAGAGGTTCATGTTGCAGGTCAGTCGTCTCTCTTACTGTGCTGGTTTCACAAGTGTAAAATTTAAATATATAAATTTCAATACAAAATATAGCCTATGTTATTCTGATCCATAAGCTATATATGATTAATACATTGTTTATGCTTTTTTCTTTACTGTGTTACAAAAAAAGTATATTCTATCTATCTAAATTTTTTTATTTTTAAATTACTAAATTATAGACTACAGGACTACAGTTACTGCTGTAAATTTGTAATGTTCACTGTAAATCAAATTCAATTCAAATTCAAAATATCTTTATTCATGTAGGTCTATTACAGACTCTTATGATATGTCAAATCTACCGTCAGTTCGGAATGATATCGAGATGAGATGAAGTGACAAGAAACTCAGCTCGTATTTTTTCAAATAATATTGAAACATGTTTATAATAATACACAGTCATTAAAATTCAAAATTGGGAGAATAGAGTATCCACCAGCATATGCTATCGTAAAGAACAAAAAATTTAATCAGTGTTCGCAACCTGAACAGACCAGTCCCCACAAGCAGCACCCGTTCACGAGTATGACGTATGAGCCAGCCATCATTGCACTCAACCATATTTGAGTCCATCGCACATCAACCCGGAAATAGATTCTTCTATTATTATTAATATTTCTTTATTTTATATTATATATCTCCCTTTGATGGGGTAATAGGCTGATCATTGCAGGTAAAAATCACCAAACAATGACAGTATAAATGATGAATGATGAGGATGGATAATTTTTAAGTCGAAGACAAAAAATTGCGGACTATTCTACAAGTGTTTAATATTACAGTTTTGTGAAGAAGGATGAAAGTAGTACTCGATCATAGTAGTAGAAGATAATAGAATAGAATGGAATAGAATAGGAAATCATTTATTCAAATAAACTTACATTGAAGCACTTTTGAATAGTCATTACATTTTTTTTAATCTACCGCTCATTCAGAAAGCTGTCTCATCACAAGAAGAACGAGCAAGAAACTTGCGTGTTGCTCATTTAAATAATTTTATTATTACTTTACATTTTTAAGTTTAAGTGTGTGAATACAAACCACCAATTAGCACTAATTCAATTAAATACTCAAATAGAAAAATATTGAATATATAACCAACTGGTTAAACAATTAATAAGAGGAAATCAGTCAGTGATTAGAGCAGACCAGTCCCTACAAACAGCACCCGTTCACGAGTATGACGGATGAGCCAGCCATCACTCGAACCATATTTTAGGGAGATATACTATACATACCATATAATTATTTATTTAAACTGTACATCAGTGTACAGTTTGATGCAGTCCCGACTCCCAAGCTAGCGTGAGCTGTATATCAGTTCACAGTCAAGTTCCTTCACAAAACAAGGATAACAGTTTTAATTAATGTACATGTAGACATAAACATAATTAATATTTTATACTATTCAGTATATTATATTATTAATTATATCTTATATATAAAATTCTCATGTCACAGTTTTCGTTCCCATACTCCTCCGAAACGGCATGACCGATTCTCATGAAATTTTGTGAGCGTATTGAGTAGGTCTGAGAATCGGCCAACATCTATTTTTCATCCCCCTAAATGTTAGGGATAGTCCAACCCTCATTTTTTTTATTTTAAGGCAAAACAACGTTTTCTGGGACAGCTAGTTATATTATATTCAGTATCTGTGTGTGTGTGTATGTGAGTAAATAAATAATGGGATAAAAGCAATGCAATGATGATAGTTTCTATTCTATACAGAGTCAACTACCACCGCCCATACTCGGCGCCATTTGGACTTTAGCAGACACCAATGCAGATGGTAAACTAGATCTGCGAGAGTTCTCCATCGCTTGCAAGGTATACATATATATATATATAAATAATATCACTCATATTATTTTCAAACCTAACCAAAATATCTCTATTACAGACTTATGATATGTCAAAAACTACCGTCAGTTCGTATGTAAAAGAACTGAGTACTAGTAACCTTAACACAAGCTTTGTTTAGCTTGGGATAGATATAGATTGCGCTGTGTGAATTGTCCAGGGTTATTATTATTGTAATCCTTCAAAAACATCATCATCACCATCGCAGCCCTTCAAAAACATAACACCTTAATACTATAATTCAGTTTATTTAAACTATTGAACTTATTTTTTTCTAATTAGTTTAATTTGAAAAAAAAATAAGTTGATAAATTGTCACAAATGTTATCATCTTTAATTTCTCTTTTATCTTTAACTAGATGTGCCCGAAAGTTTTACCATAAAGTTTCATCAAAATCCGTTCGGTAGTTTTTGCGTGAAAGAGTAACAAACATCTATCCATACACACAAACTTTCGCGTTTATAGTTATAATAAGATTAATTTCTCTTTTATCTTTAATATATCTTTTATCTTTAATTTATCCTTTATCTTTAATTTCCCTTTCTGTATCAATTATTGTAAATTCTTTATATCTTTTATCATTCATTTCTCTTTCTGTATCAATTATTATAAATTCATTATATCTTTTATCTTTAATTTCTCCTTTATCTTTAATTTCCCTTTCTGTATCAATTATTATAAATTCATTATATCTTTTATCTTTAATTTCTTTCTGTATCAATTATTATAAATTCATTATATCTTTTATCTTTAATTTCTTTCTGTATCAATTATTCTAAATTCATTATATCTTTTATCTTTAATTTCTTTCTGTATCAATTATTATAAATTCATTATACCACTTTTCAGATAATCAACTTGAAACTACATGGAATTGAAGTGCCGAAGATCTTACCGCCGTCTCTACTCGCCTCTCTCAGTCCACAAGGTAAGTTCTTCAGCATCTATTAGTCCACTGCTGGACGTATGCCTCTTGCATAATCCCAATATCAATCAAAACAAAATACTTTACTTAGATTTGAAATCAAATCAAAATATTTTTATAATAGCTGTGTTTGCTAGCTCGTTTCACTCGCGTTAAATTTCGATAAAAAAATTTGCCTATATGTTATTCTGATGTATGAGCTATATTAGTGTAAAGTTTCGTCAAAATCCGTTCAGTAGTTGTTACGTGAAAGAGTAACAAACATCAGAAGAACACATAGACTATAATTTTAAAATATATAATGTAAAATCGTCTATCGTGGTATGGGCATGTAATGCGTAGGAATGAAGATCATATCCTAAGGACGGTGTTACATATGAATGTGGATGGTTATAAGGGTAGAGGAAGACCGAAAAAGAGATGGATGGACTGTGTGAAAGATGATATAGTGAGAAAGGGAGTAAATAACGGAATGACTGCGAACAGAGATGAATGGAAGAGAAAAACATATTACGCCGACCCCAAATAAATGGGATAAGGAAGAAGCAGATGATGAATGTAAATTAAGTGTGATGCAGACGAAGTTACGCGGCTCAGCTAGTATATATCTATACATATAAATAAAATTGGAGTGTCTGTTTGTAATATTGAAATAACCGTTTCTTACTACACGCATATAAATATAAATACACACCGAAATATTCTTTTTTATATTTTTGTATCTGTCTGTCTGTTTGTTCCGGCTAATCTCTGAAATGGCTGGGCCGATTTTGACGGGACTTGTTTGGCAGGTAGCTGTTGTAATAAGGAGTGACTTATGCTACTTTTATTTATATATATACAATGTAAGCAAGTACCTTCTTGTTTTATGCTTTCCGGGATTTTGTTGTATATTAGAAATTTAGAATAGAATAATCTTATTCTTATATATAAAATTCTTGTGTCACAATGTTAGTTACCATACTCCTCCCAAACGGGTTGTTGTGTTGTTGTAAAATTTATATGCATATTCTGGTCTGAAAACCGGCTACTAACTATTTTTCATACCCCTAAGTGATAAGGGTTGTCCACCCCTAACATTTCTTTTTGTTTTTATTTATATTTATGTGGCAATAAAAAAAATACAATAATATTTTTTCACCCTTCTACTTAATCCTTATTTTTTTATATCAATTTTAATTTATGTGGCAAAACAACGATTGCGGGATTAGCTAGTAAAATAATATATAATGAATACAATTATAAATCTTTTCAGTTCAACAAAAACAATTCACCCCACCATCCAAACCCCCTATCCCGCCCATGCCAACCATCCCACAGCAACCACTTATATCCGGGTTGCCACAGCAACCAACCAACCAATCACTACTTGGGGATTTCGGCAACCAATCCCTTATTAGCACCGGACCACCGCAATCTATACCAACCGTGCCGTTAGTCCAACCAGTCAAGCCATCCGTGGTCCCAGATTTGATTTCCGGCGTGAAACCAATAACGCAACCAGTTGCGACCCAAAATTTGATCGGTCAGTCTCAACCCCTAATTCCAACTCAACCCCTGATCGATGCACAACCCTTAATCCCTTCTCAACCGCTATCGGCAGTGCAACCTATTACAAACCCACCCCTAATACCTCCAACACAACCATTAACTCAACCCCTAATGGCTGCACAACCCTTAATAAACGGACAACCCCTAATTGCGGCCAGTCCACCCCTCGTACCCGTTCAACCCTTGGTTGGTCCTACTCCACTAGTTCCCTCCTCGCAGCCATTGGTGACGGGGACCACAGTGGCATCTCTAATCAGCTCGCCGCCTCAACCTACCACGGTAGTGGGTTCGATGTCTGGGCAACCAGTCACTTCAACCCCTATAACCGCTGTTAAAAGTGACGGATTATCGAAACCAGGTAATTCTTTTTGCTAGATTGATTTATAATAATAATAATAATAACTCAGGACAATTAACACAGCGCCATATAGTCCCAAGCTAAGCAGAGCTTGTGTTATGGGTACTAGACAACTGATAGAAATAAATAAATAACCCTGGACAATTAACACAGCGCCATCTAGCCCCACGGTAAGCAGAGCTTGTGTTATGGGTACTAGACAACTGATATAAATAAATAAATAACCCTGGACAATTAACACAGCGCCATCTAGTCCCACGGTAAGCAGAGCTTGTGTTATGGGTACTAGACAACTGATGTAAATAAATAAATAACCCTGGACAATTAACACAGCGCCACCTAGTCCCACGGTAAGCAGAGCTTGTGTTATGGGTACTAGACGACTGATATAAATACTTACATACATTTATAATATACATAGAAAACAGCCAGATCACAAACAATAATACTCATGAATACAAATGTTTGAACCGTGCGAGGAATCGAAACTGTGACCATCGGAAGTGAGGCGATGTGCTAAACCGCTAGACCACCGAGAGCGTCATAATATGCTAAATCTTTTTTTTTATTGGCGATAATATAGTGGTGCACCCGCTTGCACTAACGGTTACCACTAAATCAGTAACGGGCACCAGTGGAGGATGATAAGATGAACATGAGGTCAGGTCAGTTAGCACATCGTGATAAACGGCAATTTACCACGATGTTTTTCAAGAGGAACCGCGTAGGCAACCTAACATCTGTATTATTACTTGCAGGATCTGTGGTAACGAGCCCCACGGAAGTGCCCCTGGGCGTCATGAGTCCGCCTCCACCGGCCGAGTGGGGTATACCCCAGCAACAGAAACTCAAGTGAGTTAATTCCTTTATTATTTACAAACTGACTGTCCACCTGATGGTAAGTGGTAACTGTCACATATGTACATGAACAAACGACACAATATATATATATATAACTCAAAGGTGACTGACAGTAATCTATCAACGCACATCCCAAACCACTGGACGGATCTGGCTAAAATTTGGCATGCAGGTAGATGTTATAACGTAGGCATCCGCTAAGAAAGATTTTGATTAATTCTACCCCCAAGGGGATAAAATAGGGGATGAAAGTTTGTATGAAACTTTGTCAATTTTAAACCGATCGGGCTGAGACTTTGCATGCATAAAGCTACTATTACGTAACCATCCCCTAAGAAAGGATTTTGATAGATTCCACCCCTAAGGGGATAAATTAACGCGAGCGAACCCGCGGGTAAAAGCCAGTTACTTATGTTACTTATACAACGAAAGATTTTTATATAGGTAATTTTAGTTTGTTTTAGGTTACAACTTTGGGAAGTGTGTCAAAGTCTAATTCAAAATATCTTTATTCATGTAGGTCTATTACAGACTCTCATGATATGTCAAATCTACCGTCAGCTCGGAATGATTTCGAGATGAGAACAACTGACAAGAAATTCGGCTCGTATTTTTCTTTAAATAAATGTTGTACATATTTACAATAATACAAATTCATTTTAAATTCAAATTTGGGAGAATAGAGTGACCATCAGCATATGATATTGCAAAAAACAAAAATCTAATCAGTGTTCGCAACCTGAACAGACCAGTTCCCACAAGCAAAACATTAACGCCATCCAAAGGGCCCAAAATCAATACCGTCTTTACCATAAGGGCACACGGGGCTCGTGCCCAGGGCCCCCATTCTCAGAGGGCCCCTGAAGGACTGATAATTTTTCTCACATATTTATTCTCAAAAGAGTTTTTTGTGAACTACACTTTTTTCACAAATCCCTTAATGTTCCTTATACCTAATGAGGTTTTGAAATTGCCAAAAGGGCGCCGTATTTTGGGTCCCCAAGGGCCCCAGCCTAGTTTAAGACGGCGGTGCCCAAAACATTATACTGAGAACAATATCGGGTGTCCCTTGCTACATCACCAACAACGAAATTCGCAAGGAACTTGCACAGTAAAAGAGGAGATCATCAACTACAAAGAAAAATCGTTGATTAAATAGGAAAATGACATTTGTCTAAATTAGAAGCTAGAATTGCCTCCTAATATATAAGTCAATTAAATTAACCAGCCGTCTTAATCATTATATAAATACTTTTAAAATTATTTATAACACTTCTGTGTAAAACTCTAAAGGAAAAAATAATTTAAATAAATTTAAAAACTTTAAATAAATCTAGAAATAGAAAATCATTCATTCAAATAAACTTACATTGAAGCACTTTTGAATAGTCATTACATTTTTTTAACCTACCGCTCGTTCGGAAAGCTGTCTCATCACAAAAAGAACGAGAAAGAAACTTGCGTGTTGAAAATAATTTTATTATTACTTTACATTTTTAAGTTTAAGTGTGTGAATACAAACCACCAATTAGCACTAATTCTTGTAAATGCTTGTCTTGTAAAAACTGTACGTTTTGGATACTGACATTTTTCTATTTAACTAACGAAATGTAAAAAGCGACTATATAACCACCAAAATCAACTGGCTGCTCGATTACTACAAAAACTTAACCCCAAGCGAAGATGCGACATTATGTAATATGCTTAACCCTCCGAACGTTTTGACACAGATCTGTGCACCCTTAAACCGTATAACCGTGTTCTCAAAGATCTGTGCCCGCAAAACCGTGAACTCTTTTTAACCAATTTAGTCCTTATTTAAAACGTAATAAGATCGGACGCATTTGAACAAAATACAGCTGGCACACGCATACCGCCTCTTCACTTTCGGTCGCTGCGACAGACAATAGACAATAGTTAAGGAGCATTCTCCCGCTGGGGACACTCCATTCTTAGTTCCCACACCCAAAAAATCTGCTCATAGATCTGGGACTGATTGCAAATGGGAAGAAAAGAAAAAATAATTCAATTTCATGCCAGTTCTTCTCAATTGGATCTATATACTAAACTGGACGGTAGGGAAAAAAATATAATTGTTCATAAGCGGCTAAAATGTCGTACATGAATAAATTATTTTTGAATTTTTGAATGTTTTATATTTGTATCCACACCAGGTATACCCAACTCTTCAACGCTACAGACCGAGCGAAGACAGGGTCGGTGTCAGGTGCGCAGGCTCGCGCGATCATGCTGCAGTCCAGACTACCACAGCAGGCTCTGGCACAGATATGGGCATTAGCTGACTTAGACTCTGATGGCAAGCTGGGTAAGCTGTTAGTGATTTCATTAGAATAGAAATAAACTTAATATAAGTACTTTTGAGTAGTCATATTTTTTTTCTACCACACATTTTTTTTTTCGGTCTATTCTAATGCTGTTGGCCGTAGCTGGCCTTTACAGCTTCACCGGACGTTATGGGGCGAGTGCAGATGGCACTCCAAACCCGCGGAAAGACTTATGAAGCGGCTGAAGGCCAACTCCTGCCTGACGGATACGAATTTAGTCTGAGGGCACCACTAGGGGTTCGAACCTCGGCTCAGGCCGTCGTAATTTCGATCCCCGTTTGAATTGGACGGGGAATTGATCGAAGGGGCGCCCGGGGACGCCGGTGTGGAGCGCCCGCGCGCGCGCATGCGCCCGGTTGAATGCGCGATATTGAGTGTTTGAGGTCGTCGTCTTGGCCGGCGAGGACGGTGTCGTGTGTCTACCACACATTCGGAACGCAGACTCATCACAAGAACTTACTTGTTGCTGTTTTAAATAAATGTTGTTTAAAGTATATACACATTAACAAGGATTAGGCATGCGATAATTAACATAGAAACCGCTACGCTATCTATGTTCTATGTTCCCGGAGAAATACAACCCCGGATTCTTCAAGTCTATGGTGAATAGATATCTTCTGGGTAAGCGCGCTACATCCTAGGTCTTACCATCATTTACCATCAGATGAGGTAAGACCAAGCGCAATCCCATTATTAATAAAAAAAAATCAGATAACATTATGAACGCTATGAATTTTAAGTTAGATTTATGTATAAAAACACTATTATCATTAGTCAGTCACTATTATCATTTTAATTTTTTTTGGAATACAATAGTTTGCGTGCGAGGAATCGACCCCGCCACCATCGAAAGTAAAGCGGTGTTAAGTTTAAACATTAAAATGTAAAGTTTTGAAATTGAAATAGAAATAATCTTTATTCAAATAAACTTAATATAAGCGCTTTTGAATAGTCAAGTTTTTTTATTCTACCGCTTATTCGGGATGCAGACTCATCACAAGAAGAATAAGCAAGAAACTTGTGTGTTGCTCTTTTAAATAAATATTGAATTACTTATATTTAATTAACAACAAGGATTAGGCATGCGACAATCAATATAGAAACCGCTACGCACTTAATCTCTGTTCAATCAGATAACATTGTCAGCGCTATGCATTTTAAGTTAGATATTTTCTACAAAAACTTTATTATCATTTATAAATTCTTCAATTTTATAATAAGCTTTTTTACAAAGAAAATATATTTATGACATATTTGAATTTTTTTTCTAGCAAATTGACTACAGACTTGGGAGTTTGTTGTAAAACCTTACGCAATTTCCATAAAACGAATTACTGACTTTCGTCAAACGGCACTTATGTAAAACTAGTTTGTTGACATTACGTAAGCTTTTATTAGTGTAATCACCTACTTTTTAAAACTGTTAATGTTTTTCGTAGTATTATTATTTTCGTAGATGTATTGAGAAGCAACGGTGAGGATATTTGATTCTATAAAACATTCCCGCAAAGACTCCCTGGAACCCATACCAGAGCGGATGGCCGTCTTTTGCAAAATAAATACTGTATTTATATATATTTTAATAAGTATATTTAATTTCCAGGGTGTGAAGAGTTTGTACTGGCTATGTACCTCTGTGAAAAGGCAACCCAGGGTGACTCCGTGCCGGCTAAATTGCCTCCCGAGCTCATACCACCCACATTCAGGTAAGAAACAACCGTGGACATAAAACACAATACTTTGGTATCTATACGTCATTAAAAAAAAAATAATAGACTAGATGGCGCTGTGTGAATTGCACACAGCGCCATCTAGTCCCACGGTAAGCAGAGCTTGAGTTGAGTTATGTGCTCGTGGGGACTGGTCTGTTCGGGTTATGAACACTGATTAGACTATTTACTTTTGCATAGCATATGCTGGTGGTTGCTCTATTCCCCCAAATTTGAATTTAAAAATGAATCTGTATTATTGTAAACATAGATTTCAAATTAAATATTACAAAAACAAATATCTAAGTATTTATATGAGTAGTCTAGTACCCATAACACAAGCTCTGCTTACCGTGGGACTAGATGGCGCTGTGTTAATTGTCCAGGGTTATTTATTTATTTATATCAGTTGTCTAGTACCCATAACACAAGCTCTACTTACCGTGGGACTAGATGGCGCTGTGTTAATTGTCCAGGGTTATTTATTTATTTATATAAGTTGTCTAGTACCCATAACACAAGTTCTGCTTACCGTGGGACTAGATGGCGCTGTGTTAATTGTCCAGGGTTATTATTATTATTTCCACATGAACCCTGGGCAGGTTTTCGGCTTGTTAAATAAAGTCCAAAGGAACAGGTTTTTTTTCGGACTACTCTAATGCTGTTGGCCGCAGCTGGCCTTTACAGCTTCACCGGACGATAGGGGGCGAGGGCGACACTCCAAACCGAACGAAGGACTTATGGAGCAGCTGAAGTCCAACTCCCGCCTGACGGATACGACGCCAGTGTGAGGACACCGCTAGAGGTTCGAACCTCGGCTTAGGCCGTCGTAATTTCGATCCCCGTTTGAATTGGACTGGGGATCGATCAGAAGGGGGGTCAAAAGAGCTATAGTGTAATCCTTTTGTAAAAAGCTCTACTGTAATATATAGAAATTCTTATTTGCAGACGGGAGTCGGTGACATCGACTAGTAGTGCGAAGTCATACGAGGAACGTCGGAGAGAGAACATGGCGCGCGGCCAGGCCGAGCTGGAGAGGCGCAGGTCACAGCTAGCAGACGCCCACATGAAAGAGAAGGTCAGTGATAGAGTGTGATATATGGGAGACGCAGGTTACAGCTGGTAGATGCAGGTCACAGTTGTCAGACGCGGGTAACAGCTGGCAAACGCCGGTCACAGCTGGCAGGCGCAGATCACAGCTGTCAGTCGTAGGTCACAGCTGTTAAACGCGGGTCACCGATGGCAGACGCAGGTCACAGTTATCAGACGCGGGTCACAGCTGGCAGACGCAGGTCATAGCTGTCAGACACAGGTCACAGCTGTCAGACGCAGGTCACAGCTGTCAGACGCAGGTCACAGCTGTCAGACGCAGGTCACAGCTGTCAGACGCAGGTCACAGCTGGCAGACGCGCACATGAAAGCAATGGTTTTTTTATATATATATGTATAAGTAAACGATACACGTGTTGTCGAGTGCAAAATGATTTGTTCCGGATTTAATGACTGTTATACTGATAAATCAACAAATTGATTTGTCTGTGTATAATTTTATATATATATATATTATTTAATTTTAAATATTTTTTTCCATGGATACCAGGAGGCAGAGGTAATTAATAATTATTATTAACTTAGCCGTTACCATACTTTTTTCAAATAAAAGTAGTCTAAGTAAGTACTCCTTACAATATTAGCTATCTGCGAGTGAAAGTCCAAATGGGTCGAGCCGTTTCAAAGAATAGTAACAATAAAATGACAGACAGACTAAAATTTTATATATTAATTTCTTGATGTAACTTTACTTGACTTAACTTTCATGAGCTTAACAACAATCTGCAGATTTTGCCAAACCAAAGAGGAAACTCCTTTAGACAGTATACTCACACACTTATTGTTTGCAGGCTGAAAGAGAACGGAAAGAGAGAGAAGAAGCGGAGAAGAGAGAGAAGGCTAGATTGGAAGCACAGAAGAGAGAGCAGGAAGAATTGCAAAGGAAACAGAAGGAAGAACAGGTAATAATATAACTGTTTCTAAGGTAAACTGACAGCCTCAGTGGTCTAGGGGTTTAACACACCACTTTATTTCAGATGGTCGTTGGTTTGATTCCTGGCACGGTATAAAAGTTTGTATTCATGAGTATGGTTGTATGTATAGGTCTGGTTGTTTTCTATGTATATACTAGCTGTCCCAGCAAACGTCATGTTGCCCTATTTATTTATATCGTTATAAAAAATAGGGGTTGATGTTAAAAGGGTGAACTTTTAAGGTTGTATGTATTTTTCAATGCTAAATCGTAATAAAATAAAAATAACAAAATTAACAAAAAAATATATTTAGGTGTAGGTTACTCTTATCATTGAGGGATATGAAAAATAAATATTGGCTGATTCTCAGACGTACCCGATATGTACATAAATTAATAAAAATCAATAGAGCAGTTTCGAAGGAGTTTGGTAACAAACACCGCGACACGAGAATTTATATATTAGAAATACAAACAAAAACTTTTTTGTAGGAGAAGCGAGAAGCAGCTAGAAAGGAGATGGAGAGACAATGCCAACTGGAGTGGGAGAAAAAGAGGTAATGTCAATCTTAATAATATCATAAACTCGAAAGTTAGTAAGTATGGATGTTTGTTATTCTTTCACTCAAAAACTACTAAACGGATTTTGACGAAACTACACAGTAATATAGCTGTTTGGGAAACTACTCTGCTACCAAAATGTTAGGGAATTTACTCTCTGCATATATATAGTGAAAAATGAATGGAAGCGTCAGTCACGTACCTCTATGGTTCTGCGGATTTCTTGGGCTTCAGGGTCTCGAAGATATCTTCGCTAGCTTTCCAGTTTCACAGTAGGTTTCACAGTTCTAATTTATTTTAATTCACAACACAATGCGCGCGCGTCATGGCCGCCGTACAGTCGGTTCAGTACTGGGTAAGGGAGGGGAACGAAAGGCGCGGGAACACAAAACTAACGGACTCTAATATAATAATCTGTGCTTACGATGGTACAGGGTAGATTTTGAACAATAGCTTATACATCAGAATAACACATAGACTATATTATATTGAAATTAAACGCGGATGAAACCGCGGGCACAGCTAGTAATATAAGTAATGTATAGTAAACACGAAAGTTTAAAAAAGTTTTTTTTACAGAATTCGTGAGCTGGAAGCGATGCGAACAGAGGAACAAACCAAAGTTCTAAGTCTGAAGTCCAAGAACCAAGCTGTCACTGCAGAGCTGAACTCTGTGAATCTCCGAGCCAGTAATCTGGCCAAGGATATACGGGAGACCAGGACGGCTGTGGCAGCTGCCAAGTGTACCATAGACGGGATGAGGTGAGAAGGATTACAAAGATATTTGTTTATTTATTTAATTCAGGCTACATGGCCCATATTATAAATACCTTATAGACTAACATACATAAGAAATAATAATAAAATTTGAAAAATAAAATTGAATCTATGGTCACGGCACTGACGACGGCAATCTGCCACGGTAGCGCCGATAGACCACCCCCTTCGGCCAGTAGTCCTCCTTCATGAAGGTGGGCAGCATGTTGGTGGGGACCAGGGCCACGATTAGAAAGATTTGTCCTAATGTAAGAAAGATAAAATAAGATAACCCAACTTTGCTTTTTTTATCTATTTTTGGATTACTCTAAGGCTGTTGGCCGCAGCTGGCCTTTACAGGTTGTAAAATGAATATGTAAAAATGTCCTAATGAAATAGAAATAGAAATAATCTTTATTCAAATAAACTTAATATAAGCACTTTTGAATAGTCAAGTTTTTTTTATTCTATCGCTAATTCGGAATACAGATTCATCACAAGAAGAATAAGCAAGAAACTTGTGTGTTGCTCTTTTAAATAAATATTGATTTACTTATATTTAATTAACAACAAGGATTAGGCATGCGACAATCAACATAGAAACCGCTACGCACTTAATCTCTGTTCAATCAGATAACATTGTCAGCGCTATGAATTTTAAGTTAGATATTTTCTACAAAAACATTATTATCATTTATAAATTCTTCAATTTTATAATAAAATTTTTACAAAGAAAATATTTTATGACACATTTGATTTTTTTTCTGGCAAATTGACTACAGACTCTGGGAGTTTGTTGTAAAACCTTACGCAATTTCCATAAAACGAATTACTGACGGATAGGTTTCGGATATAGGAATGATTATTATACCGGATGCGGATATGAAATTATTTCGGATCATCCGTTAGTTTTGGTTAATTTCGGTTAAGGATATTTTTTAAGGATTTCAAAAGTAAATTACAAGTAGCTAATAAAATGATGAATTAGTGCTAATCAGTTTGTATTCACACACTTAAACTTAAACTGTAAGTAAGAATAAAATTATTTAAAAGAGCAACACACAAGTTTCCTGCTCGTTCTTCTTGTGATGAGACAGATTTCCGAATGAGCGGTAGATTAAAAAAAATGTGTTGACTATTCAAAAGTGCTTCAATGTAAGGTTATTTGAATAAATGATTTTCTATTCTATTCTATTCGGATACCCGATAGTTTCGGTTACTGTTACGGAGCTCCCTACCATGATGTTTATTATGAACCTTTATAATCACTTCTATATCCCTATTTTAATAGCGATATTAATAATACAGTGGACCCGCTGTAATCCGGCCCCTGTCTAATCCGGCCCCCCTTGTAATCCGACATTGTCTATTATTTGTTATTGAATATTACTTTGACAATATACTTCAGAGTGCATATACATACATACATATATAACATAGAATCTTATCACTGGATCTGTAATTTGTCGGATTACAAGATACTCTTTTGTAAAAAATTCCGGACTATAAGCAGAGGACCCTTAAGCAGCACTCTATAATCCGACAAATACGATGGTCCGACACTGCCCTGCAAAACGTTTGTCGGATAACCCGGGGTCCACTGTATATGTACATATATAATATAAAGAATCATCATTGGATCTATAATTTGTCGGATTACAAGCTACTCTTTTGTAAAAAAATTCGGACTATAAGGGGTCTTAGGCAGTACTCTATAATCCGACAAATTCGATAGTCCGACACTGCCCTGCAAAATGATTGCCGGACTACCGGGGGTCCACTGTGATATATGGCAAAACAATGTTTATCGGGACAGCAAAAAGTGTATAGAAATGTTGATTAGTATACAGAGATCGTACATGTTAACTATATGCGCATGCCAATATCTTTGCAACAGCAATACGAGACCCATTGCAATGCAGATGGCTTAAGAGACTCCATGCATGGGATCTTATTCACCGATGAGACAGTTTCCTCACTGGAAGTATAGTTCTCTCCCGTCAACAGTCAACCAATCTGTTAAAAGCTTGGTAAGACGATTGCAGGATAAAAAAAAAGAAGAATTTTGGTTCATATTCTTTTTTGCCACGCACAACCACATTGTGGAATCACCTTCCAGCGATGGTATTTCCGAACCGATACGATATTGAACCTTCAAGAAAAGAGCTTATTCCTTTTTAGGAATTGTTCGGATTAATACCAGCTGCTGAGTTTCACCACCGTACCACCCGCCAGAAACAGAAATACCATCCTGATCATCTGGATGCAAGGCGGTCCTCCACAGTGCGGTTTTCTAGAAACTTTTTGCCACGCACAACCACCTTGTGGAATCACCTTCCATCAATGGTATTTCCGAACCGATACGATATTGAAACCTTCAAGAAAAGAGCTTACTCCTTTTAAAAAGGCCGACAACGTACTTGCAATTCCCCTGGTGTTGCGGGTGCTCATGGGCGGCGGTAATCACTTACCATTAAGTGAGCCGCATGCTCGTTTGTCCCTTGTGTTATAAAAAAAAACAATAAAGAATATTTTAATTTCATAAAATTTCTTTACAGATCCGACCGTGACGCGAGCATGGCAGAAATGCAGCAGCTGAAAGCAAAAGTGAAAGAGCTGAATGCTAAGCAAATAGCTTTGAATAAAGAAAAGGCGGAGTTGGATGCTAAAGTATGTATAGTGAAGTCGTTTAGTATACTAGTTATTCAAAATGAAATTAAATCAAAAATCATTTATTCATGAAAAAATAAAAAATCATTTATTCATGACATTTGAGCCAGTTATTATGCGTGCGTCAAAAATCATTTATTCATGACATTTGAGCCAGTTATTATGCGTGCGTCAAAAATCATTTATTCATGACATTTGAGCCAGTTATTATGCGTGCGTCAAAAAACATTTATTCATGACATTTGAGCCAGTTATTATGCGTGCGTCAAAAAACATTTATTCATGACATTTGAGCCAGTATTATGCGTGCGTCAAAAATCATTTATTCATGACATTTGAGCCAGTTATTATGCGTGCGTCAAAAATCATTTATTCATGACATTTGAGCCAGTATTATGCGTGCGTCAAAAATCATTTATTCATGACATTTGAGCCAGTTATTATGCGTGCGTCAAAAATCATTTATTCATGACACTTGAGGCAGTTATTATGCGTGCGTCAAAAATCATTTATTCATGACACTTGAGGCAGTTATTATGCGTGCGTCAAAAATCATTTATTCATGACATTTGAGCCAGTTATTATGCGTACGTCAAAAATCATTTATTCATGACATTTAAACAAGTTATTATGCGTGCGTCAAAAATCATTTATTCATGACATTTGAGCCAGTTATTATGCGTGCGTTTTAAAAATGACGACACGAACCGCTTAGTGTGAACCCCTCAATCGATCCCCCATCTAATTCAAACGGGGATCGAAATTAGGACGCCCTGAACCGAGACTCGAACCCCTATCGGTGCCCTCAGACGCGTCGTATCCGTCAGGCGGGAGTTGTCCTTCAGCCGCTCCATAAATCCTTTGGTTTGTAGTGCCATCTGCACTCGCCCCCTATCGTCCGGTGAAGCTGTAAAGCCAAGCTGCGGCCAACAGCATTAGAGTAGTCCGAAACAAAAAAGAAAAATCTTTGCGAATATATGATATTCCCATAAAAGACCTATTGTCTTTTTCTTATCGATATGAACGATCCAGGAAAAACGGACAGACTGGTAGACTTAAATGCTAAATACCATTTCAGGGTTCAGAAGGAAATGAAGACGGCAAACTGAGTATGATGGAAGTAACATTGAAACAGCTACGAGAAAAGGTAAGCAATAACATATCTATTGTCCTGACTTAGGTGATATAGCGGTTGAGCACCGCTTTTATTCCGATGGTAGCACGATTCAAACATTGGTGTCAATAAAAAGTAAAATTGTATATCTGTGGTGTCTTCGTCTTTGTCAGCGAGGACGGTGTCGTGTGCGTGTGTCATAGTAGTGGTAGTTGGGATGGAACGGATTGAGCAGTAAAGAGGTTAGGTGCCGTTATGGGGTCATTGGAATCAATAAGAACGTGCCTCGTGCAACTTTGATATAAGTAAAAACGACATATGCATGACTAGGGCCCTCACTGGACACTGCAAATTGAACAAACTGGCAAACTCAGGGCACAACAAAAATCTGTAGATTTTGCCAAACTGAAGAGAAAACGTTACACATCCTATGTGGTTATAGCCCACTCATGCTTAAATGAATTATCTCCCTTGGAAAGTGCACTATATTCTGAGGAGATAAAAACCATCGCTCCTAAGAATATCCTTCAATTCTTGTCCCTGAAGGGTCTAGGTAGCAAACTTTGAAAAAGGGCGAGCATAATAGATCTATCCAAATCGCAGTGCAGGTCCAAACACCTGACAATAGCCCAAACTCCCAAAAAAAATCTATGTTATGTCTTCCTTCATTCGAAACAGATCACGTAACCGCGAGGTTCCTCGAGACTACCTCGGAAATGTGATGTTGCAGGTGGAAGCCGCTAAGGCAATAGTGGAGAGCAAGCAGATGGACCTGGAGACGAACAACAAGCAGCTGTCGGAGCTGACGGAGACGGTGACGTCACTGGGCGACAAGTGCGAGCGCGTGTGGAGACTGTACGAGGAGCGCCGCGACCAGTACCGCGCCCGCACCGCCGCGCCCGCAGAGTCCGCCTGGCCCGCAGGTACTCTCCACACACACCCCACACTTGCCCGTCGACACTTGACCGTACACGCTCGACACTTGATCCTAGACACTTGACACGACCGAGGACACTCGACACTTGACCGTAGACATTCGACACTTGATCGTCAGCACTGGACAAGGGACCGTCGACACTCGACACTTGACCGGAGACAGTCGACACTTGATCGTCAGCACTCGACAAGGGACCGTCGACACTCGACACTTGATCGGAGATACTCGACACTTGACCGTAGACACTCGGCACTTGACAGTGGACCTCCGACACTCGATCTTCAGCACTCCACACTTGACCATAGACACTCGACACATGACAGTCTTGATCGTCAACACTCGACAAGGGACCGTCAACACTCAACACTTGACTTTTCATTCATTCTTCATTCTCGTTCTTCATTCTCATTCTTCATTCTCATTCTCAATATCATTCTTTTTATCGGTCTCATTCTTCAATCTACTTTCTCAGTCTTCATTCTTCTTCAATCTCATTCTTCATTCTCATTCTTCATTGTCGTTCTTCATTCTCATTCTCTTTCCATTCTCATTCTTCAAATTCAAATTCAAAAATCATTTATTCATGTAGGACATTTTAGCCGCTTATGAACGTCAAATTTTTACATTATAATTTTATTTTTTTCCCTACCGTCCAGTTCGGTATATAGATCCAATTGAGAAGAACTGGCAAGAAACTCAATTGAATTACTTTTTTTTTTTAAAGCCAGTTTATTTACAATGTATATTTATATAGGTGTCTATGTCTAACATTAAATGAAAATTCAGTGCATGAACAACTATTGCCATGCACGCTCGTCATTCAAGTAATCGTTTAGTGAGTAATAGGCTTTGCTCAGTAAATATGATTTAACAGATGTTTTGAATTTATTTAAGGGTAATTCCAACATATCCTTTGGTATCTTATTGTAAATTTTTATACCTATTCCCATAAAAGACCTATTAACTTTTTCTAAACGATACTTGGGGACAGCAAGTTTGTCTTTAAATCTTGTATTAATATTATGAATATTGCTGTTTTTTGGAAATAAGTCAAGATTTTTATGAACATATAGGATATTTGAATATATAAATTGAGAAGCAACGGTGAGAATATTTGCCTCTTTGAATTTCTCTCTTAATGAGTCACGACTCTTCATACAGTAGATCGCTCGAACGGCACGTTTTTGTAATATGAATATATTTTTAATATCTGCCGCTTTTCCCCATAGTAATATTCCATAAGAGAGTAAACTATGAAAATAACTAAAATAGACTAATCTAGCAGTATCAGTATCAGTGTACTGTCTAACCTTACGCACGGCAAAAGCTGCTGAACTTAGTTTCGCTGCAAGGCTTTGAATTTGTGCACCCCATTGTGTTTTATTATCTAGTGTGATTCCTAGAAAGACAGTAGATTCTATAAATTCGAGAGATTCGTCATTTAATTTAATATTGCAATTAGTATTAAAACTTTTAGACAGAGAGAAATTAACACATTTTGTTTTTTTAGCGTTTAACATAAGATTGTTAGTTGTAAACCAGTGCAGGAGACGCCGCAAAGCACTATTTACATCGTCATAATTATTAGTCATTCTATTAACTTTAAAAATCAATGAAGTATCGTCTGCAAATAATACTATGCCGCATCTATCCTGCATGGCATATGGGAGATCATTAATGTAAACTAGGAATAAAAAAGGACCGAGAATAGATCCTTGAGGTACACCCATTTGCACAAGTGACCCGTCAGACGTAGCGTTGCTAACCTTCACTTTCTGTATTCTATCAGATAGATAAGATTTTATTAAATTTAAAGCATGGTCTTTGACGCCATAAAAAGCAAGTTTTTTTAGCAATGTATTATGATCAACGCAATCAAAAGCCTTAGAAAGGTCACAAAAAACACCTATCGCATCCATTTTAGTTTCCCATGCAGCAAATACGTGTCTAAGCAACTCTGCACCTGCGTCTGTAGTTGAACGACCTTTGGAAAAACCGAATTGACTATTGTGGATTAAATTATTTAAATTGAAATAACTGACAAGCTGCATAAGGATTATTTTTTCAAAAATTTTACTGAGTGCTGGGAGTATAGATATAGGTCTATAATTTATTGGGTCACTCCTATCTCCAGATTTAAAAAGCGGTATGATTTTACTAATTTTCATTATGTTAGGAAATTTACCTTCGTCTATACATTTATTGAAAATAAAAGCAAGAGAGGGCGCAATAATTTCCATTATACTATCTAGTATTTTAACAGATATACCCCATAGATCCTCTGTTTTTTTATTATTAAGCTGTTTGAATATTTTCATTATTTCTACTGATGATGTATGTCTAAAGTTAAATACAGCTGATGACTTGCTAACATTGTCTGTTAGTAAAGTTTCAGCAGCAGACGGGGAAGATTTTAGAGCCTGTGTCGTAATTAATGGAATATTAGTGAAATAAGATTCGAATGTATCCGCGACCTCTGTGTCGGAATTTACCAATTTGTTATTAATATTTAAAGCTATTTTACTATTTTGAAAATTAACTTTTCCAGTTTCGCTATTTATTACTTTCCAAGTGGCTTTTATTTTATCTTTAGATTTAGTTATTATTTTACCTAAATAGAGAGACTTAGCTGTATGACAAACCTTTTTAAATATTTTCGAATAAGATTTTACATGTTCATGAAATAAGGGATCGGATATATAGCTTCGTTTTTCGTAAAGTTCGTAAAGATTAGCCCTAGACTTATAAATACCAAACGTGGCCCAGTCACAAAACTTTGATTTTACACTAGTTGAAAAGGTTTTTGTTTTAAATTCACTGCTAGCTTCATGTTCAATTAAATTAAAAATATGTTCACATACAATGTCCGGGTCATATTGAGGTACTATGACACTAGATATTTTATGTTCAATTTTATTTTTAAAACGTGCCAAATTCTTTTGTGTTATTTGTCTGCATGTAATTGTTTGAGTCCCTTTGGATCCCTTAGTTTCAATTATAACTTTTTGTCCATAATGATCAGATCCAAGACAGTCGAAATTCATTTTCACCTTTACTTCACAATTACAAAAAACATTATCTATACAAGTGGCAGAATTTCCTGCGACCCTAGTGGGTTCTAAAAAAAGATTGTGCAAATTAAATGATTTAAATAAGTTAATCAATCTTAAGCTTATTGAGCATTCCGATAATAAATCAACATTAAAATCGCCACATACAAATAATGTTTTATTCCTCCGTGCGACTCGTCTCAATGCTTCCTCCATAGCCAGTTCAAAAGAATCAAAACAAGCCGATGGCGGACGATAAACGCAAATTATTATACAAGTAACTAATTCTACGCAAGATAGTTCAATTGTTTGCTCAATAGAAATATTTACAATGTCTTGACGGTTTTTATATTCTACATCATTTTTTAAAATAATAATTGACCCGCCATGAATGGCATTGTTCCTAGCAAAAAAACTAGCTATATTATAATGTTCAAAAGGACAAATTATTTCATATTGTTTAAGCCAATGTTCTGTCAGACATAACACCCGTACATTGTTAGATTCTAAGAATAGACTTAATTCTAATTCTTTGCTGGAGAAGCCACGAATATTTTGATGAATAATGACCATATCCTGTGGCTTAACCAATGTCGTAGATGTTAGTTTAAATTAACACATGTCACATTATTAGTATTATTACTAATATTACTAATTAAATCCGTTATACTACTTATAATGGGATCATAAATGTTATACGCTAGTAAACTAGCAATAGTCTTTTTTTGTTTTTTAGGAAGATATCTTCATCCTCTATATCATTCTTTTTATCGTTCTCGTTCTTCAATCTTCTTTGTCATTCTCTTTCTTCATTCATTCATTCATTCTCATTCTTCGTTCTAAATCATCATTCTTCATACCCATTCTTCATTCTCAATCTTCATTCTCATACTCATTCTTCAATCTCATTCTCATTCTTCGTTCTCATTCCTCAATCTCATTCTTCAATCTCATTCTCATTCTTCGTTCTCCTCAATCTCAGTCTTCATTCTCATACTTAATTCTTCATTCTCCATCCTCATTCTCTTTCTTCATTCTAATGAGACTGAAGAATGCTTCAGTCACAGTCATCATTCTCATTCGTCATTCACAACTCAATCTTCTTTCTTCATTCTCATTCTTCATTCATTCTCAATCTTCATTCTCATACTTCATTCTTAATTCTCTAACTTCAATCTCATTCTTCATGATCATTCTTCGTTCCTATTCTTCAATCTCAGTCACGTTCTTCGTTCTCATTCTTCTTCACAGTCACATTATTCGTGCTCAATCTTTATTCTTCATTCTCAATCTCATTCTCATTCTTCATTCTTCTTCAATCTCAGTCTCATACTTCGTTCTCATTCATCAATACCATTCTTCATTATTCTTCAATATCATTCTTCATTCTCAATCTTCATTCTTCTTCAATCACAGTCACATTATTCGTGCTCAATCTATATTCTTCATTCTCAATCGCATTCTCATTCTTCAATCTCATTCTTCATTCTCATACTTTATTCATCAATCTCAATCCTCATTCTCTTTTTCATTCTCATTCTTCTTCAATCTCAGTCACTTACTTCGTTCTCATTCATCAATCATTCTTCATTCCCGTTCTTCATTATTCTTCAATCTCATTCTTCATTCTCAATCTTCATTCTTCATAACCATTCTTCAATCTCATTCTTCATTCTCATACTCATTCTTCAATCCTCATTCTCTTTCTTCCTTCTAATGAGACTGAAGAATGCTTCAGTCACAGTCATCATTCTCATTCTTCATTCACATACTCAATTTTCTTTCTTCATTCTCATTCTTCATTCATTCATTAATACCAATCTTCATTCTTATCCTTCAATCTTAATTCTCTAACTTCATTCTCGTTCTTCATTCTCATTCTTCGTTCCTATTCTTCAATCGCAGTCACATTCTTCGTTCTCATTCTTCTTTAATCACAGTCACATTCTTCATTCTCAATCTTCATTCTTCGTTCTCATTCCTCAATCTCATTCTCATTCTTCGTTCTCCTCAATCTCAGTCTTCATTCTCATACTTATTTCTTCATTCTCCATCCTCATTCTCTTTCTTCATTCTAATGAGACTGAAGAATGCTTCAGTCACAGTCATCATTCTGATTCTTCATTCACAACTCAATCTTCTTTCTTCATTCTCATTCTTCATTCATTCATTAATACCAATCTTCATTCTCATACTTCATTCTTAATTCTCTAACTTCATTCTCATTCTTCATTCTCATTTTTCTTCAATCACAGTCACATTATTCGTGCTCAATCTTTATTCTTCATTCTCAATCTCATTCTCATTCTTCATAACCCTTCTTCAATCTCATTCTTCATTCTCAAACTCATTCTTCAATCTCATTCTTCATTCTCATACTTTATTCTTCAATCTCAATCCTCATTCTCTATTTCATTCTTCATTCTTCTTCAATCTCAGTCACATACTTCGTTCTCATTCATCAATCATTCTTCATTCCCATTCTTCATTATTCTTCAATCTCATTCTTCATTCTCATACTCATTCTTCAATCCTCATTCTCTTTCTTCATTCTAATGAGACTGAAGAATGCTTCAGTCACAGTCATCATTCTCATTCTTCATTCACATACTCAATCTTCTTTCTTCATTCTCATTCTTCATTCATTCATTAATACCAATCTTCATTCTCATACTTCATTCTTAATTCTCTAACTTCATTCTCATTCTTCATTCTCATTCTTCGTTCCTATTCTTCAATCGCAGTCACATTCTTCGTTCTCATTCTTCTTCAATCACAGTCACATTCTTCGTGCTCAATCTTTATTCCGCTTTCTAAATCTCATTCATCATTCTTCTTCTATCTGTCACATACTTCGATCTCATTCATCAATCATTCTTCATTCCCATTCTTCATTATTCTTCAATCTCATTCTTCATTCTCAATCTTCATTCTTCATACCTATTCTGCTTCATTCTCATTCTCAATGTCATATTTTTATCATTCTCGTTCTTCATCCTCTATATCATTCTTTTCATCGATCTCATTCTTCAATCTTCTTTCTCAGTCTTCTTAAATCTCATTCTCATTCTTCATTCTCTTTCTTCATTCTCATACTTTCTCATTCTTCATTCTCAATCTTCATACTCTTACTTCATTCTCATACTTCATTCTTAATTCTCTATCATCATTCTCAATCATCATCTTCATACCCATTCTTCAATCTCAATCTTATTCTTCATTCTCATACTTTATTCTTCAATCTCAATCCTCATTCTCTTTTTCATTCTCATTCTTCATTCAAATACTTCATTCTTAATTCTCTAACTTCATTCTCGTTCTTCTTCAATCTCATTCTCATTCTTCATTCTCATTCGTCGTTCCTATTCTTCAATCTCAGTCATATTCTTCGTTCTCAATCTTTATTCTTCATTCTCAATCTCATTCTTCTTGTTCAATCTCAGTCACATTCTTCATTCTCAATCTCATTCTTTATTATTATACATCAAACTCATTCTTCATTCTGATTCTTCTATCCCATTCTTCTTTCTTCTTCAATCTCATTCTTTATTCTCAATCTTCATTCTTCTTCATTCAGATTCTCAATGTCATTCTTTTTATTCTCATTCTTCATCCTCAATATCATTCTTTTTATCATTCTCATTCTTCAATCTTCTTTCCCAGTCTTCTTCAATCTCATTCTCATTCTTCATTCTCAATCTTCATTCTTCATACCCATTTTTCATTCTTCTTTATTCTCATTCTCAATGTCTATCTTTTTGGTCATTCTCATTCTTCATCCTCAATATCAGTCTTTTTATCGTTCTCATTCTTCAATCTTCTTTCTCAGTCTTCTTAAATCTCATTCCCATCTTCATTCTCATTCTTCAATCTTATTCTTCATTCTCATACTTTATTCTTCATTCTCAATCTTCACTCTTCATTCTTCATTCTCATTCTTCATTCTCATTCTTCATTCTCATTATTCATTCTCATTCTTCATTCTCATTCTTCGGTCTCAGTCTTCATTCTCATTCTTCTTTCTCATACTCAATCTCATTCTCATTCTTCATTCTCTTTCTTAATTCTCATACTTTCTTCATTCTCATACATCTTTCTCATTCTTCCTTCTCAATCTTCATTCTTCTTTATTTTTCATTCCCATTCTTCAGTCTCATTCTTCGTTCTCAATCATCATTCCTCATACACTTCTTCATTCTCTATCTCTCAATCCTTCTCATTCTTCAGAATGAGAATGAAGAATTGAGAATGATTCTTCATTCCCATTCTTCATTCTTCTTCAATCTCATTCTTCATTCTCATACTTCTTTCTCATTCTTCATTCTCATTTTTCATTCTCATTCTTCTTTCTCATTCTTCATTTCATTCTTCATTCTCATTCATCATTATCATTCTTTATTCTCATTCTTCATTCTCATTCTTCATTCTTCATTCTCATTCTACCATAGACACTCGACACTTGATCGTCAACACTCGACAAGGGACCATCGACACTCGACACTTGACCGTAGACATTCGACACTTGACCATAGACACTCGCTACTTGAAAGTAGGCACTCGACACTTGGCGTAGACACTCGGATCCTGACCCTAGATACACGACATTTGATCGCAGTCACTTATAAAGATTGAATTTTAAACATAATGCTCTGTAACACAGGGTGCAGTGAGACTTTGCTATTCATTATATATCCTTTGTAGAAAATTATTGCAATAAAAAAGCAAATTATTTCAATAATAAGATGATATCATGTTTGTACGCTATAGAGACGGAGTGGGGTGCATCAGAGGAGGCCTGGGGTGACACCGGAGCCCCAGAAGACGCCTGGGGAGACGCACCCGCTACCAATGGTATGTATATAATAATATTTGCGTTTATAATATAATAAAAGTTTGTGAGTATGGATGGATGTTACTCATACGCGCAAAGACTCATACTCAACGGATTTTGTTGAAATTTTACAGTGATATCTATATATATTTAACTCAAAGGTGATCTATCAACGCACAGCCTAAACCACAACGGATTGGGCTGAAATTTGGCATGCAGGTAGATGTTATGACGTAGGCATCCACTAAGAAAGGATTTTGATTAATTCTACCCCCAAGGGGATAAAATAGAGATAAGTTAGTATGAAACTTTGTCAATTTTAAACCGATCGGGCTGAGACTTTGCATGCATAAAGCTACTATGACGTAGGCATCCGCTAAGAAAGGATTTTGATTAATTCTACCCCCAAGGGGATAAAATAGGGGATGAAAGTTTGTATGAAACTTTGTCAATTTTAAACCGATCGGCCTGAGACTTTGCATGCATAAAGCTACTATGACGTAGGCATCCCCTAAGAAAGGATTTTGATAAATTCCACCCCTAAGGGGATAAATTAACGCGAGCGAAGCCACGGGCAAAAGCTAGTTTAGTATAAGACGAATCAATCGCGATTCCTAAATTGTAAGTTAGAATTAAATAGAATGAACTTTCTTTGCTTTTAAAAAACCCATCACTGAACGTCAGAACGTAGTTAATTACACAAAACCTCATTGACGAAGTCATATTGAAAACAACAGCAAAATATATTTCAAGGTCCAATAAAAAACATAGTAGACGAGGGAAAAGTTAGCTGTAACTCAAAAACAAATGCTGTGAAAAAGAAAAATTGTTGCTATATTCAAACAACTAGCTGTGCCCGCGACTTCGCGTGGTATAAATAATAATTCTTTCATACATATGTTTTGGGTAACTTGAACCGTTTACGCAGCGCACTCAACAGATGCCCTCATATATTAATAATTTTCTCCGTCTTTGCAACATTTTCCATAGATGCATCGCTTCTATTAGTCATAGCGTAATGTTATATAGTGTTAGGGAAAATACTTTATGTGGAAGCGTCTGTCTCGTACCTATATGGTTCTGCGGATTTCTTGGGCTTCAGGGTCTCGAGTTTTTCAGTTTCACAGTAGGTTTAACTCAGTTTTAATTTATTTTGATATACAAAAAAATGCGCGCGCGTCATGGCCGCCGTACGGTCAGTTTTGTCATAGGTAAGGAGGGGGAAGGAAAAGCGCGGGAACAGAAACTAACGGACTCTAATATAATAATCTGTGCTTACGATGGTACAGGGTAGATTTTGAACATATAGCTTAAAGCCTTCCTCGACAAATGGACTATCCAACACAGAAAGAATTTTTCAATTCGAACCAGTAGTTGCTGAGATTACCGCTTTCAAAGAAACAAAAATCTTCAGCTTTGAAGTATTAGTATAGATGCGCGTTAATTCGAGGTAGAAACAGAAATAAATCGAAGGAAACAAAAAAATTATTTTGGCCAGTGTTATATTATGTTTGTATGTTCGCATGTTTCCAGCTACGGAACCTCAGCCGGTGGTGTCGACAGCAGTAGGTGCAGCCAGGTGGCGCTGTGTGTATGAATTCTCAGCGCGGACTGCGGATGAACTCAGTCTCCAGCCTGGGGATCTGGTAACGCATTTTCATTATTTTTTATTTATCAAACTCGAATTTCTACTACATTTCACTGACACTTCTAGCCCTTTTTCCGGACTACTCTAATGTAGGCCGCAGCTGGTCTTTACAGCTTCACCGGACGATAGAGGGCGAGTGCAGATGGCACTCCAAACAAATGAAGGACTTATGGAGCGGCTATAGACCAACTCCCGCCTCGATACAACTAGTCTGAGAGCACCGCTAGGAGTTCGAACCTCGACTCGTTCGGCCGCCGTAATTTCGATCCCCGTCGGAATTGGACGGGGGGATCGGTCGAAGAGGGGTTCTAGCCCATATAGAAATAGAAATAATCTTTATTCAAATAAACTCATTACAAGCACTTTTGAATAGTCATATTTTGATTCTACCACTCATTCGGAATGCAGATTCATCACAAGAAGAATGAGCAAGAAATGACTAATATGACTGTCATACTCGTGAACGAGTGCTACTTGTGGGGACTGGTCAGCTGTAATCACTACGACTGATTTACTCTTATTTAGTTACTCAACCAGTTGATTGTGTTAGTTTGCATTCACACACTTCATGTGACACCCATGATACCATTCACGCGTTGTCATTCCAAAGTACTAAGATATCACACCTCTTATCCTGTAATTTCACTTCCTAATCTGAACCTACTGTTTTTTCTTGCCAGGTCAGCGATGCGACTGCACCTCGTGGTGATGCCGAGCCAGGCTGGAGATGGGGCACTGCTAGAGGTACTGCAATTCTAAATTTAACACGGGTTTTGAAGGTTTAGATGGAGCCTGGTAGATATATATGGGGCTTGGTAGAGTTGGAAGTGATCAGAATGGAGCACTGCGAGAGGTATGTTAATTCTAAAATTAGTCAGTAGGTTCGTAGGTTTAGACGGAGCCTGGTAGATTTATGTGGAGCCTGGTAGATTGGGAAGTGATCAGAATGGAGCACTGCGAGAGGTATTTTAATTCTAAAATTAGCCAGTGTGTTCGTAGGTTTAGACGGAGCCTGGTAGATTTATATGGGGCCTGGTAGAGTTGGAAGTGATCAGAATGGGGCATTGCTACAGGTCTGGTAATTCTAAAATTAGTCAGTGGGTTCGTAGGTTTAGACGGAGCCTGGTAGATATATATGGGGCCTGATAGAGTTAGAAGAATCGGAATGGGGCATTGCTACAAGTCTGGTAATTCTAACATTAGTCAGTGGGTTCGTAGGTTTAGATGGAGCCTGGTAGATTTATATGGGGCCTGGTAGAATTGGAAGTGATCAGAATGGAGCACTGCTAGTGGTATGTTAATTCTAAACTTAGTCAGTGTCAGTGTCATATCATCAGAGTCTGTAATAGACCTACATGAATAAAGATATTTTGAATTTTGAAACTTTTGATCCACAGGTCAATCGGGCTGGTTCCCTGAATCATACGTTGAGGATATCAATGCTGCATCAGCCTACACTCCCGAGGTGGTGGAACCGCTGGAGACCAAAACACAGCTGGAAGGTATAGCGGAAGTGCCGGAAGCTGAGATATCTAATGACTTGGGTGGTGCTATGCCCACTGTTGGTAAGCAATTAGAAGAGTTTTTTTTTTAAATAGAATAAATTTATCTATAGCACAGAGGACAAACGAGTCCGCGGCTCACATTTATTTTATTTATTTATTTATTCAACCTACCTCCGATCGGTTTCCGGTCCAATTCAAAAGGGGTTCGATATTACGCCGGCCTGAGTCCAGGTTCGAATCCCTAGCGGTGCCCTTAGACTAAACTCGTATCTGTCAGGCGGGAGTTGTCCTTCAGCCGCTCCATAAGTCCTTCCTTTGGTTTGGAGTGCCATCTGCACTCGCCCGCTATCGTCCGGTGAAGCTGTAAAGGCCAGCTACGGCCAACAGCATTAGAGTAGTCCGAAAAAAAATATTCATTTAGAATCATACAAATATTATAAAGTTGATTAGAAATAGAAATAGAAATAATCTTTATTCAAATAAACTCATTACAAGCACTTTTGAATAGTCATATTTTGATTCTACCACTCATTCGGAATGCAGATTCATCACAAGAAGAACGAGCAAGAAACTTGTGTGTTGCTCTTTTTAATAGATGTTTTTATATAAATAACTACAGTATAACAAGTAAGAGGCATGCGACAATCAACATAGAAATCGCTACGCACTCATTATTAATGTAATCAGATAATATTGTCAGTGCTATAGATTTAAAGTTTTTCTATAAAAACATTATTATCGTTAACAAATTCTTCAATTTTATAGTAAGCTTGGATTTGAATAGAATAGAAAATTTATTCAAATAAACTTAATTTAAACACTTTTAAATAGTCATAACATTTTTTTTTATCTACCGCTCATTCAGAAAGCTGTCTCATCACAAGAAGAACGAGCAAGAAACTTGTGTGTTGCTCTTTTAAATAATCCTTGTAAGTTTACATTTACAAGTCGAAACGTGTGAATACAAACTACCAACCAGCACTAATTTATTTGGGTCAAATATAAATATACAATAAGATTAAATCAGTCGTAGTGATAAGGTTATACATTAGACCCTACACAATGCGAACCTGTATCGCGGGAGTCCACAATAGAATTGGCAAATGAGTAATAACTATTACAGATCAGCGAGTACAGTAGATTTGACATATCATAAGAGTCTGCAATAGACCCACACGAATTAAACGATTACTTGAATGACGAGCGTGCATGGCAATAGTTGTTCATGCACGGGATTTTCATTTAATGTTAGACATAGACACCTATATAAATATACATTGTAAATAAACTGGCTTTAAAAAAAGAGAAATTCAGTTGAGTTTCTTGCCAGTTCTTCTCAATTGAATCTGTGTACTAAACTGGAAAAATTATAATACAAAAAATTTGACGTTCATAAGCGGCTAAAATGTCCTACATGAATAAACGATTTTTTATTTTATTTGTCTCATTACAAGTAGAACGGCCAAGAAACTTGTTTGCTCATGCTATCAGCAATAAGGCCGCCTTATTGTAATATAATAATAATAATAATATAATTATAATCTCAGGACAATTCACACAGCGCCATCTAGACCCAAGTTAAGCTAGCTAAAGCTTGTGTTATGGGTCCTAGACAACTGATACCAATACATAGAAAATTTTTTTTTTTCGTAAATACATACATATTATACACAGAAAATACCCAGACCGATACAAACAATCATACTCATGAATACAAATGTTTGTGCCGTGCGAGGAATCGAACCCGCGACCATCGGTTGTAAAGCGGTATGCTAGACCGCTAGACCACCGAGGTCGCCTTATTGTAACTATGTATGTAATATTATTGTTAGTTTTTTTTTATTTGAATCAGTAAAATTTTTTATTGGATTAAACTCATTACAAGCACTTTTGAATTGTCATATTTTTGATTCTACCACTCATTCGGAACGCAGACTCATCATGAGAAGAGTGAGTGAGAAACTTGTGTGTTGCTCTTTAGAATAGAAGTTATATTGAATAAATAATACACAATAACATGTGAGAGGCGTATGATAATCAACACAGAAACCGCTACGCACTCATATAATATTGTCAGCGCTATGAATTTTATTAATTTAATACAAAAACTTCGTTTGATATATGTAACTCCTCAATAATTTACTCTTATTTAGTTCTCAACTAGTTGGTTGTATATTTAATATTATTTCTATTTGAGTATTTAATTGAATTAGTACTAATTGGTGGTTTGTATTCACACACTTAAACTTAAAAATGTAAAGTAATAATAAAATTATTTAAAAGAGCAACACGCAAGTTTCTTGCTCATTCTTCTTGTGATGAGACAGCTTTTCGAATGAGCGGTAGATTAAAAAAATGTTATGACCATTCAAAAGTGCTTCAATGTAAGTTTATTTGAATAAATGATTTTCTATTCTATTCTATTTCTGTACAGAAGGTGGAGACTTCTACATAGCGGCGTATCCTTACGTGTCGGCGGAACCCGGGGACCTGACCTTCGAGGGCGGAGAGAGGATCGAAGTGATGAGGAGAGACGGAGACTGGTGGACCGGACGCATCGGGAACAGGTCACTCAGTTATTTATTAATTGAATATAGCCGTTTAGCACACTGCCTCATTTCCGATGGTCGCGGGTTCGATTCCTCGCACGGTGCAAACATTTGTATTCATGAGTATGATTGTTTGTATCGGTCTGCGTGTTTTCTATGTATGTTTACTGCAAGCCTTAGCTAGCTTAACTTGGGTGTAGATAGCGCTGTGTGAATTGTCCTGAGATTATTATAATTATTAAAGACTAGCTGCACTCGTGACTTCGTCCGCGTGGAATTTAACTTTATTTTTCTAAAATAAAAGTAGCCTAAGTTACTCCTTATTACAACAGCAGAAAGTCCCGTCAAAATCGGTCCAGCCATTTCAGAGATTAGCCGGAATAAACAGACCGACAAACAGACAGACAAAAAATTTAAAAAGTGGTTTTTGATGTATGTACCGTATTTATATTCATATGCATGTAGTAAAAAACGGTTATTTCAATATTACAAACAGACACTCCAATTTTATTTATATGTATAGATATAGATCGACGTTGACGTTGATTAGCGGCTAAAATGTCCTACATGAATAAATGATTTTTGAATTCGAATTCGATTCTGTAAAAATTTCATTGTAATTCATAAGGCGCTTTGATGTTTCCCAGGACGGGCATTTTCCCGTCGAATTACGTGACAAAGGACGCGACCACGGGCGCCGTGGCCATCGCACCCATCCCCGAGGCGGCCGAGCCAGCCCCGCAGCCCCCCGCCGCCCCCACCGCCGCCCCCGCCTCCCCCGCCGCCCCCGCGGAGCCCCCGCAAGTAAGCGTAGACAATTTATCATTTTTGCGTAAAATACGAAAAATTTTATATAGGTCAGTACATCACTATCATCATCCGTTATCACCGTCATCAGTCATCACCGTCATCAGTTATCACCGTCATCAGTTATCATCAACACCAGTTGCTATCATCAACAAGCAATGTACTTGTCCCGCCTACACTACACTACCAAGGAACAGAACATTCTCAACTATATCTAGACCAAAAGTAACCTATACACTTAGGCTTAACGCCTAAAATGTAAAAAATTTAATACGTAACAAACGAGCTTGCGGCTCACCTTATGTTAAGTGATTACCTCAAGGTGTTAAGTACGCCATGTGCACGTTTATTTATGTATTGTGCATTAAAGTTTAAATAATTACCCGCAACACCAACGGAATTGCAAGCGTATTGGCTTTTTAAGAAGAAATAAGCTGTTTTCTTGAACGTTTCAATGTCGTAGTTTTTCGCTCCGCCGAGTTACCGCAAGTACTGTCCCTAGAGAATTCACACAACTGATCTGACCTCATGTTCTTATCATCCTCCTCTGGTGCCCCGCCAGCGTATACCGTTAGCGCAGGCGGGTGCACCATTACATTATCAACCCTTAAAAATGTGGGGGAAAGTGGATTGTTAGTAATGAATGAATGAATGAAACTCTTTCTTGTTCCTCTCACAGAAAATACAATTGCATGTACAATTATGTATAAAATGATAAAAAATATATATATATATAATACAATAAACAAGACAAAGAGGTAACAATGGGCGGCCTTATCGCTAAAAAGCGATCTCTTCCAGACAACCTTTAGTAATGTGGACTGATGACCCTATTGCCAGCAATGTTCCACGACTGTGAAATCCTCCGCTGGTGCCCCGCCAGCGTATACCGTTAGCGCAGGCGGGTGCATCACTACATTATTATATATTAAAAAACCCTAGCGACTATCAGAAGTAAATCATTCATTCATTAATAATTTAAGAGCTACGCTCTTGTCGGTGGAGCTCTTGCCACTTTCCGCGATCTTCCATCATGCTCTTTAATTCTTGATACGACACGACTCCCATTTTGTCCTCAATTTGTTTGATTTAGCTATTCCTTGGTCTTCCCTTCCCCCTCTTTCCTTCTATCAGGATAAATAAATAAATAATCTCAGGACAATTCACACAGTGCCATCTAGACCCAAATTAAGCTACCTAAAGCTTGTGTTATGGGTACTAGACAACTGATACAATTACATAGATATGTTTTTTTTCGTTTTTCCCTTTTCGTGTTTTCGTAAATACATACATATTATACATAGAAAATACCCAGACCGATACAAACAATCATACTCATGAATACAAATGTTTGTGCCGTGCGAGGAATCGAACCCGCGACCATCGGAAGTAAGGCGGTGTGCAAAACCGCTAGATCACCAAGGCCGTCAAACTTAAGGTTAAAACTAACGTGATAGCTATTTTCACAGTAAGAGGAGATGGTAATTAAGTTAGATACTAATAGCATACTTATTTTCACAGCAAGAACAGAAGTCAACGACCCCCATCTCGTCGGAAGTGGCCTCCATCACGGAGAGCGCGGCCAGGCCTCCGTCGGCGGCTCGCAGGGACTCCGGGCGGGACTCCGTCACCGGCCGCAGGAAGAACGAGATCGCGCAGGCCATCGCCAGCTACACGGCCTCCAGGTTAGTACGTCACCCTCATCATCAGTTACCATCATCACCAGTTATTATCGTCACCCGTTCATGTCGTCACCAGTTACGATCATCATCAGTTATTGTCGTCACCAGTTACTAACAGCATCAGTTATTGTCGTCACCAGTTACTAACAGCATCAGTTATTGTCGTCACCAGTTACTAACAGTATCAGTTATAGTCGTCACCAGTTACTAACAGTATCAGTTATTGTCGTCACCAGTTACTAACATCATCAGTTATTGTCGTCACCAGTTACTAACAGCATCAGTTATTGTCGTCACCAGTTACTAACAGCATCAGTTATTGTCGTCACCAGTTACTAACAGCATCAGTTATTGTCGTCACCAGTTACTAACAGCATCAGTTATTGTCGTCACCAGTTACTAACAGCATCAGTTATTGCCGTCACCAGTTACTAACAGCATCAGTTATAGTCGTCACCAGTGACTGTCATCATCAGATTCCATCATTATCTGTTATAATTTTCATTTTATTTTATTTATTTTGAATAGAATGTTTTATTTAAATAAACTTAAATTATCTTAATTACTTATAATAGTCATAACATTTTTTTACTCTACCGCTCATTCGGAAACTGTCTCATCACATTGCTTCAAACAATTTAATATATAAATACTAATTTAAATATTATTTACTGCTACTAACATTTTTTTTATGGATGATAATGTAATGGTGCACCCGCCTGCGCTAACGGTACACGCTGGCGGGGCACCAGTGGAGGATGACAAGATGAGCATGAGGTCAGGTCAGTTAGCACATCGTGACAAATTCACCAGGAATTTATCACGATGGTTTCCAGGGGGAACCGCGTGGAAGTCAACCTGACATGGTACATTGCCAGCAATGGGGTCATCAGTCCACATACTGACAATCTTCTTTCTAGTAACATTGTTATTGTATTCCAGTTCAGAACAGTTGTCTCTACAAAAAGGGCAATTGCTTGTGGTCCGTAAAAAGGCGGACAGTGGATGGTGGGAAGGCGAGTTGCAGGCCAAGGGCAGGAACCGGCAGGTCGGATGGTTCCCAGCCAGCTATGTCAAAGTAAGTAGTTTACTTTTTAACTATTTTTTTATTATTATTACTAGTTACTCGCCCAAGCGTCGCCCGGGTGTACATGTATTATATATATTCTTTATTGCACAGATAATAAAAAGATATTATAATTTAGAGACAATGTGAGCAAAGGTGGACTTATCCCTAGAAGAGATCTCTTCCAGTCAACCTAAAACAGTGGGATATGTGGTAATGTATTATATATATGAAATAATATACTATATATATATATATATATATATATATATATATATATATATATATAGTCAATTATCTATTGTATATTAGTTCTCTCGACAAATTAAACCATGCGTTGCTCTGTAGAACAAAGAAACGACATTTAATGTTTATATGTCGATCCTTTTCACCAAAACACTGTTATTTTCAATTACTGTCACTCACAATCCCTGTTTTACAATCCACCATACTTCTACTCCTCTTTAACAATTAGCGCCATCTACTGGAAGTCGATGAGAGCAATTGACGCTCAATAACGCGCCTAAAAGCAAACCTTAAAGGGATGCTAAGTAAGTATTCCTTTATATATATCAAAATCCGTTGTGTAGTTTTAAAGATTTAAACATACACAGGGACAGAGAGACAGTTGTAAATAAACTGGCTTTTAAAAAAAAAATATTCAATTGAATTTTTTGCCAGTTCTTCTCAATTGGATCTATATACTGAACTGGACGGTAGGGAAAAAATAAAATTATAATGTAAAAATTTGACGTTCATAAGCGGCTAAAATGTAAAACATGAATAAATGATTTTTGAATTTGAATCATATTGTTATGTTGGTGTTGTCAGGTATTACAATCGTCGGGTCGCACGTCGGGCCGCACTACGCCAGTGCTGTCCAAGATGGACACGTTGCCCGCAGAGACTGTCATAGACAAGGTACAGTATTTTTTTTACCTACTTGACCAGAGATTTTTTTTAATGGATGATAATGGGAAGTGCGATGCCGGGATGGGTTAGCTACCCATCCGTTATTAATATAGTAAAGCCGAGAAATTTAAAGATTTGGAGACAGGGCATCGGTATCTAAATATATCTGACATAGTGATCTATCAACGCACAGCCCAAACCACTGGACGGATCGGGCTGAAATTTGGCATGCAGGTAGATGTTATGACGTAGGCATCCCCTAAGAAAGGATTTTGATTAATTCTACCCCCAAGGTGATAAAATAGGGGATGAAAGTTTGTATTAAACTTTATCAATTTTGAAACCGATCGGGCTGAGACTTTGCATGCATAAATCTACTATAACGTAGGCATTCCCTAAGAACGGAATTTGATAAATTCCACCACTAAAGGGATAAATTAACGCGAGCGAAGTCGCGGGCAAAAGCTAGCTATCTTACATATATATAAAATTCTCGTGTCACAGTTTTCGTTCCCATACTCCTCCGAAACGGCTTGACCGATTCTCATGGAATTTTGTCAGCATATTGAGTAGGTCTGAGAATCGGCCAACATCTATTTTTCATCCCCCTAAATGTTAGGGGTAGTCCACACCTAAATTTTTTTTTATTTTAAGCAAAACAACGTTTGCCGGGACAGCTAGTATATATATATATATTTATTATATTCAGGTGATAGCGTTGTATGCATACACTGCGCAGAATTCAGATGAATTGAGCTTCGAGAAGGACGATATTATAGCTGTCACAGACAGAAATCAGGACCCCGCCTGGTGGCAAGGTATGTATATATTTTATAACACAAGCGAGCGACAAATCGGCGGCGGTAATCACTTACCATCAGGTGAACAGCATCACCTGATGGTAAGTGATTACAGCCACCCATGAGCACCTAACACCAGAGGAATTGCAAGTACGTTGTCGGCCTTTAAAAAGGAATAAGCTCTTTTCTTGAAGGTTTCAATATCGTATCGGTTTGGAAATACCATTGCTGGACGGTATATAGACTAATATAATTGTTATTTTGAAGACCTCGATGGTGTAGCGGTTTAGCATACCGACTTACTTTCGATGGTCGCGGGTTCGATTCCTCGCACGGTGCAAACATTTATTATTAATGAGTATGATTGTTTGTATCAGTCTGGGTGTTTTCTATGTATGTATTTACAAAAAAAACTATGTATTTGTATCAGTTGTCTAGTACCCAAAACACAAGCTTTAGCTAGCTAAACTTGGGTCTAGATGGCGCTGTGTGAATTGTCCTGAGATTATTATTATTATTATTAATTTAAAACATTATGTGTATCGACGACATAGGTTGGTCTAGCAGTTTAGCACACCATCTTACTTTCAATGGTCGCGAGTTCGATGTCTCACACGATACAAACATTTATATTCAAGAATATATATGATTGTTTGTATCCGTCTGGGATGTTTATTATATATTTACAAGAAAAAAGTATCTATGTAGGTATTTCTATCAGTTGTCTAGTACCCAAAACACAAGCTCTGCAGCTTGGGACTAGATGGCGCTGTGTTAATTGTCCTATGCTATTATTGTAATACTAGTTGTGCTCGCGGTTTGCCCCCTTGATATTTATAGCCTATATGTGATTCTGATGTATAAGCTATATTACTGTAAAGTTTCATCAAAATCCGTTCAGTAGATTTTGCGTGAAAGAGTAACCAACATCCATCCATACTCACAAACTATCGCATTTATAATATTAATAAAATATATTAAAAATATTTTTTTTTCAGGCGAACTACGCGGCATGACCGGCCTCTTCCCTAGTAATTACGTCACTAAATTAGTCAACTAAACTCAATCGTATTAATATTTAAATATAGTAGAAAAATATCTTATACACATGTAACACTGTAGAAAATATCACAATGTTGCCACTAAAAAAAAAATATTTAATCTGTAGCGCGTTATTGGCGCCATATTGACGTAAAAAATATGGCGGGATTATTTAATTGTTGCATTAATAACAAATCTGATCAGTTATCTTATTTGTAACTAGCCGTACTCGTGACTTTGTTCGTGTGGAATTTAACAATAAAGTTAATTAGAGAATTATTCTAAAATAAAAGTAGCCTAAGTTACTCCCTATTACAACAGCTACTTGCCAATAAAAGTACCGTCAAATCGGTCCTGCCAATCTCAGAGATTTGCCGGAACAAACAGACAGACAAAAATTGTAAAAAATGTTACTTTGGTGTATGTACCGTATTTATATTCATATGCATGTAGTAAAACACGGTTATTTCAATATTACAAACAGACTCCAATTTTATTTATATGTATAGATGTATAATTTAAATTATTTGGTTGAAAGCACGGATGTGAGGGAGCTCCGTAACCGTAACCGAATCCGAAATAAGTTTCGGATAAAATCGGATAGGGGCGGAGCCTAATAGAGACACGTTATGTAACCATTTTATTAGCTATTTGTATTTTACTTTTGAAATTCCGTAAAAAATTAATATCCGAAGTTATCCGAAACTAACGGATAATCCGGAATAATTTCATATCCGTATCCGTATCCGGTATAATAATCATTCCTATATCCGAAACCTATCCGTATCCGATATTTCATATCCATAACATCTCTGGTTGAAAGTAACTATTTTAATTCCAGAAACTAAATTTCAATCAGTATTTTTTTTTAATTCGCATATAACCTTACTTTTTAAATATTTAGATAAATATATACGAATATATTTATATGTAATAATGCGTAGTATTTTCTAGATTGTAAGTTTTGCTCATAACATATCCATTATAGTTAATAATAAGAAGCTACCCAAGCTTTTTAAAAACTCGCCTGCGTGTGTACCTCAGTCTCACCTACTTCAGCCAAGCAGCTTGCTTTGTAAGATGTTTCGGTTGTAGTGCAGAATAGGAAGTGAAATTACAGGATAAGAGGCGTGACATGTTAGTACTCTGGAATGACAACGCAGGAATCTCACGGGTGTTACATGATAATGTGATGTCCGTAGTGCTGTTCATGTATATAGGCGACGGTCACCACTTACCATCTGGTGGCACGTCAGCTTGTAACAAAAAAATGTAGCGAAACTACATTAAAAGTACCAGGAGAACATGAGTTTATAGGCAGTTTGTTGAGGGATATGATTTGTTAAATTACAGTGTATGGAGACCGGACCTCGTAGTTCTTCATATCTCCTCCGTATTAAGATCACATTATAACGTGATGTCCGTAGTGCTGTTCATGTATGACGACGGTCACCACTTACCATCGGGTGGCACGTCAGCTTGTTTGGCATTACAGTGACAAAAAAATGTAGCGAAACTACATTAAAAGTACCAGGAGAACATGAGTTTATAGGCAGTTTGTTGAGAGTTACATGATAACGTGATGTCCGTAGCGCTGTTCATGTATATGGCGACGGTCACCACTTACCGTCAGCTTGTCGTTCTAGTTACAAAATTGTTGGCTTTAATATTCATTCCATAATCACATATATTACTTTAAGTAATGCAAAGTGTTGCCAGTTTAGTGTATTAGTGTTGCCATTGTTATTATTGAATATTTAACTCTGTGTAGTGTTGTTTCAAATAAACGTTTAATAGATGCTTCATTTTTGTTTTATTTAAAATATGTAATACTAGTTAACCCGCGCTACTTCGTCTGCCGGACCGGAAGAGTAGCGTGGGAAGGCCTCCAGCAAGGTGGACCGACGATCTGGTCAAGATCGCTAGAAGGCATTGAATGCGAGCAGCGCAGGACCGACCGTCGTGGAGATCTTTGGGGGTGGCCTATGTCCAGCAGTGGACGTCTTCCGGGCTGCGATGATGATGATGATGATGATGACTTCGTCTGCATCACACTTACATGACATTCATCATTATATTTCGGCCAATGTACGTAATATCTTATTAAATTATAGCCTATATGTTATTCTGACGTATAAGCTATATTACTGTAAATCAAAATCCGTTAATAGTTTTTGCGTGATAGAGTAACAAACATCCATCCATTCAGCTATACTCTCAAACTTTAGCGTTTATACAATACTAGCTGTGCATTCAACTTCGTCCGCATGTTCGTCCGCACCGAATGAAGAAAAAATATTCAAATCTAACCCAAAAAAGCCAAAGAAAAAAGTTTCATCGTTCTAGCTTTGTTCCCCTATTTTATTTAGGGTCCCCCTATTATATTTAATTAACAGCTTATAAAATAAATTTCAACCTTCTAGCTTTAAAAATGACAATATTTCCATATAAACTTTCATCATCCCTTTCAACCCCATACAACCTTTTCTTTACATTAAAAAGCCTATGTCCTTTCCCAGGATCTAGACTATCTGTGTACCAAATTTCATTTAAATCGGTTCAGTAGTTTTGGCGCGAAAGCGAGAAAGACAGACAGAGTTACTTTCTCATTTTAAGATTTTTTTTGTTAAAAACGCATTTAGCTGGTGTTCCGGCACAGCTTCAACGCTATTGAACAGCCTGCTACTAACTGCAAAAAGTTGCTATTTAAATGTTCATAGACGTGTTAGATTTATTTTCTATGTACCTACTTTATTTTGTATTCACTCATTTTTCTTCTGCAGAAATCTATCGATCTCCTCAAAATATGTTAAAAATAATTATTAAAAGTCAATATTTAAAGTAAATTTGGGTTTAATTTAAAACTCCGATTCCCGGCACTCCAAACCAAAGGAAGGACATATAGAGCGGCTGAAGGCCAACTCCCGCCTGACGGATACGACTTTAGTCTGAGGGCACCACTAGGGGTTCGAACCTCGGCTCAGGCCGTCGTAATATCGGTCCCCGTTTGAATTGGACGGGGGATCGATCGGAAGGGTCGTATCCTATATATATGAATAAACAACTGTTTTTTTTTTTAATAAAAAACATGTAAATTTTGCAATTTTTTTATTCATTTTTATTTTTCATATTCCAACATTATATAAATACGTTTTCGCTACACATACAAACTCTCCCAATTTTGTAAGTTTGTTCTTATTGCCATAGCATAGAGGTCAGATTACACGGTATATAATAAAATCTACTAACTAACTTTGTGAAGAGGGAAGAATCAGAATGGATTATTATTATTTGTATATTTTTAAAAAATACTAGATTTTTTTTAATTCTTTCAGCAGTATAACACCGACATGCTAGTTTCTATTGTATTTTATAATAGCACAGGCACAGAGTGGAATATTCAAGAGAGATGGGAACAGAGTAGTTTGTTGATTTTCTAAACGTCTGCATAGATGGCGCTAGTGTTTAGTTAAAAGTTTCATTACAAAAATTCAAGTAAAGTCTCAGAGTTTGCGTTTCTGATAGGTCAAGTTCGGATGGGCGATGTAACTTTGAACTGACGTACAGTTTACAGCAAAATATTAAATATCTTTTATTCGCTTTATTAACGAGTGATATCATTAAAAAAATAATAATTAGTTTGCTTTTGATTGAAAAATTGTCATATAATTAAATCCATGACAAAATAAGTTAATGAAATAAAAAAAAACATTACAGAAATTTCTATTATATTATTATGAATGATAAAATATTTTCTGCACCAAGTATATACTATACTTTTATTTTTTATAAATTATATTTCACGGCTCTGGATACTAATTCTTTTGAGCTCAAATATTTTACTCTAGCTAGATAACAATTGCTAACATACAAATTGGGAGTTTACAAAAAAAAAACAAAAACAATATATAGAGTTATAAGTTCATAATTGTCTGTTCTGAATAATCTGTAGATATAATTGAAAATAGGGTATTTGCTTGCAAACTGGTTGATTTTTCATAAATATTGTGATTTATTGCTTATTTACACGGTGAAAATGGAACAATACAGGTGCTGAGTACTTGTTCGTGTACTGAGGGAGGAGTACACGAAACCCGCGTGTAATGAGACGAGTTATGAAAGTGGATGAATTAACTATTGCGTGTAAAAATCTGAAAATGGGAAACCATAACTTTATACCAAACCAATGGAATGTTTTGATTTAAAAACAAACATTAAAATTCGCAAATATACCGCATGCAAAGACAAAAATTAAAAGTTCAATAAAATACATAATTACTACAGTACTCCCCGCCTGGAAAATAAATTTTAAATTGTCCACTACATTACCCTCCTCCCTGAAATATTTTAAATTACTAATTATTACTCATTACAGCTGTCTTGTATTGTTCCTAAACAGTTGTTATAGCCAGTCAAATGCCCTATTTTGTTTACAGGAATTTCTAAATGAATTTATAGGTAAATGGGTATTTAAGAAAAAAAAAATCACCCTATGGGCTACAAAGATCTGGTTGGTGGCTATAGCTGGCTTCATCCTGTACCACACAGGTCAGACTGTAGAACCGGAGACGACCGGTGCAACGCTGAAAAGTGTCAACATTATATTATTAACTAGCTGTACCCGCGACTTCGTCCGCATGGAATTTGACTTTAAATTTCTAAAATAAAAGTAGCCTAAGGTACTCCTTACTACATCAGCTACATGCCAATAAAAGTCCCGTCAAAATCGGTCCAGCCATTTCAGAGATAAGCCGAAACAAACAGACAGACAGATAGAAACTGTAAAAAATGATATTTTGGTGTATGTACCGCATTTATATTCATATGCATGTAGTAAAAACCGGTTATTTCAATATTATAAATTGAATTCTATGTATAGATTTATTGTCTTTTTGAATTAATTGCAAATACGATCATAAGAGGTTATGAAAGAACGTGTTGTTGTTTGAATTTGTGGTCTTTTATTAATGTTTTATTTTTCTATAAATGTAAAGTTTTTACCGAAATAATATGTCTATGATAAAAAAAGATCCTTTACTTAGTTTAAAATTCTTTACTTAGTTAACACAGTTCAGCTGTTGAAAACTCCTTTTAAGCATAAAGATGCCTGTGCCAGGAGGGAGCCTCCTGGCACATCATTATGCTCTTCCATACCCTTCCATAGCTTATATCATACATAACTTTTGTAAAATGTCCCTAATTTCTTATACTATATCATTACATAGTATAAAACAAAGTCGCTGTTTGATTTTGAAGGGTTTTTTTTAATAGAGTGATTCAAGAGAAAGGTTTATATGTATATTATAATACATGTACACCCGTGCAAAACCGGGGTGAGTAGCAAGTTTATTTATACAATTCAATTTTAAATATGTATACATTATAGGAGATCGCGTTTATGGAAATATATTGATATAAAAAGCGCATCTTTCCAACTAGCGAACTTACGCTAATTGTAAAAATTAATTAATTTGTTTTGGTTCTATTATTATAATAATAATAATAATAATTTTATTTCAGACAACATGATCCATTGTGTTAGTAACAGCTTAATGACATAACTTATCCCATGTTAGTAATAAAATATATATTAAAATAAAAATGTAACTTTTAACATATCACCTGTCCCACCCAGTGTCTTAGAATGGGACAGTCTACTTTACAATATGACTACTTACATACTTTACATTATGACTCTCAAAAGGTTGCTATTAGTTAATTTGGGCTTGGTCTGTTATTAAAAAATCGTAATTTTCTTTGTTTAAATGAAGTGCCTTCAATATTTATGTTATATTTATTTGAAATCCAGTATCCGGCCGGATACTCCTTTCTAATCCAGTATTCGGCCGGGTTTAAAATTTGAACCAAATACCAGATAGTTACCGAATATCCGTTTCATATCTACTCTACACTATCTTGACGATCAGCTATAGTGTAGTGCAATGCTGACATTTATATACAGCTGACTGGATATCTGATCTGACCATCGAATGGGTCGACCTCGAGATTTCATCCTTAGCAGTAAGGGAATAGTTAAGAAGAATTACAAAATGTAACTTATTTAATAAACAGGATTTACCTGTAGCGAAATTTTTAATAATAAACAGGGTGGACAAGGCCGTTGTTAATTCGTGATGAATTTGCACCTTTAACATGCCCAGATTTGGCTCAGTAAGTTTATTAGAATCCAACATGGCAGAAAAATCTGCCCGATTTTTAAATGTTTATACATACTGGTGCTGAGAGGTGGTGGCATGCTCCCTCTGGTCGCGCCAGTGCTTCTCCACGAATTTTTTAATGTAGTTATAAGGTTTTGAATCCAAATCGCCTATTACATTCTCCACCTGGCAACAGAAAATTTTATTATATATGTGTTTAGTTTTAATTAGTGGACTCAGTAGTAAGTTTATCACACTTCTTATCTGAGATGGTGAGGGGTTCTTTACATTATGTAAACATTTGTATTAATGAGTGTGATTGTTTATATCATCTAGGTATTTTATATGTATGATATGTATGGGATTGTCCATTAATCATGTGAGGCTTGAAAGGAGGGGTTTGACAAAAATCACGAATATATAAAACATTTTGATAAATATCACAAGAGGAGAGGGCGGGTCCAGTAAGACATCACGTGTATTTATTTGATGCCAATCATAAACAATCTGCAACCTTTCTGTCTAGACATTTTTATCGTGGTCCTTAATTTCAGAATAAAATAAGATTATATTTTATACCTGTATTTAAAGATGATATTCTAAAAATTTTAAGATTCTTTGTAGGCACTAAAAATGAAAGTGGGGGAGGGCTAAAGCTCGCTACGTCTCACCAAGGGGATAAAAAAAAATGCTAAAAAAGATCACTTGATTAATGGACGGCCCCTATGTATTTACAAAAATATATATTGATATGTAAGTATTTGTATCAGTTGTCTACTACCCATAACACAAGGCCTGTTTAGTTGTATTTATGTAATAAATAACGAAAACATTATGTTTCACAGTACCTTATGCACTGTACACCAGTATGTTTCACAGACCCAAGTTCAGCTAGCTAAAGCTTGTGTTATCGGTACTAGACAACTGATACAAGTACATAGATAATTTTTTGTTTCGTAAATACATACATAATATACATAGAAAACACCCAGAACGATACAAACAATCGCACATGAATACAAATGTTTGTGCTGTGCGAGGAATTGAACCCGTGACCATCGGACGTAAAGTGGTGTGCTAGACTGCTAGACCACCGAGGTCATCAAAAGATATACACAAAGAACTGTACCTTATAGGGTGGAACTATTGTGACTTCATTGTATACTCTGATGTTTTGTCCGACCCAGACAACATCGTCAATAACCCGGGAGATGGCCAGGAACAACCGCTGGCCTTCGGGGTCCAGGCAGGCGGAGAGAGCTGTCACCTGCAGACAGTCATAAAAGATAAAGATAAAAAAGCCTTTATTTCTGTTTATATATTATTTTTTTTTTGGTACATTCATGTTCATTCAAATTGTTATATTATACTATAAATTTATTATGATTATATAAGTATATTTTTTTACTATTATTATTTGGACATTTGTTAAGTGGTTAAATTTCTGTTTAATTTTTAAAACAGAAATAATACTAATAATTTATTTAGCTCTCGTCACACACACTAGGACCAAATACAAGTAGTATTTTGGATAATTTTGGATATTACATAACTTATATATCATAGGATTCAACATGTAGGGTTTTTTTCTTATGGATGATAATAGAATGGTGCACCCTCCTGCGCGAACTGTATACGCTGGCGGGGCACCAGTGGAGGATGATAAGAACATGAGGTCAGATCAGTTAGCATTATGATAATTGCTAGCAATGTACCATGTCAGGTTGACGTCCACGCGGTTCCTCCTGGAAACCATCGTTATGGATTCCTGGTGAATTTGTCACGATGGGCTAACTGACCTGACCTCATGCTCATCTTATCATCCTCCACTGGTGCTCCGCCAGCGTAAACCGTTAGCGCAGGCGGACGCACCATTCCATTATCATCCATAAAAAAAAATCCCTAGGAAGTAATAGGTCAGGAACTCAACCTGACGTGGTACATTGCTAGCAATGGTGACCCCATAATCCACAAGGACCCCCTTCCGCCTAAGTATTCTAGCTCCATTTTCACCCACGTACTGATACTCTTTAAAACTATCACTGTACGAGACTACATTGTCTGTTTCACGCGGACAACGTCGTGAAATAAAGTTAGTATTATGCAATATACAATAAAACGTTCATACTCACTAATCGTTTCTTATTTTCTATGGAATTCCGTACTCTTGTGTTCAATCGGTGCAAATTGAGCGACTGTGGTGCATCCGGCAATCCGGTGACTTCTTTCTTAATTTGGACATCGCTAACAAGCGATAGGTTCACGATATTCACATCGTTGCGTTTAGGGTTGCCGCTAGAAGATGCACATTTCAATATCAACATCTTTGATTGGGGATCGAAAGCTAGCACTTCTCCTTCAATCTCTTCATTATAACACGTTTTTGTAGACACTATGCTACCAATTGTGAAACAATCGGATACAACAGTGGACATATTCGGTGTTGATGTTCAATATAGTTTGCATGTGATCAATGGGGTAATAAGCGACGTAACGCAATATTAGTAAATGTGCTAGAATATTTTGTTGCTGCAGCCTACGTCCGCCATTGAATTTGACAGTTCGGTTTTTTTTTCATGGCTTGGCATAAAGTGTTTTCGCCGAAAATCAAATCGCCAAAAGTTCGTAAATTCACAAGTCGACAATATAAATTACGAGGCTGATTTTGTTGGTTTAATGACAGCTTTTTAGTTTTTACTCTAAAATCCAAAACGCCATACCATTCACTACATACGATACATCGTGTCCATCATGAATTCACGAATAATAATGTTCTATTACATAATAGACCAATAATATTTTTTTTATACCAAAATAATAAAATATATAAAATTTTAGGTATAAAAATTAAAACAAAATGGTCAACTGTTTAAGAGAGGGAAGAAAACAGTCCTCTTTCCTATTTTATCAAAGCCTTGTCCTTTATCCGTAAATTGCATAAGTAATGTATAACTTTAAAAAAAAATATAAATGATTAATAAAAAAACATTGAAGACTTTCATTTGTATTATATATAATTTTCTAATATAGATAATACTGTTAATACTGAAATTTTTTTTTAACGTGATCATGTGCCATAAATGTTCCATTTTTTCTACAGATTGTACAAGTCCATTACAGATTTTATTTCTGACAATTACTTTTGTCTAAGAATAATCTTATTCTTCTTCTTTATAGTAAAACCTAAAAAAAGTAACTATGTTGGGATTTGGGATAGGTTGAGATTATAAATAATAAAACAAATTGTCTTAAAAATGCGTAGATATCCTTATATTTTAAGCACTTAGCTTAGTGATTAAATGACACAATGTAATATTTATTTATACTTACATAGAAAACTACATATTTATACTCATGACAGGAAATGAGATCGAATACAAGTTCCGTTGCCGTAAAAATAATGTGCTCTATGATCAAAAAGCCCTTAATCTGAAAATTAGCGGGAAATTACGAAACTTTCTAAATAATGAAGAAACATGTAAATTAAAAATAACCGTACAATGAGATATGCGTAATGATATTTTCAATAATTCAGTTTAAATTTAATTTACTGTTAAATTACTTAAAAGATATTATAGAAATTAAACAAATCTAGCGATCAAACACTAATCTCTCAACATAAATAGCATATATTTATATATAAAATAAAAAAAAAACAAAATGACAACGGTCATCTATCACCACGGTTTTTATTATCGATATTGGAAGTAAACATAATGATTATTTCCTTAGTAGTAAAGTTACAATTATCAAACTGAATTTCGCCGACATAAGTCACAAGTTCAAAACCATTTCCAATGATTCTAATGAGACGACCAGAATTAGAATTAAAAAATATATTATGCTTCTTAAAAAAAAAATGGCGCCAAATTTTCCAAAATGGCGTATCAATAAAATAAATAAAGTTATAATTGTTTTAAAAACCAATCGTCCTTTATATTTCTAATCGTCCCGTACTACTTAAATATGATATATTAAGTCTAAGACATGTTTGATATTATTTTATTAATCACAGCACGAGAAGTGAATGAAAATAGCATTTTGTTCTATAAGCCATCACTGATACATTTAATAATTTTAAACTATAACAGAAACACAAAAAACAAACACAAACATAAGAATAAACAAAAAATATTTCTACCTCTTAATATGTGCTTAGATAAAGCAAATAAAATTGTTAATAAAATAATCGAGTCTATGGATTTTTATTATTTTTAAATTTTACTGTATGAAAATGTAATATTGTGTGCTTGGAAACATCTACAAATATAGAACACTACAGTACAAAATCTAGTAAATGGCAAACCAAGCCAAAAGACAGTGATATTATTTATGAAACCGCAGTTAATTCATACTTAAACTGAGCAACTTTTTCAAAGAGGCAAAGTAAAAATTTTTTTAATATTTCAAGCCCTCACTGTAAAATCAAATCACTTTGGTAAAAGTGATTAAGTTTTAAGATTAGGCATTCTATCTGGCTTTTGACCTAACTAACCGTGTATATATAAATTAAAAACACAATGTAACAAAATTACAACAGGATATACCCAGAAATTTTACAAATAATAAATATGACATTAAACAGGTTAAAATTCAAGAATAACCATAGAGAAATGTAGATTTTTTATACATTGCTTTGTTTTTAATTAACATATTTATAATCAATGGTTAAATAAGGCAAAAAGTCTAGCTTCCAAACAGTATAAAAAAGAAACACGTTCTAAATTGTAGCGCCAATACTATACATTTAAAATGAGAAAATACACTGTGTATAAAAGGATACTAGTGGAACTATGGCCAGATCAACCACGTTGAGACTCTATGGAAAGGATTTCTTGAAACCATTTATTTATTTAGATAGGAATTTTATTTGCATATGTTCAGTTACAAGCAATAACAAAAGCTAAGAAATACAATAAAACCTGCGTATGGCTGCCGAGAGAATACAAAATGAATAATGACTCAAGAGTGCTTTTTTGAAACCTTGAAATACAATATTTCTATTATTTCATTAAGCTATTTTTTACTGTATTGCATTCATAATATAAATAAAAATAGCTTAGTAAATATAATAAGAGTATATGTACTAAAAAATTGCTATAATTTAGCAATTTTTCTAAACCATAGCAATTATTTCTCAATACTGCCTAACTCGATCCGTCCCTAACATCTGTAGCGACGCCATGTTTCCACGGCAGTTTCAGATGCTAGTCTCGAACAAATAATATTCCTCAGATTATTTTTTTTGTAATAATAAAAATCATAAGTGTAATATTATTTAAATAAAATAGTATAATGTTACACTATTGCAGTTAACTTCTTTTACAAGGGAGCAAATATAATAATTAGTATGTAAATTGGACAAGAAACGATATAAAAAATTATACTTACTATGACCACAGATAAGATTTTACTTACTATGCCATAATGAATGAAAGAATATTTTTTTTGTTTTCAGTGCGCCTCAGGCAATTGCGTATACTGCTTAATGGTTATTCCGTCCTTTTTATATTTTTTTTATGAATTAAACTACCGAAGCTTGAATTTTATGCTTTATTTTGTCACAGTTAAATCTACTAACATAAATTCTTTCATACACTTATAGACTAGTATAAAAATATGGATCAGGCCTGTCAATAATTTAAAAATTAATAATAACAGAATGCACACAGCGCCATCTAGTCCCAAACTAATATTGCAATGTGTGCACGAACCAACTGCTATAAATATCTATATATTACTTTTATAAACACATAATATACATAGAAAACATCCAATACAAACATCACTTTGAAATTGTATTGTTCTATACAATCATACAAACATGTTTTTATGACTTATTAATTATAAATAATCCTTACGTCATTACATAGTATAAAACAAAGTCGCTGTCGCTGTCTGTCCGTCCCTATGTATGCTTAAATCTTTAAAACTACACAATGGATTTTGAAGCGATTTTTTTTTAACAGATACAGTGATTCAAGTGGAAGGTTTATATGTATAATACATGTACACCCGGGTGAAGTCGGGGCGAGTAGCTAGTAATATTATAAATGTGAAAGTAGAGATGTCTGTTACTCTTTCAAGCAAAAACTACTAAACCGAGCATCATGAAATTTTGTACACATGTCCTTGGAGATATTAGAAAGAACATATACAAGTAATAAAAAAAATGTTTTAATCAATGCGAGCGAAGCCGCGGATAAAAGCTATAAATAAGTAAACAATTTTATAAATTTTAAATTATTGACAGCCCCAATCGTAATATTGAGAAATTGAGACATAGGAAAATACAAAAGTAGAGTGGATCTTATAAATACAATTTTTTTTTGTATTTTTTTTCTTTTCTATCCATTACTACAGTGGTACAGATACAAAAATATTATTGTTTAATGGAAAACAAATGTAGGGATATAACAATATCATTTGCAATTGCAAAAAAAATTTCGAAGTCGAAATTGAACCAGTTTCGACTGGCTATACCTATTATGACCAAACTTGTATATCACAATTAATATTCGCTACTTAATAGCCTGTTACGGACCATATATACAAACAGATGTTAACCAAAACAACGTATAACTTTCTATAGAATGCTCCGATTTTCATGATTCTTTTTTTATTGTATACGGTTACAAACAAGTTACTTGTGACTTGAGAAAGTATATGTGTATCAATAAAATTATTTTCTTATTCGCTTAATCGTACATTTTTTTAAATTGTAGCCTATAAAAAAAGAATCATCATAATTTAAACATTCTATAATAAAACGTGCACTATTATCCACAAGTACAGCATACATTTGAATCCATCGCTGAAATCAAGCTTAACATAATATATTTTAATAATAAATATTTGTTCCCTACTGGGTAACAAACCGACTACCTCCAACACTAATGCCCAATAAATATGTTATACATATAAATAGCATTTAGCATTATACAATAATATTTTTTAGCATTCCTAAACATTATGATAAAAAAACACCATTCGTAGGTGATACAACGTGATTATTATTCATAGGGACCATACATAAATTCTGTCACATGAATTTCGTGACGTTAGACACCCCATCCTCATCCTCGTCATAACTGGTCCTCATCCTTGTCACAGTTGGTCCTCATCGTTGTCACAGTCTGTCCTTATCCTTGTCACAACGGGTCCTCATCCTTGTCACATCTGGTCCTTGTCCTTGTCACAGCTGGTCACATGTTAGACTCCAGACAGTATTGTAACATGTGACTTTAATTTGTAATTTTAATCTACAAATTATTAAATCAACAAAACAAACTAAACTTCTCAAATTAATTATATTTTCATATAAATTAATAATTAATAAAATGTGACATCACGCCATCTATCCTCTCTCGCCTTGTCACGAAATGTCACATTATAGACATTTAACGTGTGACAAAATTTATGTATTAAAACAGCATAGTAATACATTGTTAACCAGCTTCCGGCCAGGCTGATGGTAAAACTATAATGGCAGTCGTAACATGGACTGACTTTACACTGAACTTAAATCTATGTTATCTGGAGAGGTACTAATGGAAGGGTGTCAAATGTTGAAATATAAGTCTGTAATAGACCTACATGAATTAAGAATTTTTATTTAATTTCTTTACCATCAGACAGGCCGTATGCTTGATTGCTACCATTACGGTATAATAATTATTGTATTCTTTATTTCCCTTTACTATTAAACCCTATAACACACCATTACATGTAATAGGCCTAACACCATGGGCAATTTTACTTTTTATTCTTTTTTACACATTATATAAGATATTTACCATAATATGACCATAAGCTATGAAATGATATTCGACGGCCTCAGTTGTCTATCGGTTTAGCACACGACTTGACTTCCGATGTTCGCGGGTTCGATTCCTCGCACGGTACAATGGTATATAACCTGTACAACACATACAGGTTATATACCACATTTATATACGTCTCAAAGCGTGGGAAACCAGCAAAGGCTGAGAAAATTTAGAGTAAATAATGATAACAATATTAATAATCTCAGGACAATTCACACAGCACCATCTAGACACAAGTTAAGCTAGCTGAAGCTTGTATTATGGGTACTAGATAACTGATATAAATACATAGATATATATTAATCGTAAATACATACTTATTATATATAGAAAACACCCAGACCGATACGAACAATCATACTCATGAATACAAAAGTTTGTATCGTACTAGGTATCGAACCCGCAACCATCTGGTATGAACTGTTGAGTTCAACCGCTAGACCACCGAGATCTTCAATATATAATGCTAAATATCTTCTTATATACTGTGTAGTAATACGCTATCACTTGATTCTTCTATAAGATGACCCCGCTGTACCAGCTACGAATAACCATCTCAGTCTTGATAACCACTCAGTTCAGTATTATCAGTCTGGGCGGAAGCATGCCCCTTCGGCTTAGCCACACACTGTAACAAATAATGGTCATTTTGAGAAGAGTATCATATGTCTTAGAAAACATTTTCTATTTTTTTTGTTTCTATTGAATTCATTAAATAACAATCCGAGATCATTAATAAACTTCATTGCTGGCTGCTAGACGGCGCTGAAGTAGCAAGGTTGGTTAAAAAAAATATATACAGAAAAATAATACATATATATATACATATGCAAATATATAAAAAATACTAATATACCAATATAAAATATATAAGTTTTTTTTTTCGGACTACTCTAATGCTGTTGGCCGCAGCTGGCCTTTACAGCTTCACCGGACGATAGGGGGCGAGTGCAGATGGCACTCCAAACCGAAGGAAGGACTTATGGAGCGGCTGAAGGACAACGCCCGCCTGACGGATACGACGCCAGTCTGAGGGCACCACTAGGGGTTCGAATCTCGGCTCAAATGGTCACTCTTATTCTCCCAAATTTGAATTTAAAAATGAATCTGTATTATTGTAAACATGTACAACATTTATTTGAAAAGAATACGAGCTGAGTTTCTTGTCAGTTCTTCTTATCTCGATATCATTCCGAACTGACGGTAGATTTGACATATCATAAGAGTCTGTAATAGACCTACATGAATAAAGATATTTTGAATACGAGCTGAGTTTCTTGTCAGTTCTTTTCATATCATTCGAACATCATAAGAGTCTGTAATAAACCTACATGAATAAAGATATTTTGAATACGAGCTGAGTTTCTTGTCAGTTCTTCTCATCTCGATATCATTCCGAACTGACGGTAGATTTGACATATCATAAGAGTCTGTAATAGACCTACACGAATAAATATATTTTGATTTTTAATTACCATTTACTTAGAAAATGTTTCTAAGAAAAGTAAAAAATTCGATACCAGGAATCGAACTGAGTTATAAAATTAAACTTACCCGATACCGGCGCCAAGCAGCAGGGAGACCAAATTCGTGACAAGTACAGCTGCGACTGCGCCCCGACTGAACAGGCACGAACGTCGCACGGACAGACAGTGGCTCTGTGAATTATATATATATCATTACATAAAAGTTATGTATGCAAATCTTTAAAACTACGCAACGGATTTTGAAGACAGAGCACAGTATAAAACAGTCGATGTCTCTGTCTGTCCCTATGTATGCTTAAATCTTTAAAACTACGCAACGGATTTTGAAGCGGTTTTTATAATAGACAGAGTACAGTATAAAACAAAGTCGCTGTCTCTGTCTGTCCCTATGTATGCTGAAATCTTTAAAACTACGCAACGGATTTTGAAGCGGTTTTTATAATAGACAGAGCACAGTATAAAACAGTCGATGTCTCTGTCTGTCCCTATGTATGCTTAAATCTTTAAAACTACGCAACGGATTTTGAAGCGGTTTTTTTTAATAGATAGATTGATTCTAGAGGAAGGTTTATATATATAATACATGTACACCCGTGCGAAGACGGGGCGAGTAGATAGTTTATACATAAAATTCTCGTGTCACAATGTTAGTTACCATACTCCTCCGAAACGGCTTGACCGATTCTCATGAAATTTTGTGAGCGTATTGAGTAGGTCTAAGAATCGGCCAACATCTATTTTTCATCCCCCTAAATGGAGAATCGACTAACATCTATTTTTCATCCCCCTAAATGTTAGGGTTAGTCCACCCCTAATTTTTTTTTTATTTTAAGGCAAAACAACGTTTGCCGGGACAGCTAGTTTAAAAATTGTGAATGTCAGGCACAGAACATCGATGTTATTTTATATAAGATTTTGCACTCCTTCTCGAACATTCTGTGGCGTCATTATTAAAATCAACGTACAATACATTCAAAATATTCATTTTATTTCAATTTAAAACAAATCACCCACTGCAATATTCCTCCAGCACACAGCTTGGAAGCCTAGTGTTGACTCTTCGGCGACCAAACGGTTCAGGACTATGTATATTTGTTTAGAATGTGTATTCACCTGTTGCATGGCCGGTACAGCCAACTGCTGCTCCAGGACCTCAATGGAGGAGGTGGCTGAGGGTGGACCTCGAGCGCTGGGGGGGTGTTTGAAGCGCCAGTCTCTGTAACATACAAACATACAAGCAACAATAAAAAAAAATACCTGCAAAGTGGTCGAAATCCGACCATAATTAATTTTAATTAGATTATAAACAAGCTGTTCACACGACTTCGTCCGCGTGGAATTTAACATTATTTTTCTAAAACAAAAGTAGCCTAAGTCACTCCTTATTACATCAGCTACGCGCCAAAAAAGTCATGTCAAAATCGGTCCAGCCATTTCAGAGATTAGCCAGAACAAACAGACAGACAGACAAAAATGATAAAAAATGTTATTTTGGTGTATGTACCGTATTTATATTCATATGCATGTAGTAAAAAACGGTTACTTCAATATTACAAACAGACACTCTATATTTATATGTATAGATGTTATTAATATAAGAGATGTGGTTAAGATCCCGTGATGTTTACTAATTAAATGCTTTTGTATTCACACACTTAAACTTAAAAATGTAAAGTAATAATAAAATTATTTAAAAGAGCAACACGCAAGTTTCTTGCTCGTTCTTCTTGTGATGAGACAGCTTTCCGAATGAGCGGTAGATTAAAAAAAATGTAATGACTATTCAAAAGTGCTTCAATGTAAGTTTATTTGCATAAATGATTTTCTATTCTATTCTATTTCTGTACAGAAATTGGAGACTTCTACATAGCGGCGTATCCTTACGTGTCAGCGGAACCCGAGGACCTGACCTTCGAGGGCGGAGAGAGGATCGAAGTGATGAGGAGAGACGGAGACTGGTGGACCGGACGCATCGGGAACAGGTCACTCGGTTATTTATTAATTGAATATAGCCGTTTAGCACACTGCCTCACTTCCGACGGTAGCGGGTTCGATTCCGGTTGTAAGTTTATTTGAATAAATGATTTTCTATTCTATTCTATTTTATTCCTAAATAATGATCGTGTCAAATTTAAAACAGTATATAGTGTAGTACTCACTTGGGTGGTTGCTGGTCAGGCCGGCTGCTCCATTGCCACACCCAGTCGTTGGAGTCATCCTGGAATTAAAAAAATTACACATTTATATAAATCATTTTTCACCTTTAAAAAACAATACAAGAATTATCTATGTACTATTTAACCTATAAATCTTACGGCAAAGTAGTTGTATATATATATGTTTAATGTTTATATTTATTAATGTTATTTTATTCTATTTTGTTCTTTCTAGTATATGTAATTGGTTTGTATATATTAGGAGGATGGAAAGAATTAGCTGGAAGGATAAAGTAAGAAACGAAGAAGTACTACACAGGGTAAAAGAAAAAAGACAAATATTGAACACAATAGAAAATAGACGAGGGAAAATGTTAGGACACTTGATACGGCGCGATGATTTCATGAAAATTATTATTGAGGGGGAAATAGAAGGAAAGAGGGGAGGGGAAGACCAAGGAATAGCTACATCAAACAAACTGAGGACAAAATAGGAGTCGTGTCGTATCAAGAATTAAAGAGCATGATGGAAGATCGCGGAAAGTGGCAAGAGCTCCACCGACAAGAGCGTAGCTCTTAAATTATGAATGAATGAAATGTATATATTAGTTGTAATTTTGTTTTAATTATTATCATTAATATTTTAAATAGTGCCCTCTCTCTCCCCCTTTGATATATATATTTTTGGTGCCACTGAAAACCAGCTGTATGTTCACCTAGGACATACATTAAAGCTGAGTGGAGCCATTTCAGTGTATTATTGGATGTAAAAAATGATTATTTTATGTTTATTTTTAATTATGGTAAATTAAGTTTAATTTAATGTACATTTTCTTTGCTCTTTTTTTTCGTTTGTTGTTTATATTGTATTTTTTACATTGCACTGAATAAAATATATTTCTTTCTTTCTATATATTTATTTAAGTCCAGCTTTTACCTGCGGCTTCGCTCGTATTGAATTCATTAAATAACAATCCGAGATCACTAATAAACTTCATTGTTGGCTGCTAGACGGCGCTGAAGTAGCAAGGATGGTTAAAAAAAAAATATAAAAACAACAAAATAAAAAATATATACAGAAAAATAATACATATATATATACATATGCAAATATATAAAAAATACTAATATACCAATATAAAATATATAAGTTTTTTTTTTTCGGACTACTCTAATGCTGTTGGCCGTAGCTGGTCTTTACAGCTTCACCGGACGTTATGGGGCGAGTGCAGATGGCACTCCAAACCAAAGGAAGGACTTATGGAGCGGCTGAAGGACAACTCCTGCCTGACGGATACGACTTTAGTCTGAGGGCACCACTAGGGGTTCGAACCTCGGCTCAGGCCGTCGTAATTTCGATCCCCGTTTGAATTGGAGGGGGATCAATGACCAAATCAAAATTAATATAATTTCAATACATGTGTGGTTTTTTCATTCATACTTAACTTTTAAGCTAATATTTTCTTATGAATAGCTTTAAGAAATTGTTTTTTCATTGCCTGTCTTTTAATTGACATAAATAAGTTTTTAATCCAAGCACAAATGGTCATGTTAAGTATAGCCTGAAATAAATCTATATATTTATAACTCAAAGGTGACTGACTGACTGTCTGACTGACATAGTGATCTATCAACGCACAGCCCAAACCACTGGACGGATCGCGCTGAAATATGGCATGCAGGTAGATGTTATGACGTAGTCATCCGCTAAGAAAGGATTTTGATTAATTCTACCTCCAAGGGGATAAAATAGGGGATGAAAGTTTGTATGAAACTTTGTCAATTTTAAACCGATCGGGCTGAGACTTTGCATGCATAAAGCTACTATGACGTAGGCATCCTCTAAGAAAGGATTTTGATAAATTCCACCCCTAAGGGGATAAATTAACGCGAGCGAAGCCGCGGGCAAAAGCTAGTCTTATATATAAAATTCTCGTGTCACAATGTTAGTTACCATACTCCACCGTACCGTCGTGACCGATTTTTATGAAATTTTATATGCATATTCAGTAGGTCTGAGAATCGGCTACTATAAATTGTAAGAGATTAATTGCTAAAATTAATTGTAGGAGAAAAACTAAAAATAAAATTTAAAGACAACTATAAAGAATTATTTAAAATTTGTAACGTTCTACCTGCATCAGAAAAACATAAATACTTATTAGCTACTAAAAACCACAGCAAACAACACCATATGACGAAAACAAGCCATCGTATAGAGACTAGGAAATGTGTACAAGGTAAATACGAAACCCCACCCCTACATCTAAATAATTATTATGGATATCGATTGTTACAATTAAAATTGCCTGAAATATTTAATAAAATGCCTCAACATATCAGAAATCAAAATAGATATAAATCCTTTTGTATAAATTATAGAAACCATTTATTAAAAACATATAACATCACATAAAAAAAAAAAAAAAAATCTTGTCCTTATTTAATACTTAAATATTGTAAAACGGAATACTGTATTTTATGTGTACGTTAAAATACTATCTAAAATAATATATAAGCATGTACCTATTGTAAGTAGATAAGAGAGAACTACGTGCCTGCAGACAAACCCCGACAGGAGTTTTGCAGGATAGTAGAATAATAATATGTAAAATTTGAAAAATAAAGCTTTTTATCTATCTGTCTATCTATCATAGATAGTCTATCATAGATACCCTTATCGTTCAGGGGTATGAATAATAGTATTCATACCCCTGAGCGATAAGGGTTTGGACAACCCTAACACCTTTTTTTATTTTGTGACTAAAATTCATTTTTTTATAAATGGGCTTTAAAAAATACATACAACCCTAAATATTCACCCTTTTAGCATCAACCCCTATTTTTAATAGCGTTTGCCGGTTACAACTAGTAAATATCATCATCATCTGCTTCTTCCTTATCCCATTTATTTGTGGTCGTCGTAATATGTTTTTCTTTTCCATTCATCTCTGTTCGCAGTCATCGCGTTATTCACTCCCTTTCTTACCATATCTTTCACACAGTCTATCCATCTCTTTTTCGGCCTTCCTCTGCCCTTATAACCATCCACATTGATATGTAACACCTTTCTTAAAATATTATCCTCATTCCTACGCATTACATGTCCAGTTACAGCTAGTAAATAAATATAATAAAAAAATTATTACCTTCCAACAGTTGATGTACACGCCTTTCAACTCGTCTTCAGTCGAGGGCTCCAGATTGGGGCTATTCGGAGGTGATTTCGGGCTGAAAGCATAAAACACTCAATTTCAAACTTCAAAATTTATTAACAAAAGATCCTTTTGGCCTCTTGTGCATGTCATGATTAATATAGTTTAATTTTATATTTTACTAGCTGTTCCTGCGACTGCGTCCGCGTGGAATTTTTCTAATATAAAAGTAGCCTAAGTTACTCCTTATTACATCAGCGACCTGCCAAAAAAAGTCCCGTCAGAATCGGTCCAGCCATTTCAGAGATTAGCCGGAACAAACAGACAGACAGACAAAAATTGTAAAAAATGTTATTTTGGTGTATGTACCGTATTTATATTCATATGCATGTAGTAAAAAACGGTTATTTCAATATTACAAACAGGTACTCCAATTTTATTTATATATATAGAAGATTTTTTATGTAATCTATAAACTTATATATTTTATATTGGTATATTAATATTTTTATATATTTGCATATGTATATATATGTATTATCTTTCTGTATCTCTTTGTTATAATTTTTCTTTTTTTTTACTATCTCTGATCACCGCGACGGTTGACTGGTAGAGAATGCCATCAGGCATTATGTCTGCCATGCATACAATTTTGTGTGCAAAAGAATAAATAAATAAATAACCCTGGACCATTAACACAGCGCCATCTAGTCCCACGGTAAGCAGAGCTTGTGTTATGGGTACTAGACAACTGATATAAATAAATAAATAACTCTGGACAATTAACACAGCGCCATCTAGTGCCACGGTAAGCAGAGCTTGTGTTATGGGTACTAGACAACTGATAGAAACTCTTACATACATTTTATTTGTAAATACATACATAATATAAATTAAAAATCATCCAGACTAATACAACCAAATAATGAACACAAATATTTGTACTGTGCGAAGAATCGGATCCGCGACCGTCCGATGTAAGGCGGTGTGTTCAGTCGCTGGACCATAGGGGCCTTCAGGGGTCTATACTAGACTACTGATATAAATACATGGATGCATTTTTTAAATAAATACAATATGTTTTTATATGATACATAGAAGCGGTTTCAGAGGAGCTTCCTCCCGCGTACACTTAGATCGTGGAATGAACTGCCTGTCGAGGTTTTCTCGAGAGACTACAGCACGGGGTTTTTCAAGAAGGGTATATTAAGGTTTCTTAAGGGTCGGCAACGCGTATGTGACAACCCTGGTGTTTCAGGCGTCCATAGGCTACGGTAACCGTTTACCATCAGATGGGCCGTATGCTTGTTTGCCACCTAAGTGGTAAAAAAAAACACCCATTGAACGGTCTGCTGGTCGGCCGACCGTTAAGAAATGTCGTCGTAATTTTTTTTTTATTACACGGGACAAACGAGCATGCGGCTCACCTGATGGTAAGTGATTACACGGGACAAACGCAACACAATGCAAGTACGTTGTCGGCCTTTTAAAAAGGAATAAGGAAGGTTTCAATATAATAATAATAAAGACATTTATTCAGCATTACAGTATTCTTAGATGCTATCTATCTTATATACTATACAACTTAAAAGCTAAAAGCTAAAACATACTAGTAACGCTGAATGTGACTCCCACTTTTATAAATATATATACCACAGTGCTGATTTTCTGCGGGGCCACCACACAGGAGAGAGCGTTAAAGATTACTAAAGAAAATAAAGAAAATTCGTATCGGTTCGGAAATACCATTGCTGGAAGGTGATTAATGAAGAGAGCTTGTTTTAAAAGTAAAATATAATTATTGAAATCTATATGTAATTGTCCGTCTTTTTGTCTTGTACCTTGTCCTGTCTGTCTTGTCAATTCTTTCGTCTGTCCTAATCACGTCTTATAACCAGCCAGCAGGCAGTCCTGTCAAAAGGCCGCAACACCCATACAGATGCAAACAATCATACTCACGAATACAAATATTTGCACCGTGCGAGGAATCGAACCCGCGACCATCGGAAGTAAAGCGGCGCGCTTAACCGCTAGACCGAGGCCGTTGCAATTGCATATACATAAATCTATTGATTATTAATTAAATAAATGTATGTTAACTTCATTTAATGAAGCCCCGTAATGAGAGCGAAACGCATGCGCATCAGGCGGACCGGCAGTTTGTTTATCATTCATTCAACAGCCTATTGTAAATAAATAAATAAATAATCTCAGGACAATTCACACAGCGCCATCTAGACCCAAGTTAAGCTAGCTAGAGCTTGTGTTATGGGTACTAGATAACTGATACAAATACATAGATTTTTTTTTTTTTTTTTGTAAATACATACATATTATACATAGAAAATACCAAGACCGATACAAACAATCATACTCATGAATACAAATGTTTGTGCCGTGCGAGGAATCGAACCCGCGACCATCGGTCGTAAAGCGGTGTGCTTGCCGCTGGACCACCGAGGTCGTCATTGTGGATGGTTACTTAGCGTCTTTATTGTTACCGCTATTATGTTATATATTGTGTTCTTGTAGCAGCAGCGGGAAAGAAGTTTTTGAAATGATGAGTCCAGATTGTTGTTATGTACATATTTATAATTATATATATTTACAATTAATATATATACAAGAAAGATGATTCGGTCTCGAATGATATATTGTTATTTTATTCTTCTGTCGTAACTAGGCAACGGTGTTGCAGCGCGATTATAATTAATTCGCCACAGTTATAAGGGCAGAGGAAGGCCGAAAAAGAGATGGATGGACTGTGTGAAAGATGATACGGTTTTTTACTGAGCAAAGCCTATTACTCACTAAACGATTACTTGAATGACGAGTGTGCATGGCAATAGTTGTTCATTTTTTCATTCAATGTTAGACATAGACACCTATATAAAAATACATTGTAAAAAAACTGGCTTTAAAAAAAAAAGTAATTCAATTGAGTTTCTTGCCAGTTCTTCTCAATTGGATCTATATACCGAACTGGACGGTAGGGAAAAAAATAAAATTATAATGTAAAAATTTGACGTTCATAAGCGGCTAAAATGTCCTATATGAATAAATGATTTTTGAATTTGAATTTGAATTTGAAGTAAATAACGCGATGACTGCGAACAGGGATGAATGGAAGCGAAAAACATATTACGTCGACCACAAATAAATGGGATAAGGAAGAAGCAGATGATGATCAACAGCCTCGGTGGTCTAGCGGTTTGGCCCACCGTTCTACATCCGCGTTCACTTCCCCGCACGTGGCAAACGTTCACAAGTATGTTTTGTATCGGTCTGGGTATTTTCTATATATTTATTTACAAACAAACATGTTTTTAAAGAGATCGCTGCCAGTATCTTCGGAACCTTGCCTAAAGGGACTCCTTTTAATAATATATTTTAGTTATTGTATTATATTTTTAAGGTTAAAAACCTTAAAAATATAGTTTTAGATTCTTTGTTGTATAATCTATACATCTGTACATATAAATAAAATTGGAGTGTCTGTTTGTAATATTGAAGTAACCGTTTTTTACTACATGCATATGAATATAAATACGGTACATACACCAAAATAACATTTTTTACAATTTTTGTCTGTCTGTCGGTCTGTTCTTTCCGGCTAATCTCTGAAATGGCTGTACCAATTTAAACGGGATTTTTTTTGCAGGTATTTATTGTAATAAGGAGTAACTTGCATTTTAGAAAAATAAAGTTAAATTCCACGCGGACGAAGTCGCGAGTACAGCTAGTACAATGAAAAACATGTCCCCCTCACCTGCCCTTCACGCTCGAGGCCCGGGAGTGTCGCACAGACGAGTCTCGACTCTCCCTCTGCGCCTCGCGAAGCAGTCTTATATACTCATTTTCGTGGGCCACCAGACCCGAGTTGAGTTCAACCCACGACTCTGAAACAAAAATATTGCAACACAAGTTATATTTCAAACTATGTATTGTGATGACGACCTCGGTGGTCTAGCGGTCTAGCACACCGCTTTACGACCGATGATCGCGGGTTCGATTCAATTCATCGCACGGCATAAACATTTGTATTCATGAGTATGATTGTTTGTCCGGTCTGTGTGTTTTCTATGTAAAACATGTATGTATTTATAAAAAAAAAACTTTGTATATGTATCAGTTATCTAGTACCCATAACACAAGCTTTAGTTAGCTTAACTTGGGTCTAGATGGCTCTGTGTGAATTGTCCTGAGATTATTATTATTATTAATGATGTTGACCGCAGCTCGGCATCCTTCTGATCTATCGGAGCGGCGGCGACGGGACCAGTGTGGTGCGCCCGGACGCGCGCAACGGGGTCGTTGTCTTCCCCAGCGAGGACGGTGTCGTGTATGTCGTGTATTTAAGCGTATTTTCTAAATATCTTTGTAACGCGGTGGTTATCACCTCACCACTGTATCGTTATATATGATGTGATGAGGTGTCGCTACATAATATATTGTTTATTGTAGTATGTAGGTAGTGAGTATACAGGTGTAATAATTGTACTATTTATTGTACATTAGTAAGTTTATTTGGTAGTGTGCTACATGGCTTATTAGTGACGCGTACATTCCACGCGGAGTCGTAACGTGGACTGACTTTACACTCAACTTAAATCTATGTTATCTGGAGAGGTACTAATGGAAGGGTGTCGAGTGTTGACAGAAATATTAAAGTGTAGGCACATCTGATGTTTTTAATAAATGAAATCAGAGATCTCTTATGTTCAGTGATTAAATTACAACACGATTGCCGAGCTGATTGGCGCGAAACAATCATGCCCCGGATGGGGTTAATTGCCAACATTACCAGCACGATCGACATCCGGTTATAAACAATAGTATCGTGCTGTCACCATAAACAATTGCACTCGCTGCGGCAAACAGATAAATTATATAACACTATCTGTATTTATATAATATTATCTGTATATTTTATATTTCTATATTTGGTCCATGCGACAATCAACATTTTTTTTAGAATCAATATATATAAAAAATATAATTATATTAGATAATATATAAAAAATATATATTAATGCATTTAATGATTACTATGATATATTTTTTAAATAAACAATGAAACAGTTGACAGATAGACTTAAAACGATTGAAATCTTGATAATTTTATAAACGCGAAAGTTTCTGAGTATGCATGTTTGTTACTCTTTCATGCAAAAACTACTGAACGGATTTTCATAAAATTTTACAGTAACGTAGCTTATCAGAATAACACATAGATTTTTGAGTTTTCAATAAACAATTAAAGGATTCAATTGAATCATTATATAGTATAAAATAAAGTCGCTATCGCTGTCTGTCCTATGTATGCTAGAAATCTTGAAAACTACGCAACGGATTTTGAAGCGTTTTTTTTTAATAGTCTATTAAAATTAGCTAGTATATAACATACACAGAAAATACCCAAATCGATACAAACAATCATATTCATGAATACAAATGTTTGCACCCTGCGAGGAATCGAACCCGCGACCATCGGAAGTAAAGCTGTACACCGCTAGACCAGCGAGGCCGTCAAATTTAGTCATGAAATCAGTATCTATTAAAGAGGACATAAAGTTCCGGAGATCGTAGTACACACACGATATCTAAAACATGTCATACCATGTTTATATAAGATCTTCAATCAGACATTGCGTAATCAATTAATTTAATTGATCAACCGCAAAAAAACGACTCGTTTTAAGCAAAAACATATCGCATTCCACTAGCTGTGAAGGTCAGGGTCTGATGACTACAATCGTCAGTCAATCAGTCAATATACTGTTATCAGTTACAAACTGATTCAACATAAACTTTTTTAAAACTAATTGGAGTGATAAAGAATTCGTCGGGCCCGCCTGATGGTAAGTGATAACCGTCGTTTATATACATACATGAACAGCACTACGGACATTGTTATCATGTGACCTTAATACGGTGGGGATCTGAAGAACTACGAGGTCCGGTCTCCATACACTGTAATTTCACAGGTCATATCTCTCAACAAACTGCCTATAAACTCATGTTCTTCTGGTACTTTTAATGTAGTTTCGCTACATTTTTGTCATTGTAATGCCAAACATGCTGACGTACCACCCGATGGTAAGTGGTGACCGTCACCTATATACATGAACAGCACAACGGACATCACGTTGTCATGTGACCTTAATCACGTAGTCATGTGACCTTAATACGGTGGAGATCTGAAGAACTACGAGGTCCGGTCTCCACACTGTAATTTCACAGGTCATATCTCTTAACAAACTGCCTACAAACTCATGTTCTCTTGGTACTTTTAATGTAGTTTCGCTAAATTTCTTTGTCATTGTAATGCCAAACAAGCTGACATACCACCCGATGGTAAGTGGTGACCGTCACCTATATACATGAACAGCACTACGGACATCACGTTATCATGTGACATGTCTTTGCTAATTTTTAAGGGATGATAATGTAATGGTGCAACCGCCTGCGCTAACGGTATACGCTGGCGGGGCACCAATGGAGGATGATAAGATAAACATGAGGTCAGGTCAGTTAGCACATCGTGGTAAAATCACCAGAATTTATCACGATGGTTTCCAGGGGGAACCGCACGGAGGTCAACCTGAATCTAGAATTTCTTTGGCTTTTTTCGATTGCATTATTAAATATATTTCTTTATTTTATCAAGGTTCCCATTCCACGCGAAGTCGCGAGCACAGCTAGTACATAGTATAAATAGATATGAAAATAATCTCAAAACAATGATTCCCTATCATTGTTTTATCAATAACGGTCCACTGTCCCTTAAACAAACATCTGTACACAATAGGTGCTACAGACAGTCCCCTTCGTCGGGGTTGCTTTGAAGCCGAAGAAACGGCCGCTCACGTAATCCTGGAGTCCTTGCAGTGACACAACGAACACAAATCCTCGGAACTGTGAGGTCGCTCCGTCACTGTGAAGACACTAGGAAACTTCTGCGCTTTGAAGGAGCTTGGCTAGCTACTCTAGTCTAGTCTCTGCTCTACACGCACAACGGCCCAAATTAGAGGCTGATTGCGGAGAGTGGAGTCCAACTTATATTAGGTTTTCTTTTTTAATTTCTTTTTAAATTAAAGACTTTGTTCCAATCTAAGTACATGCCAGTCCCATTGCACTCTAAAACTAATCACTCCATTACCTCACATGTGAACAAATTGCCTTAGTAAGAAAGACAGGAAATATGTTTGTTTGATGCTATAATTATTTTAATAATTATTTATTTATTCCATAAATGATTATTTAAATGATAATAAATAATAATACTTATATTATATATATATATATAAGTATTAATTTTTTTTTTGCCACCTCTCCAATGAAAATTTCATTAATTACATAATTTTGATTTGCTATAATTATTATATGAAATTATAATTTCAGTGGTTATTTATCTTTACTACTATTTTTTCCTTTCTTTATTCTCCAAACAACAATATATTCTCCTAAACTATGGAATCACTACACAACACCATGGCGCAGATGATGGAACATTTTAACAATAAAATGATAGAGTTCCAGAACGACTTGCAGAAGGCAAAGTCAGAGCCCGCAAGTATTTCTTCACTGGAGTCAAACTTCAAAACATTCCAGTCCTTCACCATCACCGCACTACAACCGTTTGAAGGGTCATATATGAAAATGTATAAAAAAACTGTCACTTGTTCTCAGAAGATCAAGGTATTTGACGTTGCAATGTTTACTTGCTCTAAATATAGCACAAGGATAGCATGACTCAAGAAGAGCATTGACTTCCTTGATACACTGCAAATACAATGACTCCGAACTGCAACAATGTATGAAGACAACGGCCATTCCTCGTTCATCATTCCACAGAAATTCCGTTTGTCAAATATATACAGCATCTATTCTTGTGTAAAAAAAAATTACGAGTCACGTTATTTGTCCGCGTTGGACTCCTAAACTACTGAACCGATTGCAAATGTGGTTTGCAGATTGTGTGCAATTTGATCCAACTTGAAAGATAGTGTTTGGGAAACTACTCTGCTACCAAAATGTTAGGGAAAACGGTAGGTCACGTACCGTTATGGTTCTGCGGATTTCTTGGGCTTCAGGGTCTCGAAGATATCTTCGCTAGCTTTCACACACTTTCACAGGTTTCACAGTAGGTTTAACACAGTTCTAATCCATTTCAATTCACAACAAATGCGCGCGCGCGTCTAGGCTAACGGACTCTAATATAATATAATATCTGTGCTTACGATGATACAGGGTAGATTTTGAACAGATAGGATAGCTTACATCTCAGTTTATAGTCGCAATATTATTTTATTCAAGAATCTTAGACACAGCAACGCGTGGCCGGGTCTGCTATACTATAAAAATAGTTGATATTGTAAAAAGTCACCTGCGTGTGTGAGTAGTCATCGAACTCTAGAGATCTGCATAAAGATGGAGTGTATTTTGAAATGAGAAAAGTAAACCCCGAAACTCAAACCTGCGCACTGATTTGAGGAATTCTTTCTACACAAATTCAAATTCAGAAATCATTTATTCATGTAGTACATTTTAGCATCATTCATGTAGAACATCATGTTTTTACATTATAATTTTTTTCCCTACCGTCCAGTTCGGTATATAGATCCAATTGAGAAGAACTAGCAAGAAACTCAATTGAATTCCTATTTTTTAAAAGCCAGTTTATTCACAATGTATATTTATATAGGTGTCTATGTCTAACATTAAATGAAAATCCCGAACATGAAAACTATTGCCATGCACGCTCGTCATTCAAGTAATCGTTTAGTGAGTAATAGGCTTTGCTCAGTAAATATGATTTAACAGATGTTTTGAATTTATTTAAGGGTAATTAAGGGTAGAATTATAGGCATATAATAATACTAGTTGTACACGCGACTTCGTCCGCGTGAAATCTAAGTTAATTCCCACAAAGCCATTTCATTTTAAAGCAGAGTGCTAAACCATCAAAACCGTCAAAATAATAAACATTTAAGATATCAACTTCAAAATGTAAAGTTTTATTAAACACTAGCTGTACCGGCGACTTCGTCCGCGTGGAATTTAACTCTATATTTCTAAAATAAAAGTAGTCTAAGTTACTCCTTATTACATTAGCTACCTGCCAAAAATCGTGTCCCGTCAAAATCGGTCCAGGCATTTCAGAGATTACCCTAACATTGCTAGCAATGGGGTTATCAGTCCACGTTACTAACAAGTCCCTTCCCGTGTTATGGGTACTAGACAACTGATATAAATACATAGATATTTTTTTATAAATACATAATATACATATAAAACACCCAGACTGATACAAACAATCATAATCATGAATACAAATGGCACACTTATTATAATAGTGGCTTAACTCAAAAATTACAAATTTTGGAAAGTCCACTTTATCACTGTGAAATTAATGTTTAATTTCAAAAATTTCAAATTTCTGAATTACACCAGTATTGTACTAGATATGCGAAATGTTCGTATGTATAATCATGAATACAAAGCTGTGCGAGGAATCGAACTCACGACCATCGGAACTAAACCACTAGACCACCGAGGCCGAAATTGTAGCAATTTCATAACAATTCTCGCATACAGTCCAGTTAAGACTCGTTTGAAGATATTAAAAACAATGAATCATTGTTTATTTTCCTTCCTTGATTATATCGATTGAATTAATTTCACTCGATTACATTTTAATCGAATGATTAACCAATTGATAACAGATAAGGCGATTAAATATAATTTGTGATCGTGCATGTTGCGTTTACAATGACATAGTACCTACATAGAAAATGTATTATAATTATAAGTTTCCTAATTAGTGTACAGTGTAATATTATTATAGTGAACCTGTTTGTGATCCTAAATAAATAAATAAATAGATTTATTAAAATATAACGGCTACTACGACGGTAATGGATGATTCCATTACACCCCCTACTGATTATCTACGAATGGGGACAGGGTTTGTTGTGGTGGGGTTCTTTTGTGTCGAGATGGTCTGTGAGATGATGTGTTAATAATATATACGTTTGCAGCAAAAATGGTTCGGTTTTTCCCTTTTTAGGGAAAGGCAAAAGGACTCAGCCCATACAGCCATTGTCTTCAGTAATATTTTCTTATATTTTTTTTCTCTTTTTATAATATATTTACACTAATGTCAATCAGTATTTCGACAACAACTACTATTATAAAATCGTAATCGGTGAGGAGGCCTACACCTAACAGGGTTGTTAGTAATGTGGATTATTTTTATAGATGACTAACTATACTCGCGATTTCGTCCACGTGGAATTTAACTATATTTTTCTAAAATTAAAGTAGCCAATATACTATTATACTAAAAAGTCTTAAAATCCGTCCAGCCATTTAAGATTAGCAACAAACAGACAGACAGACAAAAATGGTAAAAAATGTTATTTTGGTGTATGTACCGTATTTATATTCATATGCGTGTAGTAAAAAACTCTTATTTCAATATTACAGGCACTCCAATTTTATTTAAATGTATAGATGTATATACAAAACTCTAATTTAATCAAATTAGGCCACTTGAGGCCCCTTATCACTGTTATCAGTGTGCAGTATTATTAGAATGCAACGATTAGGCATAATAACTGTATACACTAGTTATCCATTGTAGTTTCACCCCCACTTTCAACCCATCTACCCCGTTTATAGACCATCGTGACAAACAACGTGGCACGTAATTGTTTTTTTTATACCACGATGGTGGCAACCAAGCATACGGCCCATCTGATCATAAATGCTTACCGTATCCTATGAAATTTGTATATATAAAGATTATTAGTTACTAATTATTATTAGAAACGATTGGTTAAATAATTTGAAATAGAAATAATCTTTATTCAAATAAACTCATTACAAGCACTTTTGAATAGTCATATTTTGATTCTACCACTCATTCGGAACGCAGACTCATCACGAGAAGAATGAGCAAGAAACTTGTGTGTTGTTCTTTTTAATAGTTTTTTTATATAAATAATTACAGTATGACAGAGATTTTGAGATTTTATCATGTTTATATACATGTTTATACAAACAGCTAGTAGGTATATATAACATTAGAGATATATAAATGAGTTTCACCGACAAATTATACGTTGTTTTTATTAACACCGGTTTCTCAAGATTAGGCTGCAATTAGTACCGATGCCGGTTTTATTACTTTTAATTTGTATAAACACATTTACAGCACGAGCATCATTGACGACCTCGGTGGTCTAGCGGTCTGGCACACCGCTTTACGACCGATGGTCGCGGATTCGATTCTTCGCACGGCACAAACATTTGTACTCATGAGTATGATTGTTTGTATCGGTCTGGGTGTTTTCTATGTACAATATATATATTCTTTATTGCACAGATAATAAAAAGATATTATAATTTAGAGACAATGTGAGGAAAGGTGGACTTATCCCTAGAAGAGATCTCTTCCAGTCAACCTAAAACAGTGGGATATGTGGTACTGAGTGGGTAATAATTGGTGCAAACAAAAAAAACTAAAGTTTTTTTGTTTGCACCAATACATACTATGTATGTATATACTATGTATTTACAAAAAAAAATCTATGTATATGTATCAGTTATCTAGTACCCATAACACAAGCTTTAGTAGCTTAACTTGGGTCTAGATGACGCTGTGTGAATTGTCCTGTGATTATTATTATTATTATACGAGTATATATTTTTTTAATCGCCTAAGAATTTGACACGGTCGATTCAACGAACATTTGAACAGAAAAACAGCTAAGCATACTTAAATTTCAAATTTGAATTCGTCCCAACAAACCGTCAGACTAAAATCTACGAAACTGCAACTACACTCTTTAAACAGAGTGTGTATTGTTATTTTATTATATGTAAATTCATTGTATATCCATGTGCAATTATATATAAATAATAATCTATAAAAAAAAAAATATTTCTAGTTCAATGTGCAATTATTGTTCAATTGGAGAAGTTCTGATTCTGGATCATATACTCTTCGATTGTCAAAAATTTAATTTACAAAGTTTGATTTAGTTGATAAGGATCTGAATATCCAGCGCACTATTCAGACTTTACTGAAAAAAAAAAATAACTTAAGAATAAATAAATAACCCTGGACAATTAACACAGCGCCATCTAGTCCCACGGTAAGCAGAGCTTCTGTTATGGGTACTAGACAACTGATATAAATAAATAAATAACTCTGGACAATTAACACAGCGCCATCTAGTCCCACGGTAAGCAGAGCTTCTGTTATGGGTACTAGACAACTGATATAAATAAATAAATAACCCTGGACAATTAACACAGCGCCATCTAGTCTCACGGTAAGCAGAGCTTGTGTTATGGGTACTAGACAACTGATATTTTTTCTTTTTTTTGACAGTTCACACTATGTCATCCAGTCCCAAGGTAAGCAGAGCTTGTGTTATGGGTACTAGACAACTGATATAAATAAATAACTCTGGACAATTAACACAGCGCCACCTAGTCCCACGGTAAGCAGAGCTTGTGTTATGGGTACTAGACAACTGATATAAATAAATAAATAACTCTGGACAATTAACACAGCGCCATCTAGTCACACGGTAAGCAGAGCTTGTGTTATGGGTACTAGACAACTGATATAAATAAATAAATAACTCTGGACAATTAACACAGCGCCATCTAGTCACACGGTAAGCAGAGCTTGTGTTATGGGTACTAGACAACTGGTATAAATACTTAAATATTGTGTTTTATTTTTAAATCAAACATACAAACAATCATACTCATGAATATAATTTATTACAGCGTGCTAGGAATCGAATTCGGGACTACGACGGCGAAACCGCTAGACAAAATAGACTCTGCACGTTTACAATATTTTTTTTATTACGTCAAGTATAGTGAAAACCATATATTGATAAACAAAAATATTTACCCAGTTCGTCCACCGGCACCGAGGTCACTTGCTCAGACATCGCAACAAAAATAAAACACAATCACAACGCAGCAATGTACAAATTCGCAAAACACCAACTGCGCAGAAGAAAGCAACGACCAATTGTATTTATAAACGTGATTCGTTACGGAGCGACGGCCGCACGTGCGTGCGCGTCGACTGCTCCACGAGAACTGTCCGATTTCAAACGAACTCGAACTCACCGATTTCAGAATTAGAATGCGTGTAAACAAAGCAGGTTGATTGCGTGGGCGCACGACGCTCGTGTAGGCAGACACGTTCGCCCATCATGGAAATAAATACGAACGAGGCGTGCGTGCAACTCTTGCGCAGAATTGTTCAACCTCCGATCGATCGCTTGTCAAGTTCAAACGGGGATCGAGATCACGATGACCTGAGCAGATTTTTTGCTTTTTACACTACGATGTTGATAAACAAGCGTATGTCGATGACAAATAAGTATATGTTATGATAGTAGCTTATGGACAACTGTGAATAATTGTGGTAACTTTTTAACATTTAAAAGTTGCAACGTGTGAAAACAAACTATTTCTCTTCTTCTTCTCTTTCTTCTTTTTCTTCTTCTATACTACTATTTTCATTTTATAGTACGATGGTGACAAATAAATATACGCCCCATCTGACGGTAAATAGTTACCGTAGCCCATCTCTATCACCTCTCTTTTCTCGTGATGAGTCTGCGTTCCGAATGAGTGGTAGAGTAAAAAAAAATAGAACTATTCAAATGAGTTTTTATTAAGTTTATTTGAATAAATATTGTTTCTATTTCTAAATCTAGCAGTCCTGGACTGAAGTTATGTTAGTCAAGCAGGAGTTAGACTTCAGTGCTTCATTAGTAATTAGTATAGAGTTACAAACCGTCCTATTTGAGGAGAAGTGGATTGTTACTACTGTGATAACCCCATTGCTAGCAATGTACCATGTCTGGTCGACCTCCACGCGGTTCTCCTCCAAACCATCGTGTTAAATTCCTGGTGAATTTGCACGATGGGCTAACTGACCCTACTTCATGCTCATCTTATCGGTCTGTTTGTTCCGGCTAATCTCTGAAATAGCTGGACCGATTTTGACGGGACTTTTTTGGCAGGTAGCTTATATAATAATGAGTAACTTAGGCTACTTTTATTTTAGAAAAATAAAGTTAAATTCCACGCGGAAGAAGTCACGGTACCCGTGACTAGCTAGTATATAATAAGAAGTATATATACTATACTATATGAATAGTATATAATATCATGTATATGAATATGAATATAGCATGTGATTAATGATTATTATTATTATATTAATATATGTAACAGTGATATCATTATGTGTAAGTTATCAACATACCTACCACTGGGATTCGCATATTTACATAAAACAAAGTACCGGCGTCTGTTCGCTTATAACTTTTAAACTACGCAACGGATTTTAATGCAATTTTCAGCAATAGATAGAGTGATTCATTAGGAAGGTTTATATGTATAATACAGGTACACCCGTGAGAAGCCAGGGTAGGTAGCTAGTCGTACAATAAAACTTAGTATCTTTACAAAGCATTAAACAGTTGCCGTCGCTGTCTATTCGCTTAGATCTTTTAAACTACACAACGGATTTTAATGCAATTTTCAGCAATAGATAGAGTGATTCCTTAGGAAGGTTTATATGTATAATACAGGTACACCCGTGAGAAGCCAGGGTAGGTAGCTAGTCGTAAAATAAAACTTAGTATCTTTACAAAGCATTAAACAGTTGCCGTCGCTGTCTGTCCCCATATATCTTTTAAACTACGCAACGGATTTTAATGCAATTTTCAGCAATAGATAGAGTGATTCATTAGGAAGGTTTATATGTATAATACAGGTACACCCGTGAGAAGCCAGGGTAGGTAGCTAGTCGTAAAATAAAACTTAGTATCTTTACACAGTATTAAACAGTTGCCGCCACTGTCTGTCCCCATATATCTTTTAAACTACGCAACGGATTTTAATGCAATTTTCAGCAATAGATAGAGTGATTCATTAGGAAGGTTTATATGTATAATACAGGCACACCTGTGAGAAGCCAGGGTAGGTAGCTAGTCGTAAAATAAAACTTAGTATCTTTACACAGTATTAAACAGTTGCCGTCGTTGTCTGTCCCCATATATCTTTTAAACTACGCAACGGATTTTAATGCAATTTTCAGCAAAAGAGGAAGTTTTATACATTTTAGTTTATCTTATATATAAATTTCTCGTGTCACAGTTTTCGTTCCCATACTCCTCCGAAACGGCTTGACCGATTCTCATGAAATTTTGTGAGCGTATTGAGTAGGTCTGAGAATCGGCCAACATCTATTTTTCATCCCCCTAAATGTTAGGGGTAGTCCACCCCTAAATTTTATTTTTATTTTTTAGATAAAATTTTTACTTTTAGTTTCTATATTTTTATGATCAACATACAAAAATACATACAATCCTAAATTTTCACCCTTCTATCATCAACCCCTATTTTTTATAGCGTTATTAATTTAGACAAAACAAAGTTCGCCGGGGAGCTAGCTATTTAAAAAAAATCTGAACAGTATTTTTTTTAAAAGAGCAAGTTAGAGAACATTCTGGAACTTATCATTCATACAACATCTATCCATCCAGATTGTATGGGTCCCAGCAGACTCATACGACTATGTTTTTTTACTGAGGGTGTTGGGCTAATGTCAGGTGCTAAGACCTGTAGCACTGCGACCTGCATAGATCTATTGTGCTCGCCCTTTTTCAGAGTCCGCTACCTAGACCCGTCAGGGACAAGAATTGAGGGATATTCTTAGGAGCGATGGTTTTTATCTCCTCAGGATAGAGCGTAAACTTTCCAAAGGAGATATTTCGTTTATACATGAGTGGTCTACAACCACATAGGATGTGTAGTGGCGTTTCCTCTTCAGTTTGGCAAAATCTGCAAACGACGTTGATTGAAAGACGTTCAAAGTCACGGTCACAAGTTAGTATTTAAAAATCCTCAATCAAACACTATAATTGCCACTATTTACGGCTCTGATTATTCAGACCTAATGAACTTTATAAAGAAAAAATATTTATGTTTTTTTAAATTCATGCACCTTATCTCGGAATGAGATAGCGTATTTTTTGTTATTGTTGATTTTTCTGAATTCTTTTCGTGTATGATAACAACAATCTATACTAATAATTGACCGTGGTCTGGCGGTTGCGCCCACCGCCTTAATTCCCATGGTCGCGGGTTCGATTCCTCCCACGGTACTAATTTGTATTCATGAGTAGATAACATATGTTTGTTTGTATCGGTCTGGGTGTATTCTATGTACATTTTTTTTAATAACACAGGGGACAAACGAGCATGCGGCTCACCTGATGGTAAGTGATTACCGCCGCCCATGGGCCCCGCAACACCAGGGGAATTGCCAGTGCGTTGTCGGCCTTAAAGGAATATGCTCTTCATCTTAAAAAGGAATGAACTCTTTTCTTACATAATGTATGTATTTACAAAAAAATATATATCTAAGTATTTATATCAGTTGTCTAGTACCCATAACACAAGCTCTGCTTACCGTGGGACCAGATCGCTGTGTTAATTGTCCAGGGTGATTTATTTATTTATATCAGATGTCTAGTACCCATAACACAAGCTCTGCTTACCGTGGGACTAGATGTCCAGGGTGATTTATTTATTTATATCAGATGTCTAGTACCCATAACACAAGCTCTGCTTACCGTGGGACTAGATGGCGCTGTGTTAATTGTCCAGGGTGATTTATTTATTTATATCAGATGTCTAGTACCCATAACACAAGCTCTGCTTACCGTGGGACTAGATGGCGCTGTGTTAATTGTCAAATAAATCACCCGATTTATTTATTTATATCAGTTGTCTAGTACACATAACACATGCTCTGCTGTGACTAGCTGACTAGCTTTTTGACTTCCTGGATTAGGTTAATGAATATATTTTATTTCTTTGGTCAAGGTCACTAAAATACGCGGACGAAATCGCGAGTACAGCTAGTTCATATGTAGATAGATAGATAATTGATTTATTACCAACATAACACAAATAGTACAATTTACAATAACACACAAAATGAGAAATAAATAATAACATAGAAAGTTGGCAACAGGAGCTGCCTCAGCAGTTGCTGATATGAGCACAACCTTAGTGAGGTGCACCTATACAGCGCTGGTTTTCAGGCAGCCACCATTACTCATTAAAAAAAAACTAAGATATTTTTTACTATATACAGAATATAACTATATTTTCGAACTAGTTTTCCCTTTAGCTGCAGCTGGCCTTTACAGCTCCACCGAACGATAGGGGTCGAGTGCAGATGGCACTCCAAACCAAAGGAAGAACTTATGGAGCGGCTGAAGGACAACTTCGGCCTGACGGATACGACGCCAGTCTGAGGGCACCGCTAGGAGCTCAGGCCGTCGTAATTTCGATCCCCTTTTGAACTGGACGGGGTAACGATTGGAGGGGATTCGAATAGATGTTATGACGTCATATCTTTGTTTAACTATATCATTGTTGCAGTATCGGTGTCAGAACTGATAAGTATGTCTGTGTCTTATCAAAAAATATCTCTTAAACTTAATGGCATTGAACTTACAAAACCAGAAACAATGCAATGAATCTTTCTTTATGTAAGGATGGACAAAGCTGAATGAACCACCTGATGGACAGTTTTTTACTACATGCATATGAATATAAATACGGTACATACACCAAAATATTTTTTTTACAATTTTTGTCTGTCTGTTTTTTTATTCTGGCTAATCTCTGAAATGGCTGGACCGATTTTGACGGGACTTTTATTGGCATGTATCTGATGTAATAAGGAGCGACTTCGACCGCGTAGATTTAACTTTATTTTTCGAAAATAAAAGTAACCTAAGTTACTTCTTATTACATCAGCTACATGCCAAAAAAAAACCTCGTCAAAATCAGTCCACCCATTTCAGAGATTAGCCTGAACAAACAGACAGACAGACAAAAATAGAAAAAAATATATATTTTGGTGTATATACCGAATTTATATTCATACGCATGTAGTAAAAAACTATTATTTCAATATTACAAACAATACACTCCAATTTTATTTATATGTACAGATGTATAGATAAATACAGTCAAATTCCACGCGGACGAAGTCGCGGTAACAGCTAGTCATCCATAAAA